TAGATGAAGCACCGACCAGTCGCCCCAGCCAAGGCCGCTGACGAGCATGAGAGAAGACGATACCATGAAAATGACGACTTTGAGGTAGTTGCGGTGTTGCCAGACAACGACGGGGTCTTCATTGAGATCTGTGATGTCGGTTCGGCCGATGCGTTTGGGGTTTTGTTTCATTACCATCCAACCAATGTGGGAGTACAGGAGGCCTTTGCGGACAGAGTAAGGGTCCTTATCTGTGTCAGTATAGCGGTGGTGGGCACGGTGGCCTCTAGCCCACCATCTAATGGATCCTTCCACAGCACCACCTCCAACAGCAGCAAGATATATTTTTAGTGGCAATGTGGCGGAATATGAGCAGTGTGCCCAAAGACGATGATATCCTGTCAACACACATATATCAAATCGAGTTAGATGCGTCCCCACACAAAAACCCATTCGATGAACAAGGAATTAAGGGATTTCAGGCTACGTACCGGCAGTGATCCCGAGTCCAGTCATGAAATAGTACACAACAGCCCACAGAGCAGTTTTGAGGTGCAAGGGGACCCAGTATGCCTGGACAAGGCCGTAGATGGGGATGGCGATGATGAGAGTGACGTTGAGCCAGCTGACATGCTTATGCCAGTTTGCCAGAGTTATCGGCGTATCTGTGATATGAACCTTCTTGGGCTCAGGGTTGGGGCGACGTGCAGCATCAGTGATAACGGCTTTACCTCCAGCAGCTGTCTCAGCAGCTGGGGAAGCCGTGGGGGCTTCGTTTAAAGCCATGGTCAAACCGCAGACCAACCTGCAGTGTGTTGATAGATGGACGATAAGCAGGACGAAGCGGAGGAGATAGAGAGATAGATAGTACGATTGATAGTACGATCCTTAAGATGTGATACAAGTGAGGGAGGTGATAAAAACAAGAAGGAGAAGAAGAGAGGGGAGCAGAAGAAAGAGGTAAAAGGAGTGTAGAAAAACGGTTGAGCTTGTTTTGCCCTTTTGAAGCCACACCCAAAAATTACCAAACGGGGAACTCCGCCTCCGGTTCACGCGATGCCTCCAACAGGTGAGCAGCTGCGATAATTGTCCTTCCCGCGCGTTCCTTTGATTGCGCCGTTGTCGTGATCGTGATCGTGGGATGAACAGAACTGAGAGAGGGCGAATTCTTGTTGCGGCACAAAATAAGCTCCGATGATTTGTTGGGGAGTGGGCAGCGGATACGGAGCAAGTACCTGGTACTTTACCCATGCATACGCCCATGTAACTCTCATACTTCGATGTAATACAATACACACATTGATGGCCCACTCTCCACACTCAGAGGAACTCAGCTCTCATAAACACAAAGGGATGTACTCATAACACAGGCCGAGGCAAATCATCCATCTCATTTTTCATAAGAACTCAGCGGCTGTGTTGAGACAGGCTGGCTTCTGAGGGTTCTTCAAACATGTATGTTCCTTCCATCAGGGGGTACAAAGATGCTTAGTCTCCGTTTGTATCAGTACCAGAGGGGGTCCCATCTGTCCCACCCACATCCCGATCCGAAGTCAAAGGTTAAAAATTTGACCCCAACAATCGTCATATCCTCTTTTGTCGGAGAACCAAAAATGGAATAAAAACTACTGCGTAAAAAAGCGCATGGAACTTCCGCATCGTATGACTCAACTCCTTGCCCATTTTCTAACCCATTGGCCCATAACCTCAGCAAAGCAGAGTAAAATCTCGAGCGCCCCAAAATCTCCAACTCAACCCGGCATTTTTTTTTAGCCTCGGTGCAAATTAATTATCCTAAATAGGTTTAGTGTCCTCCTCAACAAAATCCGCAACGGCCTGCTGACTCATCCCGGTTTGCTATCTCATCTTCTCTGATTGGCTGCCCCAGATTTAACAATTTAAGCCTGCGGGATCCGAAACCTTAACGCAGTCTTGGCGCCAAACCAGTTCCACGGTTGAGGCTACTTGTTGCTTTTTTTTTTTTTTTTTAGAGTCAACGAACAGCGTATTCATCTGGCATCCCAATGTGATGTGTGAGACTATATGGAGTACGGAGTGGATCAGATGTCGTTTTCTCAGATGACTCGATCGTTCCCGCTGGTTCTTATGCAATGGTTCATGCACAACTTCGCTTTCAGCCCCACTACCGTTTTCGAGTTCTCTCCCCAACCGGCTTCTCATTCGCGCTGAGTCTTGCGTTGCTAGCTTGCGACTACGCAGGGTTTACCCTGACATGGTCAGTTACATCTCTCATTCAGCATGCATGCAAGCCATATGTTACTGAGGTCAGTTCAGCTTGCATGTCGATTATTGTAGCTGAAATGGGAGACATTTACCAGCTCAGGGAAATTGTTTGAACAACACCGAGGATCAAAGTTTTTATCACAATTATTGGTAAAATAATGTGACCCAATACACATCGTTCAGGCAATAGCGAGGGGCTCGCGGCTGTGGAGTAGGAAATAAGTCACGTACCCACCTTAACGGGAGAGGAGTTTGATGCGGATGCATTAGATGGCTAAGATTGAGAATCTCAACATGCTACCATCACTTGAGAGTTGGTGCATGGCATTCCCGCGATGGAGCTGCTGGAATCGGAGAGGATCATAGAATAGGTTTTGCTTTTCACATTGAGTTGGAGAAGACAACTATACAAAATGCCAACCGATGTTAAAGCCAGCTGTATTCTGAGATACGATGGTCAATGGTACTCGGACATCAAAAATCGGACCCAGGGGTGGAGAAAGAGCAGTTTATCTCCAATCATGAACACGGCGCCTGGTATGCGTGCTCGGCGCAGCAAACTGTTAGGCTAAATCTATACCACTTCAGAACAATAAACGTCCCCTTACCAGCATGATGATTTTCTTCCTTCAATCCTCGTCTTACCAACATTCATGGTGGCATGGAGGCAGCCACGACTGCGCACTGGCCACACCACGTGGGTTAGTGTACCGTTACAACCGCAAGCCAAACAACCGCGCGCATAATGAGCGTCTAACTGCACCATCAGTTACATCTGAGTCTATGATATCGGATCAATCGTTCTTGGCCACCGGACCCTCTTCCACATCTTTTCCCCCTTCCGCCTCCACCTCTTTCCATCTTCGACTCCTACTAGTACTACTGGGCAGCTCAATTATTTTTCCATCCACCTCATCTTCTTCCTCCTTCAAAGCTAAATTCAATATCAAGGCAATAAAGCCCGCAATCACAAATCCAGTCGCCATCACAAGCTCCACCGCATCGATCAAACCTTTCTTCGCCTTATTGTTCCCTCTATACGTAAACACAAATGAAAACCATTCGGGCACAAGTGTAGCACCCACACCCAACGCCAAGGCAGCTGATAGAATAAACCGATTTCTCCTCGTGAATTTTACTGTAGATATGATTCGCATACCGGACACGGTGACGGACGCGAACAGGAAGGTCGTCATTCCCCCCAACACCGCAGAGGGGATCGCAACCAGCGCCGCGGCGAATTTGGAAAATATCCCCATTAGCACTAGGAAAAAACAGCAGCAGTAACCGGCCTTCCGATTTGCGCAGCGCGTCAGCGAAATCACCCCGTTATTCTGTGCGAACACAGACATGGGCGTGATGGTGCAGAGCCCTGCGATCAGCCCATTGAGGCCGTCAGCAAGCACCCCTCCCTGGATGCGCGTGTCAAAAACCGGACCCTCAACATCCAGCCGGGACACGTCGCAGGTCGCCGTAATGTCCCCAATGGCCTCCATCATCAGAACAGTGTACACAGCCAAGAGGGGTAGGATGATGGGCGGGTAGATTTCCAGTCGGAAGGTGTGTACCCAGATGAATGAGACGCTGGGCGCGGAGTCCATGCCCGCCCGATCGAAGTAGCCCGTTGCGGCAGCTACGATGCAACCCACTAACAAGCCCAGGACGACAGCGCAGGACTTCATGATGGGCGAACCGAACCGCTCGCAGAGGATTATGGTGACGAAGACGAGGAAGCCTAGTCCAATGAATTCACCGCTGCCCCATGGGAGAGCGTGCGGGGCGTCGTTACTAGGACAGAGCATGAAAGGGCCCTCGGTAGGGCGGGAGGCGCAGGACCCACTGCCGCCGGCCCAGTTCTTCAAGCCAGACTCGATGAGTTTGACTCCGATGAGCAATACCGTGGGCCCGGTAACGAGCGGCGGGAAGAGGCGCTTTAGGTACCGGGTGCTTGTGAACGAGAGCCCGATTTCAAGCAGCGCGCAGAGGCATGATGTCGCCAGGAGCGCTCCGTAACCATGTGGGCAGGGGAGATGGTTCCCCTGTTCGTCAACTGGGCAGTAACCGGTTTCGTACATTTGCGCGAACGCGCCCATGGCGACTGGTATTGTGGCGAAGGAGGTTCCCACGACGGAAATCAAGCCTGTGCCGAGGTAATAAGGGGTTTTGTAAATATGGAAGCGGGTCATTTGGATGGCGGAGAGGAGACCGGAGACAATCAGGGAGGTTGAGACAAGGTATTGAGCTGTGTTGTCAGGGAGCTCTGCGCCACTAGAGCCGGACATGAGGATTGGGGGGGTGATGACTATATATATGGACATCATCAACATGGAGTGTTTCCCGAGTAGTTGGGGTTAGGGGTTTAGCAATATCTCCTTTTTTTCCCCTTCCATATTTTTACATCTCCATACAAAATAGGAACCAAAGAGTAAGAAAAATGATGGCGGAAGACATACTCCCGGCTAACATGGCCAGCGCATGTTGCAATCCCAAAATCAACCCCAAAACCACGGGCATCCGATCTTCCAAGCCAAAAAAAGGCGCCCCCCTCCGCTGTGATTTCATAAAGGGGAGATTCGGCGTGAATAAAAAAGCGTAGTTATAGTCGCCAATGAGTCCCTTTCTAATATATAAGGTGTGGATAATGGCACAGGAACTCTTTGTCAGAACGGATAGCCAATTTGGGTGTGGGCTTTTTGATGCCTTCATTTCTTCTACTTCAAAAAAATTTCGGCTCAACAACACATACCGGGTAGTCAATGTTCTGAGCGCCTTGTTCATCTTGTCCGCGAGATATCCATTCTTGGCGCGATCCACGTCCGGAAAGATTTGATCGGGTTCTTCGCTCATTGTGTGTTTTTAATTTGTTTGTTTCCTTTTATTTATTTTCCCTTTTCCTCCTTTATCCTTTCTCAAATGCAATCCGATTTCCCCCTTTCTTGGCTAAGTCGGAATCCAATCTGGGTTATCAATCATGACATGGGACGAAGACTTGCCATGCCAACCTTGCACCCAAAAATCCGAGAATATTTCAAAATGGATTATGGTATAGCAAGCTAGTTGATTATAGCCCTCCGTGAATCAGGCCCATCTGTATTGCTGCGTTTTTGTAGAGAAGCAGGCAAGAGAAGCAGGCAGGTCATATATATGTCCAATACTATCCCACATGTGGAGGTGTTGTCCCACACTGATGACCAAGGTCCAAAAAATTGCGAGGTTAAAAGCTGAACGGTGCAACATCTCTCCACAATAACTCAGCTGTCGTGCCACAGAATGAAGTAATAACCAGGCGGCTAGTACATTAGCTCTCTATTGACTTAAAAAACTGTTCGGCCACTGGAGCAAAAGAGCTCGATCACCACCTGCGCCATGCTGGTATTAGGGGGGACGATCCAATCCAATCTCTCCAATAAACACTGATGCTGACATCCTCAGCTACACAGTTTGGGAAATCATCGGTCGCATCCACTCAGCCTGTTCGGGTCGGATACCACCAAAAATATTATTATACGTGTTGCCGATTTTCCTAAAATCAATGAAAAGAAGTTATGGAAAGGTAGAAGTATGCAAATAAATATATCAAACAAAAATGGGAGGTATTGAAGGCATTGAAAGGGAATAGAAGCGGCAATTATTCTTTGGCATTTGTCCTCCTTTTTATGAACCCTGTAGATCCGAGACCAAACCTGGCTCCCGGAGCCGAGACAGAGTGGGAGATTTTCGGCAAGGAGCACATCATATCACCATGTAGATTTGAGCTCCCTTGTTCCTAGGTACTGTACAGTACAAGGACAAGACAAGACAGTGTTTCTAAGAATTGACCATTATTGTGCATTAAATAGTCGGCGCATGCGTTCATGTATATTGGCCTTGCTTCTAGACGATTTATTGCCTTTCATGGGGGCTTAATTCCCATTCTTCTGTTCCGCGCACCGCGAATACAGTAGGATAGAATAAAAGAGAAGTTTGGTCCCCGATTGAATAGTTCTTCCCTGCCGAAGATTTTATCGGTGAGTGCCAATCTGATATCCGCGATTCAAGTGTCTCTCTCCAGCCTCAAAAAGGCTCCCAGTACAGTACATTAATAGGATTCCATGCGCTGGAGATGCTGCTGAAAAAGGAAGCAGCTGCAACGATTCATCATCTGTCATATGGATACACGGTATTCAGTAAGCCATGACTCCCTATCCTGGTGGGTTTCCACCCCACAGATGATGCAGATTTAACGCGGTTGAGTATTCTAACGTGCTGTCTGTAACTCAGAAGTTGATGTTTCTCAAGGATATAGGCGTTGGAGATGGGGTCGGGATACCTGTTCCAGCAGGCGGCTAAGCCACAGGTTCCCGCGGTCCCTGCAAAATCCAATCCATTCCAACCCCGAGGTGGGAAAACATTGGAACATGGAGGCAGGTTGTAGATATGCAGAATTAGCATCCTATGAGGTAGCTTGTTCAAAGCTGAAGCCATTTCCGCACATTTCGAGTTGTTGGATGAAAGACAGGATATGCAAAAGATGGCGCTGTCTGAGAATGCATGGCCAAGTGAATGGCAAATCACATGGCAGCAGACAACAAGCTTATACCCCTATAAAAAGTATGGCGACTCCGTTGTTCCAAGGGATGCGCCTGGTTGATGGTTGAGATGGCGTTGAAAGGGTTGGGCGAGGGCTATTAAGTTAAATTATTAATAACTCACGATGGCTCCATGACCCACGCAGAGCCGCCAGCAGGTTCCGTTCAACCTCTCTTCTGCTCTCGACTGCTTGAACATTCCGCCACCTGTCAACTCACAATCTACTCTACAGCACTCCGTTAAGGCAACAAGACCTTTATTTCTGTTGCCTGGCGTGTCTGTGTATATTTTTGCAACTTGATCCTTTTTGCCCCACCCCCAGAGTTGAGTTGACTTCTGCTATTTCCGCCCGTTGTCCTCATAGGCTGACGTCCTGGCGGGGTTACGGTTTAGTTCGCCCCTCTTCCTCCTCCTGGGCTCCCTTTCCCTCTTTATAGGGATCTCTGTCATCCTGGCTCCTCCACTCCGTTTGTCTGCTCCCAGACTTCAATTTCTCTTAGGCCAGTTTCGGGGAGCCACTTCGCCAGCAACCACTACATTAAAACCACCTGTAGTTACTAGCCAAACAACCAAGCTACAACCCATCACCACCGCAACAATGGCTCCTTCGAAGCTAAAGAAAGTGCCTCAGTCGCCGCCTGTCTTTACTGCAACACCTGACTCGTTGATTTCTGACACCAAGCGGATAATCGGCTCGTCCCGCAAAGTTCAGGATGCTATTGCGGCAAAGATTACCGCTGAAGAGGCCACCTTTGCCAATGTAGTGTTACCAATGGCCCGAGATGAGAACTTAATGGCGCTTGAATCGCACATCATTGGGTTCTACCAGGCAGTTTCTACCGATAGCAAACTCCGAGATGCTTCAGCTGAGGCGGAGAAACTTATGGATGAGTTCGCCATCGAGTCTGCCATGCGGGAGGATCTGTTCAATCTCGTTGCTGCTGCTCTAAAGAAAGGCGAGAAGCTGGATCCTGAGTCACAGAAATTGTTGGAAAAGGAACATAAGGACTACATACGCAATGGTCTAGGAATTCCCGCCGGCCCAAAGCGGGACAGATTCAAGGAGATCAAGAAACGGCTGAGCCAAATTGGGATTGAATTCCAAAAGAACCTGAATGAAGAAAATGGGGGACTGTGGTTTACAAGAGCTGAACTGGATGGGGTTCCAGAGGATGTATTATCTGGGTTGAAGAAGGGCGAAGGGGAAAATGAGGGCAAAGTAAGACTGACCTTTAAGTACCCCGATCTGTTCCCAACCTTGAAATATGCCACCGACTCCGAGACGCGGAAGAAGGTTATGATTGCCAACGAGAACAAATGCAACCAAAACGCCCCGTTGTTTAAAGAAGCTGTCATCCTGAGAGATGAAGCGGCACGCTTGCTCGGGTATCCCAATCACGCTACTTTTAGGATTGAGGACAAGATGGCGAAGACACCTAAGACCGTCGATGACTTCCTCAGTGATCTACGTTCTCGACTGAAGCCTGGTGGCGAAAAGGAGCTGGAGGCCCTCAAGGCATTGAAAAAGGCTGATATCACGTCTCGCACTCCAACCCAATTGTTTGACGGTCGTTATTACTTGTGGGACCACCGGTTCTACGATCGAATGATGCTGGAAAAGGAATTTTCCATTGATCACCAGTTGATCGCAGAGTACTTCCCATTGCAGACTACAATCCGTGGTATGCTGAAAATCTTTGAAGAGCTATTTGGTCTCGTATTTGTTGAGATTACAGGCGGTGAGCGGGATAAACTCTCCCCAACTGGCAATGGAAATGATATTGTTTGGCATGAAGATGTCCAATTTTTCAGCGTCTGGGATGACGAAGGAGAGGGCAGCGGATTTGTGGGATATTTGTATCTCGATTTATTCCCAAGAGAGGGAAAGTATGGCCATGCCGCGAACTTCAACCTGCAACCAGTAAGAACCCCCTTGCAACAGGCATCTTCATATTTTGTAGAAGTACACGAACTAATAATATCACTATTTAGGGCTTCGTTCAAGAGGATGGCAGCAGGCGGTATCCTGCCACAGCCCTGGTGTGCAACTTCTCCAAACCCTCAGCAAAGAAACCTAGTTTGTTGAAGCACGATGAGGTCGTAACCCTCTTCCATGAGCTTGGCCACGGAATTCACGATCTTGTCTCCAGAACTACATACTCCCGCTTCCATGGTACGAATACCGTCCGTGATTTCGTTGAAGCACCCAGTCAAATGCTAGAAAACTGGTGTTGGACGCCCTCACAGATCAAATCTCTTAGCACGCACTACTCCTCCCTCTCAGATGAATATTACCAGACCTGGAAGGAAACGGCGGGTGACAAGCCCAAGCCACAGGTAAAGATTCCTGACGAGCTGATTACTAACTTGATCAATACTAAGCATGTAAATGATGCCCTTTTCAACCTCCGACAACTTCACTTTGGTATCTTCGACATGACTGTGCATGAACCTAAGGACCATGCGACTATTGAAACCATGGATATCTCTGGAGTGTATAACACTCTGCGGAAGGAGATTTCGCAGCTCGATGGGCCAGAAGTCCTTGGTAAAGGATCCGACTGGGGTCATGGCGAGGCAACATTCGGACATCTCATTGGTGGTTACGATGCAGGTTACTACGGCTACCTCACGTTAGTCCATACCTAATCTTTTTCTTCTTTTCATCGTTTAATTTTGTCTCGCTCACTAACAACGCTCTCTTCCGCTATGCAGTTCCCAAGTTTATTCTTTGGACATGTTCTATTCTGTTTTCAAGAATGATCCCATGAACCCGGAGGCAGGCCGACGATATAGACATGTCGTTCTAGAGCGCGGTGGCAGCCAGGACGAAATGAAGACTCTCAAGGAATTCCTTGGCCGCGAACCCAACATGGATGCGTTCTATAAAGAACTTGGCCTAGCCAATTAACGGGTAGACAAGGAAGCGATCCCTATTTCACTGGATGAAGACGGGATGACCCTTAAGACATGGTGTAGTATGGCGCACATCGGCAAATACACAGTTAAGACACTCTTGGGGCTTCCGAGTAGATAAATTTAAGATATAAAATGAAACATGTCTATTAATTGTCATGTTAAATCTGATGTAAAATGAATAATCCTTTGTAATCAAATTATATCTCATGAGTTACAGCTCAGTGTTGCTACCGAGCGTTTGCTGTTCTTTACCCCTACTGACAATTATCATGTGACTTAGACACATCCAATGATGGATCAAAAGAACATCTCATAGTTGGAGGTAAATATGCTTTTAAGGGCCCATTCGCTTTTGCCGAAAAGCTCGTGTATACCCTTTCCCTTCGCAATTTTTGAGCTTGAAGTTCCGATATCCTTTCTCAACTGCAACCTTGCCGCTCTTAGCCACAAATGTCCGATGAGCGGCGTGAGAAGCCAGCTAAAAACACATAAAAATTATCTCATAAATTAATCCCAAAGGAAAAAAAAAAAAAAAATAAATAAATAAAATAAAATAAAAAGGAAAAAACAATCCCGGTGAAAATGGGTGATAATAAGTTATCAGTCGCCGCCAAATCGCCATCCCCATCCTCAAAAATGTCGGATGTGCATCTCTCACAACCCCGATCGCAATCGCCAATGCCGGCCATCGCAGGCACAGGCGCAGACGCAAATGTCAAAGTCCCCAAAACCCTACAAACCCGCCTCCCCATAAAAACCTACCATTGCACATTCTGCAACCACCTCCTCCTTACCTCAACCCGCGATCTCTCCGTCTTACCCCGCCGTCGCGAGCCGGCGCGTGATCGGGCGTTGATACTGCCGCTTCCAAAAACCGGAGTGGGAGAAGAGGAGGACGCGGACGAGGACGAGGAGTCCGAAGATGAAAACGGGTGTGCAGCTACAGAAGAAGCTGTGGGCAACGACAGCAGCAATACGCAACAAGGCACTGGTGACCCAACAGCAGAAAGTAAGGTGAAGAAGAGGACTAAACCGGGCTCAACACAAAAACAGCCGGAACAGCAGCAACAGCATTACACCATCCTCCTCTCCACAACGATACCAGACCGCAAATCAATCATCATCCGACGCGAAGATGGATTTGAGAAGCGGCTAATGCTGCGTTGTGGGCGGTGTCGGGTTGTGATGGGGTATGCGCTGGACGAAGTCCATTTTCCAGATCACAACGTCGGGGCTGGGGCTGGGGCTAGGGCTGCTGGGAAAGGTGGCGGAGATGGGAAAACGGGGGATGGAGAGAATGATGGAGATGATAAGGAGGAGAAAGCGCGGGAGATAAGGAGAAAGAAGGCGGAGGAGGTTGTTTATATTTTACCCGGTGCGTTGGTGGAGACGGGAGAGATGGGGAAAGGGGCCATTAAGGTTGAAACGGAGGAGTGGGCAAACTGGGAGAAAGGGGCAAAGTAAGAGGGACGACTTGATATGGACACGGTTGGGACCGTGGGTTATATATTACAAGGCCTTTCCATTCGGGTGAGAAAACTGGAAGGCTGCTGTCCATGCAAAATATTGCCTACATAAACAAGTTGATGTCGAACGTGCATCTGACACTATGTTGAATTAGAAAACGATCATCCATAAGAAACTATTATGTAGCATTATGATAACGGGAAAACAAAGGGGTTATAACCATAAAAACATGAACAGAACAGAAACAAAAAGCACTGGATGTAAGAATCTATCGAGGCCCCTGCCATCCGACCGATTGTATTAGCGCATCGTGATAATGTATCCTATGTGTTATAACTAGCCCTCTAGACACCTATTCATAAAAAAGTCATTTCGCCATAATGGAAAGCACTCCTAGTCCAGTGCAAAAACAATCCACCTAACCCACGATGTCTTTGTCTCCATCCTTGCTTTATTTTCACTCCAAATATCACTCTCACAATCTCGGGGGAAAAAAAGATAAACAAGTGGTAATTCGAGCGGGAGACTGTGGTCCGGGGACAAAGAGAGAAGACGAAGGGTATTTCGAAAAAGAACAAGCACAGGGACAAGAAGCGAATCGAAAACATCTCATCGTAGGCGGTAGGACAAATTTTTCGAGCAATAAAAGGAGTTACAAGTATTGGGACGGGAATCGCGGTAATATTTAGTTGGCAAGAATTGTCCGGACCAGTTCTAGATCGCCCGGTATTAGATATTGTATTTATTCACGATTGCATGGGTAGGAATCTAAATAACATACCTGTGTAGTTGATCTCTCCTGAGCTCGTGTCAACAGCCTTGAGAAGTTCGTCAACTTCATCATCGGTCATTTTCTCACCCAGGTTTGTGAGAACTGTAGGGAAGGAAAGGGGAAGGAAAGAAGCGGAAGACATTAGTTAACCTTCATGTAACATTCTTTTTCAGATCCGTAGAAAAAAACAACGGCGCAGCCACTCACTATAACGCAGCTGACCCACGCCAATAAACCCAGTCATATCTTTATCAAATACCTGGAATCCGCGACAGTACTCCTCTGGTTCACCAGGGTCACGGAAGCCGCCTGGCCGGTTGAGGACTTTGGAGAAGGCTTCGAAATCAACTAGAATCAAGAGAAAGAGTCCCAATGTTAGCTCCCTCCGACCCCCACCTGCTGGAATTATTGATATATATTTTATTTAACATTCAACTCACAGTCTCCGCCAATGCTCTTCTCTAGATCTCCGATCTCAGCTAGGGTGGGGTTCTGACCGCAAGCGCGGAGAAGATCGCCCAGTGACTCGAGGGCAACACGACCGTTTCCTCGCTTATCGAAGAGCGAGAATGCTTCTTTGTAGTTTGTGGACGCCTGTTGTTGATTATCCTGGTTAGAATGCATGCGCTGGAGGGATTGTGAACTATCCATGACGACTGCTGCTCCTGTTTTGAAGTTTCGCAACAGAGAAAGACGATAAAAAGGAGCAGTATATAATAATGGCAACAAAAGCAGAGCGTTCAAGAGGAGATTTGAGAGTTGTAGCGTATTTTAAAATGCGCGGACTCCTGGAGGCAGGAAAACAGGTTTCAAGTGGGAGGAAACCAGAGAGTGGGATAATCAACGAGCAGACGAGTAAAGGGTCGATATCAACAAGTTTCCTGGAGAAAAACCAGTGAAAGTTGTCCCTCTGCCGGCTATGAATTGTTTGGGTCCCAGGCTCTGGGTTGAAGCTTCCTTTTTGCCGCAGATACTGCGGACGGACAAGGTTTCGGCTGCATCCCTGGAACGAAGAACATGAGGAAAAACAGTGCGACTCACCATTGTGTGTGGTTATGCGGGATGTAGTGGTTAGAGGGTTAAGCTGTGGAAAAGATGTGGAAAAGCTGTGTCAGTAACTTGGAATAGCGAGGAATTGCGAGAAAATCTTCTCGGGAGTCGTGGTTTTGAGGGTTGTTTTGGAGGAATGTGTGATTATTGACATGTGTTGGGGATGGACGAACGAGGGACGCGGGATGTTGGTTACCGCAACAACCATCGGTGCACCAGTATTTATTTACTGTGTATTGTTTTTGTTGGACGGACTGCGATGGGCACAACAACCGCTTGTTCCAACACCATCCAGCGGGTTTCTGTTTGTGGATTGTCCTCTATTCTTAATTTATTCAACATGCACTCTGTTTTGTATTATTCTTTCCTCTTGCCTCCATATCCATTCTACTTGTTTGGCGCATATTTCACAAAGAATGAAAACCAGCCAACCCCTCCTAGACTCCACCAGTAAGTAACCAGCTGGCTTGGAAATTGCACTTGTGCAGCAATGCACACAGTTTGTGAGACTTGGCTTTTCTATCTTGCTAGAATGTACGATGGCTAGGATACCACCCAGACAGCGTCTTTGGATAGGTTTCAAAAGATAGCTCTTCAAGGAGATGCAAAATCGTTGAGTTATATACCTTACATCTGTGCTGCTAAAGCTGCTTCTGCAGTTTTCCAACGGCCTATCCCTGCATTGGTGCAGAGCTCTCTCTCCATAGAGCATTCATTCGTTCATTTTAAGACCTCCAGAATCCGGAATCTGACCTGTAGAGTTCCCTCTCAACAATGTATCGAATGTTAAGATACATAAATATCTTTTATCAAATGACATCACAATGCGATAGATTTCAGACATGCCTGCCACAGGATGTCTTCACTCTTGGAGAAATTCTTGTATATGTCCAGAGACACTGCCTTATTCATCCTAGACCCACGACAAAGCGAAGAGCCAAAAAAAGAAAAGAAAAGAAAAGAAAAAAGAAAAAAACTAGCTCAGGACGAACCAGCCTCCCTTGCCAAATCACGAAGCGCTTGCATCGTGTCATCCTCTCGACCCAGCGGCACGAAAAGATGATCATGAAAGAATCCGCTAACGACATTCGAGCTGATCCCCCGCTCCTTGAGTTTTGCGGCAATCGCAGCGATAAGCCCTACAGCTTCGAGACTCGAGTGGACTCTCAATGATATCATCCGGCACTTAAATGTGGCCTGCCTGGCAAAGTCAAGAGCGCCATCAAGGTTTCTGGATGATACGATGATAGTGAGGCTCTCGGATTCTTGGAATAACATTTGGGGCTGCAGGGACTGGAGGGGAAGGTTGTGCATGGGTTCTTTGGTTGTGAGGAAGATGAAGGTCTCCGGGTCGAGGATTGGGTCGAGAGAGGCGAGGAGAGTGCCTAAATCCCTTTCGCCTTGTAGGCTCATGACGGATGGTGTTATGGAGGGATGGATTCTGAAGTGTACTTTGATCTCCAATTTCGTGTAAAGACGTGTGAGGCCAATATATTTGTTTCTTGTATGTGGGAAGGTACCTTTGATATAACGAGCGTGCCTTTTGAAAATACATGGGAAAGGCTGTGTCAGCTAGCAGGCTAACCTAAACCCGCAAGTAATAGTTACATAGTCATTAGCTCTTTTTCTGTGAGGAATCATGCCTCGTTCAAATTAGCATTCATATATCATACAGCGAGATACGTTTCAGACAGGTGGTGCTTTATTTATTGTACTGTTTGACAAAGCTATACCAGGTTCTAACAGAGCAAGGAGAGAAAACATGGTAAAAGGCTTACGAAGCCCTGTGGCCGTATCTTCTTTGCTTGTCGGCTCCGAAAAGAATGATATAGATACGGAAGTAAAAATGATAGGGAGCACTTCTTACTTATCCAGCTTCGTTAGCTTCATCCGACAAACGAAACCAAAGATTTAAAAAAGAGAGAGAGAACAGCTCGATGGCTACGATACACATAATATAAATATATGGATAGCTAACTATGTATAGGATATCAGTAGATTATGTACACAAAGTACAGTGATGCAACTGTACGTAACCAGTCTTATAATAACCTGAAACCACCAATAAAAATAGGCCGGAAATAAAAAGGAGGTGGGGTATTTCGGTATGAAAAAGCGGGAAAAGAAAAAGAAATCAGCAGAAAACACAACATTCAGACCCAAAACGAGATGTCGATATAATTAAGGAATCTTGCTTGTTTGTGCTTTGCAACCCCATGCTCCTTTTCTCCTCGAAACAACATACGTTCCTTGATATAAGGCAGATGCATAAAGCAATTTGTCCCAGAAATCAGAAACCAAGGACAAACCGTCGCTAATGTTAACCAAAGGGAAGAAATGGAAAGAAATGAGAAGGAAGAAAGAAAGAGAAAGAAAGAAGAATCCGAGAGCACTCATTCATATATTTTCCTTCCCTGTTTTTCGTATGTTATCGTACCTTTTCCTTCACATCCCTTGGCGGGGAGACAACAAATACTAGTAGCATATGGAGGTGATATAAATGACACAGTAGAAAGTAAAATAAATGGAAAAGGCGGATGTATATCAAACATGACGTAGTTCATGGCGTAAATTAGTAAGCAGGAGGGAGAGGAAATGGCACACCACGGTATGAGGATCGGACCTGGGTTTCCATATAAGTGACTAGACCGGAGTAAGTAGGCCAAAAATAATATCAAGAGAAACATGAGCGCATAGATTTTTATGAAGAAGTGTTTGCTTGAGCGCCAGAACCTTTCAATTTCTCGATACAGCTTCCCATCAAATTTGCAGCCTCATGGAGAAGCTCCCACCGGGTGTACGAGAAAGACTCTTGCAAGGTCATCAGCAGGCCCATGCAGCGATTCCGGCCGCGGATATGTAGAAGCTCTTCCGGCGTGCGTACACCGCCAACCCGATCTAGAAACTCGTACATATCCCGACGTCGCTCGTCCGGGGTGGAAAGTTCGGGCACAGGCGCGCTTATTGGTCCATCGAGCGCGTACCCATAGCTCCAGACAACAAGGGAGGCAAAATAAATAACCCACGGCCGATTGAGGAGGAAATCATCACGGGCGCTGTACTCGTTCAAATCCAGGTATCCCGCGGAACCATGTTGTATCACCGCCCGGCCATCTTCGGAGATAAGGACCTGGGTGAGGAATTTCAACGCGAAGAAGGCAGCGTCTCGAGCAGCAGCCTTGTTTGCCCAGCGTTCTGTCATTTTCTCCCGCGCTGTGCTGTAATCCTTGGGAGTAATGGATCGACCAAGCAGGCGGCCGGCTCCGGCAAATATTTGACAGTCAACCACATCAACATGTGATGCCATGTGCGCAAGATGGTGCAAAACTGTACGAGACTCGAAGATAACATCGTCATCCACGGAGTACTGTCGGAAGGCGGAAGAATAGTTCGACGGGTTCGATTCAAGAGCATCATCAAAATCACGCTTCCAGTTATCGTATGAACGCAACAGAGACGACCTCCACCTATCCCGTCCTCCCAAAGCTTGTGCGACGCCTAGTGAACTAACTTGGAGATCTCGTTGATTCATATGCCAGCTAACGCTTAGTAAACCAGCCATTAAAATAGTCCGGCCAAATGAATTTGTTCGTACTTTCTGTCCATTAAGCGTCTTTTTCAGTCCATCTAGAAACATGATTGCCTTGACCCCGTTGGAATGTAGACTCGATTGTACTCTTGCGACTTCTGCAGCGCTCGTTGCTGACCATAGTGCTTCGTCGCAGGGCAGCGGAAGACGCATCTCATGGGCAACCATTTTTGCGGAATGTCCAAACATCGTGGCGTGTGTTGAATCCAGGACGAAGGCTGCAAACGCCACTCTGCGCGTGGCTTCTGCCTTAATCCAATGAGCCCAAGATTCCTCACCCGCCCCGGATTCAGAGGCAGAATTGGTGCCGGAGCCAGTTGTCGATCTGTTTTGCCGGTCATCTCGAAGGCTTGGCGGGGAGTCAAACGCCGATCGGCCTATCAACGAACTTCCTCGCCGCATCAAGGTTAATGTGGTATCGTGATGGATATGAGCACGTTCGTGCAAAGCCCGTGTTGAATACAGCTTCTCGCAAATTTCGAGGAGTAGCAACGTCTGGAACACCCAGAGCTTTGCAGGTGGCTGGAAATCCACGTCCATAAAAATCTCCCACCGGATGTGCCAGGCTAAAAAGTTGGCCAATTCAGAAGCTGCCTCAGTAACGTGGTGTCCATGGTTCTTGTCAAGGGTCGAGGCACCAATGGCCATAATCGCCAAGAGGAGGAGATTCGGCGTTTTATCAGCTGAGAAGGTCGGTTTGTGTAAAATGGGTAGCTGGTCATGGGTATGATACCAGTAAGCAGCAATGTAGGTCTGCATCATTCGTAGGCTGAGAAGGTGCCCATCGTCATCAATATCACCGTCAAGCAAAGCATCCTTTCGCTTTTTCACTGCCGCCTGGTTAGTTTCGTTGAAGCGACTTTGGATAAGCTCCAGCAGCTCATTCCGCTTCTCATCCGACATGATCGACTGGGGAGGTCCCGAGTCAAGAAGGCTCGTTACGCTCATTGGGTGTTGTGGCTGAACTACGTTTGTAAAATAGCTGGTCAAGGCCACATCACTTGGGTAATAAGGTCCCTGGAGTTGAGCAGAGGCTTGGTCCGCGTAATTGGGCATCATGCCAGGTGCATTTGGATAAGCAATTGGAGAATTATTGTTTGAATGCTCATTAAACAACCAAGCAGTAAAATCGTCAGTCATCGCGAAAGGAGATCTGTTCAGTGTTTCACCACCAAATATGGGAAGAGCGTAAGATGATAAAGCATCCCAGTCTGACACAGAGGAGCCGGGAACCATAACACCAGGGGAGGGGTCGAGAGCATTTAAACCGCTGGATATTGCATTTGCAATGGATGCAGAGGTGGCCCTTGTCATACTTGGGTTCGAGTAGCCGGGCGGAGGTAAAGATGACATATGTAAATTTTGTTGCGGAATGTACGTATTCTGATCTGTAACCAAAGTCGCATCGGTGGTCATGCTAGTGGCAGAGATGTATGTAGTGGAACCTGAGAGTATGGGTCCAGTCGACGATAGCCGGCGTTGTTGAACATTTGATGATGGGCCGGAAGGCTGGCTGATTTGATCGAGCTCTGCAGAGCTGAATGGAGTGGTTTGATATCGTTGGCCATCATATTTTCCATATCCTGGTTGGCGATTTGAGACTCCATACATCGATGTGGACTGCTTTTGAGGACTGAGCGTGTAACTACTTGAACTGTCTGACCGTTTTAGTCGCGGATTTGGGACAGCATACTGTTGCTGTGGCGTAAGCGGCTGTAGATGATTTTCAATCGAGGTGGAAGAGGAGGAGCCAGCGGAGCGAACAGCAGAGGAATGAGAGTAGTTTTGGCCATTAGTGGGTCCGCCATTAGGAGCAGAGGAGGACGCGGGAAGATGTGGTCTCGACATGTTCCCCGACGCATTTCCAGATGGTATTTGCTTTGGATACGGTGAAATTGAATCATCTGTCGGAGAACATGTTATATTTGTCCCATTTCCGGTTGGGAAAGCGTTTCGCACTTGGGGAGCGACGGCAGCGAGTGTATTGGCTGTATGAGTGAAGTTGTCGCGCTTTTGGAGCTGCGAACCATGAGTTGTGTGACGTTCTCGATGACGAACGCAGAGATCTTGTCGAACGAAGGAACGATAGCAGTCTGGAAAGTCGCAGCGATAGATGTGTTTTGGCGTATCTGCAAATCATCAATCAGCGGTGACGAGAGCGAAATGGCAGAGGGGGACGACGTAGCGAGATAGAAACCCAATAATACAATACAAGTATAATCACTCCTCAAAGGATAATGTAGATCATGTAATTCAGAAGCAAGAGAAGGACATTTAGCAAGGCAAAAGATAGGTAACTTACGGTTCAGCTGATGTCTATACAGATGTTCAGCTCTGGAGTAACTCTTCCCGCAACCCTCATGTTTACATTCAAACTTCTTCTCAGAATCGCCTTTCCGGGTCCTTTTCCGTTTCTTGACCGAGTCGCTCTGCGAGTGCGAAGGTTCCCCGCTATCATGCTGGTCATGACCTGCGTGTGAGGCATCCCGGCCTTCATCGCGACCTCGCCGGCGATTTTGAGCTAACGAATCAACATCGGCCATTGATTCGACCGCCAGAGTCACAACCAGCAGGGGAAAAAACGATATATAACTATCTATGTATCTATGTATGAGGCTAATGGAAACAGGAGCGTGATTTACACTACCCAATGCCTTTGCTGCAGTCTATAGGAATGGTGTAGGAACCTCGAGCGCCCATGAGAGCGCGAGGGAGGGAGGGCGTGTGAGGGGTAGGGGGACCCTGCGCAAAACGACATCAACCAGGACGCGCTGGAGTGCGACATACGAGAAGTGGTGGAGACGCAGCCAGTATCTAGATATGAAGACTCCGAACGATTGTACGCCAAGAAGGGGGAGTTGCGACGAGAGAGATGAGGGCGATGACGATGGAGGGAGAATGAAGGAGAAAGAACGAAGCGGTTGAGACTGGAAAGAAACCTTGGAATCGTCGGCCTTGACCTGGGGAGAATCGCCTAATAATAAGTTAGCCCGACAAAGTAAACGGCTTGGGTCAGACCTGGTCAGTTCCAGTTAGGGCAGAACTAGCTCGGGGATAGATACGAGCTGCCACTCCACGATGCCAACGCCCAAGCCATCGAGCTATCAGTGGCTGCTGGCTGGCGGCCGATGCAGGTGGCAGATGACCAAGTGCGACTATGGCGTTTCTCTACTTTTCTTCCATCAGAAGAATGTTTGACCTCTTGTGTTCAAAACTTGACCCTTTTCGACAAACTGTGGAAATCTCTCGACTAATCGGTAGTAGTAACTAATACTAGTATCCATGCGGCAGTTTGATGGCATACGGAAAACAATGAACTTCTACTACCACCCACTTTGATCTCCGGACACAACACTATACAGATTACAGAGCACTCGCAGTGGCATCTTACGCAGCGTACATGATCCTCTGGCCTGGTTCCAAGTGTTTGCTTCAAGAAGTTGCTGTGCTGGGTAAAGTTAGCTCCCGGTCCCTCTGCCATGGATTGGAGCAGTATCAACCCAATGATAACCGATCGGTGACAAGCCAGAATTGGCTCCAAGCGTTAATTCTCTCACCCAAGCTCGAGTCGAGCTAGCCGTGGCTTGTCCCCATCTTCACGACATGGTTTCCGTCATCGCCCAAGCCATCAATCCCAGAACAGGTCCGCTTGAGCTTCCACCGACCCTCTTCCACTTACTCCGTAAAAGGGGTCGAATCACTAACTGGTTGCCAGGAGGAAAAAAATTTTTTTATCTGTGAATACTAGTAGTATGAAACAAGAACAGGAAAATCCAAAAGTTCGCCTTCCCATCCATACTATGGAAATCCATTCTCCGAGGGATGATCCTTCGAAATGACGGGCAAAAAGGCGAATTGAATCGCGTTTGCCGAACACATGGGTTCTTGCTAGGGGATTTGATTCCATTTACTCATAGAAATAGCAAGGTTGACTTTGCGTCCTCAATCGTGCCTTGCCTTCTGCACATCAATTTTACCGCAAGAAACAGCACGCGTCAGGGAGAAGAGAAGAAAAAGCAAAAACAGAGAAAAAGACAAGCAGTCTCGAACATCCCCTGCTATCAACCTGGATTTGGGCACCCAACCAGCTGGTAAGGAGCGACACACTAGAGGTATCGCGGCCCAAATACCTGTGGGGGAATCACACATCGAACCCAGATCGAATCTTCGAAAAGCAAGCATCTGTCTGGAGATAGTGGGAGCGTGGGGGAGGCGAAATGATATCGGAGCATATTCAATGTCTTTTATGCCGAACCAAGCATCGAGAAGTTGTCGTTTGGTAACTACAAATGTACTCACAAGAAGGAGATTATCTGATATGGCAGCTGGAGAAACTACCGTGAGTGAGTCGAACGCCTATCTGGATGTATGGAGTCTTCCGGATACATAACTAACAATAATTAGTCAAGTGGATATGTCGGCTAGTGATGCCTCTCTTGTGCGTTAGTTGTGATTATTTTCCCCCAATATATCACTGGCTGATCAGGGTCCAAAACCTTGATACTCGGTAAGACCCCTTTCGGTATCCGCATCTTCGCAAGGCATACTCCAATATCCAGACCGAACAGCAAACTCTAGCATATCCAGTGAAGATCCAAAAACAGCCCTCCGCAGAGCCTTCGATACATGAAACCTTGGTTTCAGGTCACAGATCCTGTTTAATCTTTTCTTCAGGGATGACCATCTATTCCACGTCATGGCTACTAATCCAAACCCAGCGAAGGTATATAAATTAGAACCTTCAGAATGAGACTTGACATGTACGCAGTACACACCTCACAATTCATCCCTGTCTACATCATCAATACTCGAATTGCAGGACTGAAGCGGAGTGTAAGAACACCCTAGGCCGAGAAAAATGGTCCCTCGACGAGGTGCCCAACAGCTAGTCCCTGCATCTCCCGAAATTTCAAAGAAAATGCTCCCGGGAATAACAATTACGAAATAATCAGCGGCAACAGCGCATCAGAATTGGTTATCCTACCCGATGACGCACAAGAATGAGAGAATAATCAGTTTGTTGCTTGATTTTTGTTTCTGTTGATCTCATTCGCAAGGCAGTTTAGCTTGATCCCCAAGCTGCACCTAGCGCTAAATTAACCCGCGCTAAGTATATCAATGTTACTAGCCGAGTGGACCCAAGCCAATTCTTGCTTCTTCCCAGGCCCAAGGGTACAACCTGTGAGGGTGATGGAGAACGAGATGGGGGAAGGATGATGCCTATATTATTCGTATCTATTATTTTACACATGGCGGGAAGAAGATCTCATGACGGACAGTTGTTCCAAATGCTTGGACTGCCCAAATTTATTTTCGAGGTCCGAATTAGGAAGATAATTGATATCACAATGATGCACATTGGATTCGCTACTAACCCACTCACCAGCGCCAGGAACGAAAGGAGCATTTCTTTTAGCGAGAGCAAAAAGCAGTGGGAAAATTTTTCCTTCTTCTTGTATCCAGGGAGCACGCGACGAATATGCATCATGCTGCAGTCCGCTTCTCCAGCTTTCCGTCATCCCAACATAAGTCCACTTGTACCCCAGCACTCGATGTTGGCAGCTAGAATGCGATCCCCGAAGCCCCTGCACCGCGTGCATGAATTTCCCCCTGCCAGGCTGGAGTGATCGCAGGGGCGGTTGGTTATTGTGAAAACATCCGGACAACTCCTTTTTGGACTTTACATCATTTTCTATCAATACATAATACAACTCTTAAACAGCATGCGCTGGAGGAGTTCAAACGATCGTCACGTAGCCAGGTTGCCTTTAAATTCAGGAGCTAGAAGTGAGGATAAAAGAAAATATGGCACGGCTTCTCCCCTACCTACTTTGCACGCAGCGTAAAGAATGTCTCTCCCAATTGGGCAATTTTGACAACTATTGTTTTTGATCATTCTATTCCTTATTGGCAAATTTTCGGCCAAGTGGTTCGAATGATGAGATACGGCTTATAACATCTCGTGGACATAAAAAGAAAGTTCTTCATTTCTATGGTTTGGCTGCTGCAGACATCCTTTCATTTCACTCAGTTGCGTCGAGACTTGAGGGCCCGGACTTTAGTTGCTGCTTCATTAGTCTAGCAGTGTAACCACGATTTCTCCAACGATTTCTGTAGAAGGGGTTGAGCTGACTCGTTTTCTCGCCAGTGAGTTGTTGGGAGTCCTCTTTTGGAGGAACTCATTTTGTTTTACTGACGTCAATAGCATACGCGGGTACACGGCACAGGATTTTACTCTGATCAACTGAGATAAAATTGAGAATCAGATATCCCAAGGCCATTCGAAATCAATGATCGCCCTCTGCTCATAGTCCATAGATACATTGGGTGGGGAAATTACATCGTAGGTCCGCCCAAACATCCGCAGTTTGTCTTTTCTTTTTCTATGCTTTGCAGCCAATCCCCACACAGACACCCTAGTCACCGGGAGTGTCCCATAGCGCTTCCGCGTTTCCAATTACGTTCCACATCTGTGCGTTTTGCCTGTCAGCCTAGCCTGGACCTCCCTCCTTGGCAGTTTGGCATCTCGAAGGCGTGCTCAGATCCATGTTTCACATTCGTCCATTGTCGATTCTTGAAAAAAAAAGCAAAAAAAGAGAATAAGAGGTCAAAAAAGATATCGGATCTCTCCTGCCTTTCCCATTTTCCGCGGGGGTGACTCCTCCGCTATCGGTGAGTGTCTGTCTGCCCTTGGGGGCGGAGGAAAACTTTTCCACAAGAGACATTTTATGGAGACAGGAAGTAGGACAAGGAGAGAGCCATTGCTTTCCCTCATTAACCTCGAGTCTCCACTAGCTTCCGAAGAAGAGCGGAACAGTCAGCTCGGAACTTTGGGAGTTGGAAGCAGCCTCAATCTTTTCACATATCTCTGTTGATTTGTCCAGGGGCCCAGTTAAGAATATCAGCCCAATCAACAATTAACTAAATGGCGTCATTCAGATAACCCAACCAACTGGCGTCCCACTTACTTTTGATATAAAGTAGTGGAGAAAATCAGGCCCTTAGGGGCGATTTCGTCATTAGTTCCCAACCGCGTGGGAGAGGCCAGGAGCCATAAACTCCTCACCAGACCAAGAGACTTGACTTCCGGCACCGCTCCCCGCCTCATCCACATCGAAGCTAGCGGAATAGCACAAAAACCACTGTTCCGCCTGAGTACGTGCCGACCATGTAGTAGCTGTATACACAGTGTACTTACAAAGGTCCACAGACAGAAAACCCCAGCGTCGCTAACAGCGCCATGACCTGGTATGTGCACAGGCCACAAAATGAGCTTGGCGGGGTGTGTTCAAACGCTCACTAACCCTATTTGTGAGAGAAGTTGAAGTGCACCCAGTGTAGGACTTGTGACCGCACGGGTGTGGCACTCTCTCTGATAAGCATTCAACTAGCATTGATGGTTTCATACTACTTTGTTGTCTCTTGAACAACAAGTTTGTCCCATTTTCTCCTCTCCTTCTGTTTCTATTCTATCCTATTGGGAGGGGCTTGTGCTTGAAGCATTGGGATGAGATGAAACTGGGACGGAGATTTGTTATCCCGCTCCATCCCGCTCCATACTTCAATGATACATTCTGCCCCATCCCATTTCGTCCCTTGGGACAGACTTGTGCTTGAAGAACGAGACGGGATGGAGCTGGGGCAGGATGGCAGGTCTACGAGTCAGTGACAACCGTGCCAGCACGTTCTTTCTTCTTTCTCACTCTCTCACATACAACCGGCGTAAATTTCGTCGCGTGATTCAAGCGTTCGAAGCACCATGTGAACATCAACACGTTTTCCTTGCTTTAAATGACCAAGCTATTACTGTGGCTGTGCTGTTTTGCAATATTCTAAAACTTCAATGATTTCTTTTTGTTAGCTTTATCTGTCGTCACCCCAAATCACATGTTAACATGGGAAAGAGATACCCTCAGGGTCAACCCACGTCGCTCAGCCAGCATTGCTACCATGAATGCAGAGCCTGCGCGTTCAATCCCGCAACGTACAGCGGAGGCAGAGCCTTCAGAGATATCAACAATACCAGGAAGTTCTGAGTCACGGGTTAACAATGCCAGTGAGCATATTGGTCGCTATGTCCCTGGACAGCATCTAAAACTGGACATAAATCAATACCTCTTTAAATGCCTTCCTTGATTGGCTCCCAGAGGAAGGGGTTGATTCTCTTATTCATGATGTGGAGGGTTGCGGAGATGATGACCAGTGCCTTGATGATGTCTCTGAAAATCTGGCATTCTGCACTCTTGCATCCTAGTAAGCCGACCATGTTTACTAATTATCAACCTTTTTACTTAGTTGGCGTAACTATATGTATATAAATGCTGATTCTTCACTGTAGTGAAGGCTTTAAGCAAGACAACCTCAGTTGGCTCGCTCTCCAATCTTCAAGTGTAGGGAAAGCGCAGAGATTGTTGCTGCAAGCTTGCCTGAACCCCAAGTCACGAACAGCTCTTTTTCGTGAGATGTGCCTTCGCCGAGATGATCATTGCTGTGTAATCACACAACAGATTGATATCAACCACTAGTTGAGTCTTAAACAGCCTCCAGCTGTTATGTACGGAGATGTAGAGGACGCACATATTATACCCTTTGCTTATGCTGGTTGGCAAAATGATTCGGCACACCTCTTCATCGAAACACCCCATTTCTTTGAAGCAACATGCTAATATAATACACGGTGGAACGGATGCTTCAAGGATATGGGAATGCATGTGGTATGTGTGAAGTCAATAGATCGTATTACGCAAGAGTGGGAAGACATTAAGGAAAGCGATTGTGGGCATGGTTACTTGAGGGAAGATGGGAAGTCTGATGTTTCGAGATTTCTGAAAAGTTTGCTTCTCTGGGCAAAATGGCACCTGGGGTAATGTGAAGGCGAGATTTTCTGTGTGTATTTCGATGATCTGATATGATATCCAACCTGCCCGGTTAGATTTTGCGTGAAATCGGTTTGTCCGGAGCCTGGAATTCATAACTGGAAGGATGTGCAGGTGCGAATGCACGTGTACAATATCAAATATGCAATCTTGGACGATGCCACTTTTCATCTCTTTGAACAGTGTGTGTGACTTGTGGCTGTACAGGCCGTTCAAATTATTATAAAGTACTACATAAGGAGGACTGGGCGCTGAGGATGACGGGACTGCATTCGTGGTTTTCAAAGATACATTAATAATCGTATAACTATGTTGGTATCAGAGAGATTTGCATGTAATATGTCTTCTTAATTCTTATCGGATCATGTAGATCGCGTCCAAATCAACGTCATATTAACTTCTCATTGGAAATTTCTCCCACCGGAAGAAAATAAAGCTCTCAAGTCGGTCATATATGTCCAAAATATTCATTTGCATGATCCATCATCTCAGCATCCTATGGTCATCCCACTTTTGCCCCGTCTGTTAGTTTTCGCACCATGTCTGTCTGCTACACATATCCTCTATTCCCGTTACTAGCTCATTCCCGACCCGACCCAGCCCATGACGCAAATCCTCCTTTAGCTCCTTGTCCGCTTTTGTCGACTACGTACAAAGACTAAATTTAGGAGAGGAGGAGAAAATGAGGTAGTAATAAAAATAAGAAAAATAAATAAACCACATAAATAAAAGAAGAACACCGTATAACAGCCCAAAAGGAAAGAAATTGAAAAAGAAATCAAAAAAGCGGAAAAGGGGAAGGAGGCTAAAATGAAGAAATTTGTTGTTGGCGATGATGCGAGCGGTATGGTATGATAAAACATCAAGATCTCATGATTTCCTCTTTTTTTTAACATTATCGCAGCTGCTGGTTTCTTATTTCGTGTCCATGGCTGTCGCCAGATAGATATATATAATAAAGTAAATAACAATAATAACCTAGCCACTGAATTTGAAGCGGGCAGCTTCCAGCCTACCCAACCCTTCTCGCGGGGCTACATTTCTCCGTCGATACGAGTTTGTAAAATCTGTAAGAGAGGAAGATATATAAATCATCAGACATGATGTGACTAAGGATACGCGAGGATGGCAATTGACAATTATAATAGGTATCCGCCCCACCCTTGGCCAAAAGGAAAAAAGAAAAGATCAACGAACCTTGTAAAACAACCCTTGTCTTCCGAACATCACCTTGATAAATCCTCTCAGACAACGACTTCATAAGTCGTTCACTTTCGCCAGGCTTCAACGTGCCGGGGGGGAGCATGTGCACAGTCGCCTCCACCCAGTTCGCTGTCTCCTGCGGCATCAGTTCAAACAGCGACATTAGTACCCCCGAGGCATCGGGAAAACAGTCGTCGGGGAAACTGAACATCATCCCTGTCAGCACTCTCTGGACGAGAACCGCACCCTGTGACGTTATCAATTGCTTCACAGAAGCTTGGACCTCGGGAGGGTTGGTAAATGGTTCGCCATCTGGGCCCGCGAATTCAGATATCGATGGCTTGTCGGTCCCAAAGCTAAGCACGTCGCGACAGTAGTGAAGGACTGCTCTTAATGGGTCCACTTGCTGGAGTGTAAGTGCGCTTAGTGAGGCGGAGAAAATGGGTGCTGCTAGGGGAGAGATTAGAGATTTTTTAGGATAATAGCGCACTGCGTCAGTTAGGAGGCGGAAGAAATCTTCGATCACTGTTTTATAACGATATGGTTAGGATATTATAATACAGCAAACGATGGGAGGGCTGTATTCCTTGGGGAGGATTATCTTACTATCAGGGAGATGATGGGGAGGTAAGTCATTAAGTATTCTAAGGAAAAGCACAACTTGTTGTTCGAAGAATTGGTATACCGCGTCACTTGTCGATTGTTCGACATATTCCGCCCCTTCCGAGAATTCTCGAATGACCGCATCTGTGGCCCATAGGAAGCAGCCTTCTTTGGATGCTTCGAATCCTGCTGATATGCTTTGCGCCAAGCTCGGCAGGAGAGGAGTCATCGCATTGCGGTAGGATATGATCATATGCCGCCAGCATCGGCATACCCGCTCCAATATTGGGATGGACTTTGTAAAATTCAATACGATGGTATTTAGAACGGGAAGGATCTCTTCGCAGTATGTGACTCCGGGATTTTGGGTTCCGGGGCCGACGTAGGGAGAGACAATTTGGATGAAAATGGTGATCAGCTGGAGGTGATCTGTAAGGGGACAAAAAAGTCAGTCGTAAGTTCTCATAGTCGTAGAGGTTAACATGACACAACTAACCTGCAACCGCCTTCTGGCCAGCATCATCTTTAGCCTGGTTGGCGAGATTCATGATTCTATTCATGATGGGATCGCAGAATAATTTTAGCGTTTCATATATTTTATCAACTGGTTGGACAGCAACTACAGCAGCCACCCCCTCCGTAACTTCTTCTTGGCTCGACGGTTTCAGGTTGTCAATGACCGACTCGTAAAAGGAATGCAGCTGTGGAATATGGCCACCAAGAAGTTTCTGACAATCAGTGCCAAGGAACTTGAACGCGAGAGCTGCCGCCTGAACGACCTCCTGGGATTTGTGCTGGAAACCGGAAATGACATAATTCAATTGGGCTTCGAGAGTCTCAGGGTGTTGAGCTGTCCATTCCGTGTATCGACCAAGAGCCATGATAGCCTGGAACCGCACTTTGTCTTGATCGGGTATTTGGACGATGAGAGGGATAATTTGCGGTAATACCGTGCTCTCTTCGGGCTCGACCATCCGTCCCATCGCTCTCATACTAAAGAGTGGCGCTTCTAGCTCTTGCCAATGTGGTACATGATCATGTGTAGCTTGCGAAGCGTATTTGGCGACCCACGCTTGAATCAGGCTATATGATTTCCCGAGGCATTCGGTAACGCCAATAACAGCACAGCAATCTTTAAGAACATCACCCATAGCGTGACGGAACTCGCGGAATCTCTCTTCTTGCTCGCGATCTCCATTAAATAGGTCGGCCCGCTCGTCATCCGGGGAAGGGAATTCCAGGTGTCTAATCATAATATCAACAAGTTTCGAGAATAAGTCTGCAAGGGCCGTTCTCGCCCCCATATACCGTTCAAGCGTGAGGTACTGTTTAAGCTCGTACCAAAAGACAAAAGTGATGGAAATGGCATCCCGCTCCATATCGACAGCACAGCACTCTAGAACGGTTTCAACTAAACTTCTGAACTCAGCAGGCAAACGGGCAATCAGGACTACCCATGCTTCGCCAGCTTCAGCAAAAAGTCTAGTCAATCCTCTGAGCATGTCAGGGTCCTCTTCCTCCGTGGCCTCCCTAATTTTGGGTCTCAGGGCAATTATCCTTGGATACAGCTTTTGGATAATAGACATTGAGTCATCAACCTCAAGTGTGTCCCTATAGATTGTACATATCGTATCCACAGCAGCTTCGAACGAGCGGGGATCAGAAAGGCCCTTGAAAATTATGTCCAGAAGGGGAGAGTTGACGATTTGGGAAGATGGAATTTCACGCATCCAGGAGGTAATGCATTCCAGTAGCTGTGGATTTGTTGCGGCAGATTCTATTTAATCGAGTGTCTTGTCAGCGGCTTATACGGGACAAAGTGACGAAAAGGTGTAGGGGTAACGGATGTAAACATGTTTCTTACCAGAAGACTGCGCATATTGCACTAGGAGACTTAAAACTTGATCCGCGTTGTTCTCCAATAGTTCTGCTGTCCTTGTAGAAAGTTCCTCTTCCTAAGTGTTTTGATGATGGATTAGATTCTAGACTATGGCCGAAAGGGAGAGATGTCGTAGCTGAATATGTTCTTGCTGCGCAATAAAGGCGGAGATTGATTGGATGGATTTAGATGGTAACTCGGCCGCACATACAGTCAGGTTGATTTTTCGTCCTTCTGTGACCTCCTCGGGCAGAATTTTGAGGAATTCCAAAACACAGTCTCCTCCCTCACTTCCCACAGCTGAGCCGACGGTTGCGAGGACATCCTTCCATGCTGTCATCTGGATAGCGAGGCTAGCTAAACAAACACACAGCTGGGTCCTTATCGGTTTTGGCCCCGAGCTATAAGCGACTAGAAGGGAGAGAACGGAGTCTCTCAGAGCCGCCAAGGACTCATCCGGGAGTTGATCTAGGTCATAGGTGATCTATTGGAAAAATTATCGATCAGCGGGGTTGTGCAGAGCGCAAAAGGAATGCTGGAATGTGAAGACCATGGTCATACTTTTCCCTTCAGCGTGGTAGCTGCGAAGAGCTTTGCTTCAACGGGTATCTCTGAGGATTGTAATAACGCATGCGTTGTTGTCCAAGCTTCGACCTAAGTAAAAGATGGGTTGGAGTCAGAACGAGGTAAGTTCGGGCGTTTACCTGAAAAGTGAGTCCGGGAAGGAGGATATTCTCACTGATTTTTGGAATTTCTCTAGGAATTCATGCGCATGGGTCTTTTCTGATCGAGTGACATTGCCTTGCATTGTAGCAACGGCAGCTAGGACAGGCGCAAAGGCCTGCCCCGCGCCGTTCTCTTTGGATGCCATAGTGGGATGTGGGCGATTAAAGTGAAGGTCGGGTAGCAATGTGAAGGATCGATGTACACGCTGGATCAGGTCAGCCAGGCTGAGAGGATGGATAGCGACTGGGAAAACTCATGAATCAAGCCAGCTCAAAACAAGGAAATCAGTAATGGTGGATATTTCATATTAAAGAAACGGGGTTGGGCGGTGGTTCACAGTGGTTGTTGTGGTGAGGGCAGAAAAAAAGACTTTGGCAGACGACAGGGACACTGGAGCAGATTTTAGCCGCATAGGCATGCATCACCAGAACAACCGCCTGGGGAGTTAAATATCACACTGCAACAACCACCGAACATTCTACTCTTCCACTCACTCGATCACTACCTCAGCGTCTTCCCGACATTTACTCTCTCCTCGCGCAGCTTAAATACTCCCTCTCTCAGCCATCGGTTGACAACATATCTAATATTACCGCGCAATCCCTCCAGTCTCACGCACAATGACAGGCAGAGGTGGAGGTGCAGGTCGAAAGACCCTTCTGGCTCCAATCCATTTTATTTTCAAACTCCTACAGCAGAGATCCGTTGTTTCAATATGGCTCTATGAACAGCTGGCGATCCGGATAGAAGGGAAAATTCGGGTTCGTTTTCTCTATTTGCTCTTTTGCCGTGCATACTCAATTTTCCCCCATGTTCTATTTTATAACATATCGCCATTGAAAAAGAGGCTAACACTTATTCATCTTTTGTACAAAAGGGATTCGACGAGTTTATGAACCTGGTCGTCGATGACGCGGTCGAAGTTCGTTTGGCAACGAAAACAGAGGATGAAAAACGCAGACAACTTGGTATGAGAGATTACGATTACCCATTCGTTGAGGCGCTCGCTTCGTTATCTACACAACGCTTACCTACCGTGCAGGTCAAATTTTACTCAAAGGCGACAACGTTTCGTTGATCCAGGCGCTTCAATGAAATTGCAAAAGCGGATGGTCGAATTATACGGTGACTTTGGGACAGAACAGGCGTTAGGATGTTTATTTGCTGCTATCTGATTCACACACAAAAGAGAAGCTGATGCAGTTGGGGCATGGTCTTATGGCGACTTTGAAAAGAAATGAATTCTACTGTTTTTGCTGGCTGCTTGAAGTGAGAATGCGCCCGTTTCCAACGATGAGGGCATCCACGGAACAGTCGTGATCAGCGATTGGTATCTTCTTCCCAGAGGGAAGAAGCTGCTCGGTAAGGGCCAAGGCGACTGAAATGAGCCAGAGTGGGAAAGCAATACAGTTAGCAAGGGAGTCAGTGATATTGATGACCACGAATAATTTTTTTTAAGATGTTCATTTCCTGTTGAGTTGGATAGCTTCCTTACCGAGATGTGGTTTCCGCATGCCTGCTTTATTTTCTTCTCCACCATTTTGCTTATTACCCATCAATCGATTGATGAAATGGTCATAATACCCCTTGCCGTGTCCCAATCTTTGCAACTGTTCGTCAAAAGCTAGCCCGGGCATAACAACCAAATCCAATCCTGAACTTTCGTTGACGGTTGCGGGTGACTCTGATTCTGTCATCGTGCTACCTGATTGAGTGGTTACTCCAGCGGGGATACCGTACCCACCCAAACAATTCCTCCGACTGCCAATTGTATCCGCATCTAGTGTCGGGATACCCCATCTATCGGCTTGTAGGGATTCATAGTCTTCAAGAGAGCGTAGCGCTAGCATTTCCATGACCGAGGAACGACCCTGTGTTGCCGCTGCGGCTGGGTCCGATTGGTAGAGATAAGGGACGTATACTTGCTTGCCTCGGCTAAAAGCATCACGAACAATTTCGATTGTTGAGATTTCACCAGAGGGCATTGAGAGATAGACACTGAGCCTTTTGGCTGCGTGGTATTCAGGGAGTGCCAGTAGATTTGTCGTGACGATCGATGCTGGTATATAATGACCAAGTAAGTACCACAGCAAATGAAAGGCGGGGAGCTAGGTGAGCGAGCGGGGTTGCTGACATTGTGCCATTACGGACTCTTTGGATACTTCTGAGAGTATTCTCCGAAGCTTTTTGCGTAGTTCCTTCTTGGCTGTTTGCAGAGTAGCCATGGCGATATGTACGTATATATATATAAGGATACTCGAGTAAGTTAATACGATAGTTAAGTGGAATGTTTGCGCTCTGGGGAGGAGTAGAAATCTGGTGAATATCTCTTCGGGTTCTTTTTACTTACACTATACTGTGTAATGGAGGATTCGACTGTTTGAGTACTATCTATATAAAATACTCCAGCTGCGTCTAAATATTTGTTGTGGATGAAGCAATATCCCCGCCGCAACCACTGGACAAGAGATCAAATAGTCGAAAAAATAGCCGCAGAATACGAATCTGGCTTGGCCTTCCCACTAAAGAACAGCACTAACTGATGAACACTCCAAAATAGCCGCTATCGGGTGTTTATCGCGGATGATATCAGTGGCGGATATCTGTTGATATGCATATAAAAGTCAATGTTCTTGGATTCCCTTGCGATGACGTTGTACCATCAAGTATATTACCCCTTTGTGGTGTAAATGGTCTCTCCGTTTAAAAAAAATTTCAAAACGAGCAGGTTCATTGTTATTTACGCAGCATATCGGTCAGGTACGTTGTTAAATAATGGTCGAAATATGGCGTACGTGAACCAGTACCGTAGAACTTGCTGCGAGAACAAACTTTCGACACATCGTGAACTCTTCCCTCCTCGTTCCGCTTCTCCACGCAAAGCTACATAAATACACACGCCACAACCAACTCTCCAGCCCAATCCAATCCAAGTAGACTATCTTCTGCTTCTGCTTCCTGGTGTTTCACTCTTCACTTCCCCAACTCGCCAATCTCCCATCCCCATGTTCCAACCTCGCAGGCAGCCATGGAAACCATGATGTTGGCTGCGTTGCCTCTACTATTCCTCTCCTCCTGCTTGCCTGCTTTCGTCATTGCTCAAGGTCCGGCGGATCCGCGACTAACAGGCACTTGGACGACCAAGTCAATGAAGGTCTTTACAGGCAGCGTACGTGCATTGCTATCATATATGTTTGGGATTTCGCGAAGGAAACAAGGGAAAAGAAACAGAACTCTCTGCTGACGATTTACGGCCGTCGTTTCTTTGGTAAAACGCTGCAGGCATTTTACGATCCAATAAAAGATCGATTGAAGGAGCCGTCGCTTACAGGTATCTCATACTCATTCACCGCAGATGGGTTCTACGAAGAGGCATATTTTCGCGCGGTTTCTAATCGTCAGTCACCACATCTCCGTGTATCCCATCATCCAGCAGAGCTGACATTATTTCTGTTGCATCTTATTAGCTACCACACCAGAATGCCCTTCGGGGATAATGCAATTTCAACACGGAACCTATAGAGTAGAACCCAATGGGTCTATGATCCTGACCCCGTTTGACTCAGATGGTCGCCAATTGATCTCCAACCGCTGTGCTGGCAAATATGCGGAGTATACGCGATATACCCAAAAGGAGGTCTTCCAGGTAAAGAAGGGAAATCCCAAAGATAGAAAATAGAAATAGAAAATTTTCATAAACGGAAGACTTGCTAACGATCGAACTTCAGAGATACGAAATCCTAATAGATCCGTATAATCGAGTCGAACGCCTTAATATGTTCCAATTTGATGGCTCCCCTTTGAACCCCATGTATCTCGCGTTTCGACAACCGCAGATGCACCCGACACACACGCTGAATCCGATACATACCACTAAGGGAGCTCCTAGAGCGACAGCGATCAGCGAACGGAAAGCTAACGCGAAGAAAGCAAAACGCTCTGAAGCAAAAGCAGCAGAATTTGAGTTCGCCCAATCGCCGTTAAGCAAGAACTCATTCGTCAAGAGGATGAACTACTATCATTCGAGAATGGAAAAGCTGTCGGGCACAGATAAATTGTGGTGGATAGGGTTAATTATGACGTCTGTTGGCAGCCTCGCCCTGATCTATAGATGAGGATGATTTGCATACCATGTTATACCGTTTTTTCGTGCTGTGCCTCGTTTTCTGTCTTTCATGTTCCCTTGGGTCTATATTGTTTCTTATAGCGCCTAATGCCCATGCTGTGTCTTTGCCCTCCTTGATTTCTTTCTGCGTCATTATTATGGGTCTGGCTTGCTGAAGGGCCGTCTTGGGTTATACAAGGCGTTTGTGACTGGTAAAACGGGGCACCAGCTTTGTATTTCACATACGTATATATGGACAGGGCATATGTGCTGTCACTTCATTGTCTCTAAACTGCGCGTCTAATAGTACAGCTAGCTAAATAAATCGAGGATTGATCGTGTGTCGATTGATTCGCTTACTTCGCAGACATTATGCATTTATTTTTCTCCGGCCAGATGTCAAAATTGTAACCTACATGAGGAAAGGGAAAATCTATCATTCAATATCATCATCGTAAATAAGGGCAACTTCCATCCTGGGAGGATCAAAATAATCAAAATACAACGTAAATACAACCTCGCGGTCGTGTCATCTTCCAGTGCTCTCGCCGTTCCACACGCCCTGTTTGAGTTGAGAAATGGCGAGCCATACTGTATGCCTATTTCCGCGTTCAACCAATCCACCTAACTCTAGAGAATAAAGGGATGGAGCGGAGAAGAAACAAACGCCGTAAAATTTCCCAATAATGATAATGCAAACACGCTCTCTCATGTTCCCTACAATTCCCTCCACTCCCTAAGATATCAGCTCCTTCGCGATCTTTGAGACCTGCCCTACTTGAACTGGCTTTCCTTCCAACGAACCCCCACGTCCCACAAGTGCCTTTATGACAAGTCCTATAACAGGCTTTTGCCCAGAATCCTGCATCTTCTTAATAGCCCTCGAGACAGCAGCTCGGACTTCCTCAACGCTCATCGTTTCCACCTGGCTAGCATATCCTTTCAGAACTGCTAGTTCATTATCAGCGCTCTCGCTCAGGTCAGTTCGTCCCGCGTCCATGTATTCGCCTTTGGCATCTTTTAACGCCGCCGTGCGCTTGTTTATTAGGTTTAGGAGTTGGATATCGGTTTTAATGGGCGACGACGTCTTTGCGGCATTGTTTGTTTCTGATATTATTGCGCGGAGGACGTTCAGTCTGTTCACATAGAGTTAATGTAGGAGAACCGGAGATTGCAATTTCAGCTATTCACGCACCTCGCGGTGTCCTTCGCCCTCAAGGCATCCTTCAGGTCTGATTTAATTTTAAAGAGTAATGGGGGAGCTGTTGGGGTAGCTGTAGAGTTGTGCCGGACGACGCGTCGAAGGCACTGCTGGGGCCCGGGTCTGACTGATCGGAACATTTGTTTGGATTATGTAGAGAAATATGTAGGGAATCAGATATACTATGTTATAATCTGAAAGTCAGCATATATATAGTGCAATTGGGCAGAATTATCTGAGATAACAGGAGCACTGGTTGAGTGCTTTTGGGTCGAGGAGTTGATTGGTCTGTGCACGCTCCCTTGTTTTTTTGTGTTTTTGAGCTTGTGTTGAATCCACCGTTTAAAGGACGTCTCTCCACGCAGCTGGCCTTACACGTCTCCCACGAGGTAACCAGCATAATTTGCCTTTCTCTTTTGCTGCCGCTATTCTGGCTTATTTGCAGTGTCGCATCTTCTGGCACGCCATCCTTTTTCCAGAGCAGGGAGGCCATTCTACCAGCTTCATGCGCCGACGCATGTTTAAACAATGACCGCCCCCCCTCTTACTCCTCAAAGACCTCTACCAGGCACCTATTTCCAGACTCCAGCTCACCCTAATTTCAATGGGCCTCTCTTTCAATCTTCTACCATGTCTGGTGGCGGCGGCCTACCCACAACTGCCGCCGCACTTCCGCCCCAGCCTCTTCGTGCAAGACTCCCAATGACAACGGTCAAGAGCAGAGCAGAAAACCTGAACCCACGACAACGAGCAGCGCTGACAATAGATGAGGCGTTGGCGCAGGAGTCGCGATACCCAGATTTAGACAGTTATTTATCTCGTATGTACAGACAAAATTACCTGGTGTTGTGGGAAATTGCGCTGGCATAATTCAGAAGGCTAATCACAGAAACGATGTATGTAGAGGGATTTTCCTCCGATTATGATATTCCCACATCGGCATCGTGGGCGCCATTTCAAAAAGTTAAGATGTACAATATACCGGACCAGATTTTCGATCAATACAATCGGGCTCAGGTATCGACAAATATGGGCCTTTTTGCAGAACTGAATCATGCCTGGGTTACTATCGACAATGCGCTGTATCTCTGGGAGTATACGCATCCCAACCCGCAGTTGGTGGGATTTGAGAGCCAGCCGAATAGTATAAACGCTGTTAAGTTAGCTCGCCCTCGGCCAGGCGTTTTCCTCCCGTCAATTTCACATGTTCTTGTTATCTCTACTACTGCAGAGGTGTTAATCTTGGGCCTGGGATGTGAGACGTCCGCTTCAGGAACAAAGACAGTAACCCTCTATCAAACTGGGATGGCTACATCGATTCGAGGGTTGGACATCAACGTAATTACATCATCAAACTCGACTGGGAGGATATTTTTTGCGGGGTCTGCCGACAACGACGTATATGAGCTCACATATCAACAAGAAGAGCGATGGTTCCAGGGTCGGTGCGGGAAAGTGAACCATACGAGCAAGAGTTTTGCCGCCTTCACCCCGTCCATTATTCTAAGTCATAAACCGACGGAATTTGTTGAGCAACTGGTGGTTGATGATAGCCGAAACCTGTTATACACCCTTTCCTCGAACTCGTCTATCCGGGTATTCCATCTGAAGCCTGATGGAACTGTCAATCTTACAATTACAAAGCGTGCTATTGACATATACTCAAACCTTGGCCATATTATCAGCTCTAACGAAACGCTCAACCCTGGCGTTAAGATAGTTTCTATCAGTCCTATCCCAGCTGCAGAGGCTTCTAGATATCATCTGATGGCAGTCACCGCGACGGGCTATAGGATATATCTCAGCGCTACCGGGTCATATAGCTGGTCCGCAACTCCGACTGCGACCAATGCTCCGACCAGCATGCAAGCTCACCATGTGAGGACACCACCTTCTGACAACCCTGCAAGCCAATTACCTCAAGGACGTGGGGTTGTTGGGCCGCCATATCAGGTCTTGCCGGGAGCAAAACTTGCCATCCACTCACTTGACCCTACTAGATCTGCTCAACGATTCCCTCCTGGTTACTTTTTCTGCTTTACGTCAAAAAACTCCACCAATAGAGCAGACACTCTTTTTATTTCGACTCCAGACTCTGGTCGTCTTTCACGACCTCAAGAGAGCGCACTCCCGATTAAACCTGGCGAAACCGCGATCTGGCTAACGCTTGGCAGTCGAGCAGAAGACATCGGGTTATGCACACCAGAATTCACTATGCAGCCGCAAGGAGGCTTTGGAAATGAGCTGGCCGTTCAATTCGACAAGCCTGCTGCGGAAATTGCTGTTTTGACCAATACCGGTATTCACGTTATTCGAAGGCGGCGACTAGTGGATATCTTTGCATCACTAATACGGAGCGATAGCGGAGAAGAGGGCCTTGAGACTCAGGTAAAATCACTGATACGATTGTACGGCCGCAGTGAGACGCTCGCGACCGCTCTAGCAGTCGCCTGCGGTCAGGGAGTGGAACTCTCTGCGGATTCTCGCCTTTCTAAGATAAACGACCCCGACGTCCTTGAATTTGCGCGTAAGGTGTTTATTGAGTTTGGCGGGAAGCCGACCTTTAATGAGAATGCAGTTGCCGACAACTCCACTCCTGCGATTGATGCTGTCATCCCCTCACCACGCCATGCTGGTATTGCGCTCTACACTTCGCGCCTCTTGAGATCGATCTGGAAAACGGTGATTGCCAAGCAGAGTCGGACCCCAGCGGGAGGAGTCACCATTTCGCCATCTGTCGATACTTCGAAATTGCATTCAATTCAGAGAGATTTGTCCGCCCTTCAGGATTTCTTCCGGACGAACAAATCCTTTATTGAGGGATTGAGTGGGCCAGAGGCTCTCTCACGAGCTGTTACAAAACAAGATGAGATTGCGCTGCAAGGCGAGCATCGTGCCTTGCATTCCATGGTCCAGCTAGTCTCTGATACAATAGAAGGTATTTCGTTTGTTCTGGTCCTGTTCGATGAACAGGTTCACGAGATCATCGCGCTATTACCTGAGGAAACAAGGCAACGATTTTTAACGCTCACATTCGAGGAGTTATTCAGTAGCAGCAAGGGCCATGATGTTGCGAAAGAGCTTGTCAAGTCTATTGTTAATCGAAATATTGCTAAAGGCTCTAACGTTGAAACGGTTGCTGAAGCCTTACGGCGAAGATGTGGCACATTTTGCAGCGCAGAAGATGTCGTTATTTTCAAAGCTCAAGAACAACTCAAGAGAGCTACTGAAGCTGGTGGGAATTCCGAATTGGGTCGCAATTTGCTTAATGAGAGTTTAATCCTTTTTCGCCAAGTTTCTGAGAATCTGTCCATGGATTATCTCCAATCTGCGGTGGAACAATATATCCAGAACCAATTCTTTGCCGGTAGGTGCTATCGGTTGGTCTCCCGCTAAATGATTGGTGATCTGATTTTCTTTTTCTTCTTTTTTTCATAGGTGCGATACAACTGTGTCTGAGCGTTGCAGCCCATTCTGACAAGGCAAATCGTGCGCTTTCTTGGATTATGGATGGTCGTCCACCAGAGGTATTTCCCCAGTGCTATTTATTTGTTTCTACTTTTTGTCTAACTTTGATATGATATAGGATCCCCGACAAGCTAGTTATGAAGTTCGTCAACAGTGCTATGACCTAATCTACAAAATTATTCTCACAGTCGACGAACTTTCGGGCCAAGATCCTGGTTTTGTGGATGGGCAGTATACTGTTATTGCACGAAGAAAGAATGAAGTTTACGATGTGATCTCAAATTGCGAGGATGAGGTGTTCCTCACCAGCTTGTATGATTGGTACTTAGAGCGAGGTTGGAGCGAACGACTTCTTGAAGTTAAGACTCCTTTCGTCGTAACCTACCTTCAAAGAAAGTCCACCGAAGACCTATCACATGCAGATCTACTATGGAGGTATTACGGACAGTCAAGTCGATTTTACGATGCCGCATCAGTTCAGCTGCAGCTTGCCCAGAGCTCATTTTCACTCCCCCTGAGTAGACGGATTGAGTATCTCGGCCAAGCCAGGGCAAATGCGTCTGTTTTCACACCAAACGTATCACGAGCATCGAGGCAAAGGCTAATTCAGGAGATTTCGACCTTGATTGATATAGCCAATGTACAAGACGACCTTCTGCAGAGGCTTAAGGAAGAAACTAGGATTGCTCCAGAGCGCAAAGCTACAGTTCTGCAAGAGGTAGATGGTGAGATTATGGAACTCAATAAGGTATGGTTAAAGCCACTGACCCCCAGACATTATAACAAGTCTGAGGTTACTAACACAGATTCGCCCATTTTAGCTTTATAATATGTATGCTGACCCTGGTGGCTACTACGATGTTTGTCTTCAAATCATGCATCTCGCCAATTACCGCAACGCTTCCGACATCAAGGCATGCTGGCATAACCTAATCCAAGAAGTCCATGATGAGGCTTCAGCAAAAGGCGAACCGCTCCCCTATGAAGCCGTCATCGAAAAGATCCGAGGCCTCTCCGGCCGCCTCAGGATGTCAGACACTACATTCCCAATCCAGATCCTACTACCAATGCTTCAGCGCTACGTATTGGAACAGCAGCTAGGCGTTGGCCCGGACAGCTGGATCGTAGAACTCTTTCTCGATCTCCAAGTTTCACATGAACTCATCTACACCGTTCTCGAATCATTGTTCTACAACGACGAAGTGCCTTTCCATGGCAAGAACCGCCGGTATATCGGACGAGATCTGCTATACCTGATCGCCCGCTGGTTCCAGGAATCATTGCGTGTGGGAGCCGGGGCGTTTGGAAGTGATATCTTTGCTTCCCGCGTATCCGAGATGTTGCTGTTATTGCAACAGAGCGGGTTGGATGACGAGTCGGTCCAGGCATGTCGCGATTTGCGGGTTAAAATTGAGCGATCTCTCTAATGGCCTGGCCCAGGAGGACGCTAAAGTGATTCCGTGGCGCAACTGTGGCCCGTTAACTCTTGTAATACATTAACCATGGAAGTGGAAATCGCGATTCCAACCTGAAAATGGGTGTATACTGCTAGTTAGTGTTCTATGCATAGCGTTTTTGAATTTCAAATCGAAAACCTGTCTGCGTTAGCACGGTTGATTTTGTAAAATCGACTCTCCTTCCCGTTTATATCATTTACACCTAAGTTAACTCCTGATCTCGCCTCTTGGTTGTGATTTTGTTTCCCCTTTTTTTGTAGTTGTTTCCAAAGCCCTCCCCCTCACCTCGTTATTCATTTTACCCCCCCTGCGTCATATATTGCCCTTTACTTGTTTTATTTGTAGCGTTCGCTTTTGTCTCCTATTTTTTATCTCTTTTCATTTCTGTTGAATAAAGTAGATAGATATAAATGACGATAAAGAGATTGAGAGGGAAGGGCTACAAAAGGGACCTGCTAAAATGGCGCAAAGCCAACGAATCAACCTTTTTAATGGAATGCAAGAAGCAAATGCGATTGGATGCTTGTAATAAACAAAATAAAATAAATACAGAAAGACATGTATATACATTCGCCACAACGCCTCGCTCATTGCCTGGTAGAAGTATGGAGCTCGTATGATCGTATATGATGGAGCAAAAAAACGAAATATATCCCTCCCATAACCGTATGTACGTAGTCCCTCGATTTACGAGCTGACTATAACCCCCATATTTTCTGTAAATACACATACCGTTGTCACCCCCAGCGTGCTGCATTGTTTCGAGTTGGTCTTGCTATACAGTTGTATTTCATGGCTGTAGCGATTTGCAAGCCGACAATACTGTGTCATTATGGAATTTTTATCCACGAACAGTTCAGTTTCTAAAAACTGGCAGACTTTCGTCAATTGAAGCGAGTGAGTGGCCGAAACCGAGAACAATTGTTGGCCGACACAAAACTCGAGGGCGGTCGGTAGACCCCTGGAGTAGCTGGCTAGCTATATCGTGTCCATAATTCAGGCGGTCAAGCTATGTAATTACTTCCCGCTACATCCATGCACATGTAATGTACAGTACATTATGATATGAATATTAGCGTCCATTTGCATAAGGACCATTTGCATAAGGACGCTGCTCGGTAAACACTTGTTGGTTGATCTGCATGGGGTCGTCATCATGCTCCTTTGTGACCATCGACGTCGAAAACTCTACTTTTCCCCTTGAAACCAATTCGAATTCCTCCTCGATTTCCTCGCTAGTATTTATCGAATGATGACCACCACCCTTCGATGCCCAGATGTTTTCCTCCGATGATGACCGCCCGTTACCAATTATGGTATTAGACCTCAGTATAGATGAGCTGATTTTTGTAGGACCAGAGGATTGATGTGTTCGATTATCGTGAGTGTTACTTTGCGGCAGTGTGCTAACCCCGAACGTGAAATTCTCGATGTGCCTTGGTGGTTCTGGTGAGCCTGAGTTGTTGCTTCGAGTGTGGAAAAAGATTGTGTATTTCATCAGCAGCGGCTTCAGCGTCACAGCCGACACGGCTATGATGCTTACCCCTATCTCAACTGTGGACCAGATCATTATCTCAGCGTTGGTGTAAAGAAAATCCAGTTGATCATATCCGTGGTGGATGTATGTAATTCTGGATATTGTGGCAACGCTTGCTCTGTAGGGAGGAGTTAGAATATTGAGAATTCTGGGATATATTGTACGACGAACGGGAAACAGAAACTTACATTGCTCCAAAGCCAAGTAGAACCATCGCGGATATCTTTGTACGGGAGTTCATGCTTAATTTCCGCAAAATCAAGGCAGGCACTATTGCAAGTGTTATATCACCCAGGCAAACAATTGAGCCATGTGCGTAGCTTCCAGAGATGACTGCGCGAAAGTGCCGGCACGTCCCTTGGCCATCCGGATTTCGGATCTGCTCCCATAAAAAGTCCACCGGCCAGCAAGTAAACAGGGTGAAGAACCAGTAGAAAGTTGTGAAAATGCCGGTGACTGCGGCTACAGTGTATATCGTGTAGACATAAGCTCGTCCGATGACAACTACTCGTAATAATGACAAACAGAAGGAGATCTTCACAATCCCTGAAGACAAAATATAAAAAAGATCGCAAAGGAAAAAACCCTGTGCTAGCTGTTAACGATGTCTTCTAATGAATGTTGCGCCGCGCTGAGGTTTGTATATCCGACCTTGAATGCATTCATGACCGTGTTCCGATTGGTTATTGCTTTATCATGTTTCCCAAGTCCATTCGTCGTCGAAAATATGAGTGACGAAACAAATGTCGAGAAGAGCAGCTGACGAGTAATGAGTGGAGAATTAGCTAGGCACAACGAGAGACGAGGGCACTGTTTCCATCCACAGACACACGGCAATGTATCTGCAAATGTACATTACTACCCAACATACCAAAGTCACGACCATGGTGAGGTCGTCAACACCCCAACGGGTCAGGGTGAGCCGCACATAGCAGCGCAATGCAACGATTATCCACGATATGGCTAGAAAAGTACCCGCAACGGCAAAGATGGAATGGCTTTTGTCTTCCATGTCGGCGGCGATCACACACCGCAGAAGCAAAAAGATCAGATGAAACCGCCGCTGCGGCGAGCAAGGAAAGATGATTTCACCAAAAACATTTGATATCTCTCCAGTTGCTGCTGGGGAAATGCTGGATATCGATCCACTCTTATGCCATCCTCTACCACCTTGTGGAATTCTCTGGGGGACGCCACCTTTGGAGCGAGCAACTCCCCTGAATGCTGATACGCTAGCAAGACCTCACCATGGCGTCGGGACTAGCACAGAATTGAGTAACTGGCACAAACTCTATCTCGTTGTCTGGCAGTGAACACTGAGCAATGAGCATCCCGTGAAAATTTTATGAAGCTGTATGCTTCTCCGCAAAAAGGCTACCATCTGATTGGCTCAATCGCAACTAACAGAAGCATTTCTGGTGAAGTTGAGCACCTCGAAAGTCTAAGTAAAATGCGCTCGCTTTCGAGACAAGTAGCCCAGCGTTCCTTGAATAGGAATGACGCCTTGGTGATCTAATGACTAGCTCCTTTGAACACGGGCTGGGGTTGACTACTGGGAAGACTAGTTGACGCTGCTCCGGGCCTCGAACCGAGGAGCCAAAGATACACCCCAGAGGTGATGGCAGTTGGAGGGCCACGCGACAATTTTTCTGTGTGCAGGACTTGAATCCTTCAGGCCATTGAGATTGAGATTATGGTTCCACTCCAATTTGCTCCAACGGTCATGACAAAAAAGAACTTCACAGAAAAATAGTAACAAGCTCAAGCAGAGCAGTTCATCGGCACCCTACAGGGCCAGTATTTTATATGCACTTCAAAATTCAAAATTCTCCCTTACAGACCTAGTCAACTCAAGGCTTGTGGCCCACCAACTCCGCTTTTTGGCTGGCGAAATGTGGATCGACTTCCGACCTCCCGCAGAGTCAATAAAAGCTTCCAAAATGTTCGACCTGACTCTCGGAAAACACCACTCGAAATATTATAAGAGAAAACAGGCCGTTCTTTTCTCTTAAAATCAAGGACGACTCAGGCTCAAGTCACAATCGTCATCAGTGTAGGCCACAAACTCACGTTCAAGCTCAACCGAGCCACATTCATGCAGCTGTACTCCGTGACATCTCGTGGAGTTAAAGATCGTTAAGGTTCAGTTCCCAGGGCCATTCTCCGCAAGGGTAACTTGAGACCAGCTGTGGCTGGTTCAGCATCCATTCACGTTCACGGGCTACATCCAACTCTGCGAAACCAGGCAATATAGGCGAAACAGACGAAACTCCGAAAGCCGACTCGATCGCCTGAAAAACTGGGGTTTCAAGATCTTGAAATTCCTCGGAGTCAGGCGGAAAAAACTATTGGTTGAGTTCCTTAGTTGAACCTTGAGGACTTTCAGACCCCGAGGCCTAGGATAAATCGAGGCACCTGAGGCCCAGCAGCGCCAGCCGCCATGACTCCGGGAAGGCATGGTTTCAGCACTAAAAGGGACAATTTCCCTCTAGTGGAGTGCTAAACTTGAGAATGGAACCTATAAAAATAAAAATGCCAAGCCGGCCTCAAAACGTCAAACCCCGGAGCTCAAACGGTGCCAGCAGAAGGTATTTTTACATTTTCTATATCAACGCAGTAGATGTATTTTGATAAGTGTGTGTGGTCCAACAAGAAGAAAGAGCCCTGAAAAATATTTGACTTGCTCCAACCTCATGCGCCCTGTAATCTCCACAACTGGTGGTGAACGCCAAACAACCAACAAACCGTCTACTGACGTCAAAATAAATCAGCTCGCCTTGCACAGTTTGTGGCTCTTCGTCTTTGGGCTCCCAGAAACACAGTCTGACTTCGGTACTACTGTGCTAATGAAAAACGAGTTATATGGGCGCATATGACAGGGTCAGATACTTGCACTTTTGCCATTACGGAGGATGCACATACTCGTGTCCAGGAAGACATATTCAGAACCAGAAAGACCGAATAATTCAAGAGCCTTTATTAAAGGCCATATCTGTCTTTCTCGTCAAGTTATCAGAGTGCTCAATAACTATTGACATAAGGACCAATTCTCCAGACAAGATGCCGCAGGGGACCCGAACACAGACTACATATGTTTACGGCGGGAAAGAAGCTTTTAGCTATGGTATCCTCGTTCCACCGTTGAATCTTCTCTCTGCCACTCGCCGCCACTGCTCGATCTCGTTGGCTATGGGACGGTTGTCCGTGGTGCTAGGCATATCCGAGCCGCCAGTCACGCGGCACATGGTCCACAATGTCTAAGGGCGCCATTCCCATAATTCATGTGGAATAGCAACCTTCTTTATTTGCAGTAGTATATTGGCTACCCGATACATGCATGAATCATACTTGTGTGAATCGAACCACGCATGAGTTCCTGCATTTGTCATTGTGGCCCAGATGGCGTGGAAGTTTCTTCCATTGACGATGGAGTTTTCCTGCCGACATATTTCCAATCAGCCTCTGTCGAATCAGGTGGAGAGCCAAAGGCTCTTAGACTCTTTGTTTTGTTGCTTACCTGCAGCAGCTTCCACAAATCTTGATCGAGCCTCCGCCGCTGATGGTATGATGTTTTAATTTCGGTTTCTCCGGAGTGTGTTTGAACGATACGACAAGACCAATAAATTGGTCGCTTAATGGCCGTATCACCTTGCCCAGAGATCATATGATAAATTGGTGTAGGAAGAAGTGAAAGCAGATTGATGAAGCGTCAAAGAAAGGTTGTTGCTTGTATGATTTTATCCTACTTTGCTCCAGTAAGTCAATCAATGCGTCTTAGCAATAGCAGCTTTAAAGAGATTGTGCTCTAGAAAGCTTCATTTCTCCCTCTTCTTACTACACAGACTCCTACTCCTGCGTTATTCAACACTGGATTTAGCCAAATGCTCCTTAGCTACGTTCCAGATAAATTCTATTTAGCATTCCGTGATAATGTTAAACCTCAGTTGCCCACCTTACCGAGTCAGCTATTCACTCCGAGTCCTGCTGAGCTAGGATTTGCTTTGAACAATCAACTAACAGCTGAAGTAAGAAGGCTGGACGTTATACTAAAGATAACTGTGCTGAATGCAAAAGATTATACTTTCAGGTTATAATGAAACTGCATTTATAACAAAACGTTAACATCGTAAATTGTGAGACTGATATATCACAAAGATATCTCAAGATGGTACTAGTAATTGAGGGGTATTTCCATCTCTGTTGAGAGATCAATTAGCCTGATCTATAGGCATTGATTGGGACTCAGTTCCCTAGCGAAAGCTCGATGTATGGTTCCCGAATGCACACTGATTCTATACCATGGCTGTATGAGAAGAAGTATTTCCATCTGTGCCTGTCATAATTCTGTAGTTAGTACTGGGTCGTTCCTACGAGTCCTAGCATTTACTCAACCTCCTTTGCGCATGGGCAATATCAAAAAAGATGCCAAGGACTTAGGGAGATTGATTAGGGTTCAAGCCCTCTGCTAGCGCCAAGCTCGAATGACTGCAACCAATGTTATGCGCGAACGTAATCTTATCTGATCCATCCGATAATCTCGCGCCCCGTCCTGTCCCGATTCGGCAGTTGGCAAACCCGCTTTCGGGCTGCAGAATCCCCCAAATTCTGCGTCACCAAACTGACTCAGACTTCCCCCCATGGTGCATGGGTGCCTTTTACTTTCCCCTCTCCTTTTTCACAGAAAGGATGGCTCAGTCCACCTTAACTTTTCTTGATCGATGACCTGTGCGAGTCGTGGCTCAACCATTCTGCTTGCTTCAACCCGCATCTCCCGCACATCATGTACGATGAGCCGAGTGACATCGTGCGGCTGGCCTCGACGGTCATGTTTGCCCCTTCGCAAGGTAATGGGATTCTCGTCCACCATACACATTCAAATGCCAACTCCGTTCCTAATTTCTCTATTTGCTTTGCACCCCACAGTGTGAGCGAATCGGAGCACCTTCCTGTTCTTGCTATCATCGTATTACAAAAGGTTGTTTTTCAACCTCTCCAGGACTTTCTTCGTCCACCCCCCCGGTCCGGCGACAGGATGGTGTTATACCTTCGGAACCAAATGAATATCGTAAACAACAGGGACGTACAGCGCATGAAAAATTAGCGGATAAGGTCTGCCATTGCCGTTGCCCATTGCCCATTGCCCATTGGGCAAACTTAACGAATTACTAATTTATTTTTTTGTGGGCAGGATTTCTTTTTCAGCCTGCTCAGCTCAGCATCAACAAAACGAGAAGCTCAATCATATCTCTCCCGCTTCAAAGCCGAAAAACTAGAGCCTGCGAAGTCCCCACCAGAGCAGAGTGCTATGGGCTATCCCTCCACCAATTTTGTCCAATCAGGGGTGAACTTAGGGGGAGGGATGTTTGGCACGGCGGGAGTTATTGATAATCACGCGATGTTTCGACAAGAATCTGCACCGGGGAAATCACTGCCAATAGAAACGGTGCCAGAGGAAACATTACACATCGCTCTGGTAAAAATTCGTGAGCCGCAATTGCTAAACGACCAGACACTTGGAGAGGTTGGGCGGACACTGTCACAGCTTTCCTTACTTGGGATGTCCTGCTGTGTTGTGATTGACCCCGGCCTCCCTCAAAGCGACCCATTTTGGAGAAACCGGTCAATCAAACAGGCTGACCGTATGTTAGCAGCGATTGAGAAAAATGGCGTGGACTCTAGGCGACTGGATGATGTGATACGTCTGGCACCTTCTTCTAAACATGCGCTTTCAGTAGCGTCTAGAGAGTTAATTCTTTCTCCCCTCCGTCGGGGAAGAATTGCTGTGATTCCTCCCATTGGCTACACGGAAGGCGCTCTTCAAGCGGTACCCGTTCTTGCAGATGACGTTGTGTTGGCATTAACCAAGGAGTTCATGGGGTTGGGTGTCAAAGCGCGCCCTGAGGACAATCCTCATGAACTGGCCCGGAGGATATCTAAGCTCCAAAAGGAAGTCTCTGTGGACAGGCTTATTATTTTGGACCCTGCTGGGGGCATTCCATCCCTGAAAAGAGCTTCGAAATCACACGTTTTCGTGAACTTGGAACAGGAATTTGAGGAGATTACTAACGAACTAAGAGAAGGAATGGCCGCTGGTGATTCACTAGCTACGGGCGATAAAATTGAAAATGGGCAGCAAATACTTTCCCTGGAAAGATCTAATCCCCTTTCGACAGTTGTAGAGAGGGAATGTGCATCGTTACCTAGTGAACTACAGGCTACCTCAAGTGATCGAAGTAGTGTTCACATTCCTGATTTTGAGAGACATCTGGATAATTTAACACTCTTACATAACACACTTACGTACCTTCCACCATCATCCTCCGGCATTATCACAAGACCCCAAGATGCAACGAATTCGGCAAGCGAACCGCGAGACCCCTCACAGTTATCCACCGTTGCGACCAGACGAAAGCGGAACCCTTTAATCCACAATTTATTGACGGATAAACCCAGCCATTCCGCTTCCCTACCTGCGGGGAGACTACGCGCCAACAACGGCAGTTCATCACAAAATACTTTCCAAGTGATGCATTCGACGTTTGTTAAGAAGGGGATGCCCCTGACGTTGTTTCCCGACCCACGAGTGCATATCTGGAAACCTCCAATAAATGGAAAATCCCGGATGACACTTAATGATCCACATATCGATCTACCTCGCCTCGTCCAACTAATTGAAGATTCTTTCAATAGAAAACTGGATGTCCTGCACTATCTCAACCGCGTCAGTGACCGTTTAGCCGGTCTGATTATTGCAGGCAAGTACGAAGGCGGAGCCGTTTTAACCTGGGAACTACCGCCAGGTGTGCCTAACGATGGAAGTGAGGAGAGTCGATCACGAATGGTTCCCTATCTTGATAAGTTCGCCGTTCTAAAGCGGAGCCAGGGGGCGGGCGGCGTGGCGGACATTGTATTTAATGCAATGGTTCGTACGTGTTTGCCCAAGGGTGTTTGCTGGCGCAGCCGTCGCGATAACCCAGTGAATAAGTGGTATTTCGAGCGGGCTCGAGGGACGTGGAAGCTTCCCGGGTCGAATTGGACAATGTTCTGGACAACTGATGGAGTGCTGGAGGACAATAGGCTATTTCGGGATTATGAGGGCGTTTGTCGTGGAATCGAACCCAGCTGGCTAGATAATAAACATGTGGTTGATTAAGCATATATCTAGGCTTTTATTTATGTTGTCTTGTAGTGGCATTTCCTCGTAAATTCATTACACGCCGTTGCAAATTATGTTTATATATATAAAAAAACCTCGGTTAGATACTCTTTTGTGCTCTTATGTTTAGAACAATAAGTTAAAACTAAACAATATATCATTCCGGGCACACTAGGGCGAGTGAGAATACGCTTTCATGGGTATATGTATATATTCCTATTCTGATTAGTAGCTATGGAGAGCGATAATCTATGTATGGTTAGTTTAAATCCATTAAACGGATTTCTACTTTCACCAAATTGCCTCGCTCGTCTGTTGTGCACGGACCAACCATATCTTTCTCAACTCCGCCCGAACGAAAGAACAACAGCAGCCTTTGGAAATAACCACTAGAGCGTTTATTGACTGACCTGCTTTCAACGAATATGACACTCAGACCTCCACAATGCCAATATGTATCGAATGCTGCTGTCCCGTTTCCCATCTCTATACCTCCTACAGCAAGGCCGATGACCGCTCTCTGGGCAAGGGCGTGCGATTAACCCAGTGTCCGCGTTGTAAACGGTTCGCGGACAAGTATGTCGAACACGATTTTGTGGTGCTTTTCATTGATCTAGTCTTGATAAAGCCTCAGGTAAATATACTCCCCATGTGAGATGTTTCCGCTATTGCGGCGCTGGGCTGATTTTATTTGTGACTGTGCAGGTGTATCGTCATCTGCTCTTCAACCGCCTAGGGAGATCTGATGATAAGTTCGATGTATACCACCCAATACTCCGTTCTCCCGCCTCTCTCCCCGGTTTCTGCGTCTTGCATTCCTTTAATTTATTGAGCGGGTAATAATCTTTCTCTCCAGCGCTCTATAATACGCCTCGGAACGTTAATATTGCTCTTTGACGTCTATTTGTCCTGGGCACGGGCGGAGAAATCCGACTCGCTCTCCGGAACACCCCTTGCTACAGCCCCAATTGTCGTCCAATACATATTCTTCCTTACGCTAAACACACTCGCAACAATCGCTCACCACCTCACTGTCCGTCTCCTTGCTTCATTCCTCGTCCCACGTCCACAACCCACCACGACTTCGACGAATGACGCCCATAACGGTGATATAATCCCACCTAGTCCTACCACCACTCCGATCCCCCCTCTCAACTCTACGAATCTGCAATCCCAACCTCAGAACCAAACATCTGCCACCAACACAACATCTAACAATGGAGGCCTTCCACCTCAGTCGCCCTCGGTTCACCCAAATCATTTCCCCTCAAATAACCTTCCTGCGCCACCCCCTCTCATCCGTCGATTGTCCACATCACCTCTTCAGGTCAATCCCATGCCTCCTCCTTGCACTGCGTGTCCAAACTCTATAAGCACTGCGCTTCTCGTTAGCAGTTGCACAAAGCTCTTCCCTCTCCTGCTCGTGATCTGGAATCCAGAAAAAAACGACACTAACAGCAGCGGTGTCGGCACATCCCCTTCAGCATCGGACGCAGCGACAGGAATACTCACGAACTCATTAACATCTACATTCATGAATCACAACTCTCCTTCCTCTTCCCCTATATCTAGTGCATCGCAGCACCAGCAGTTGCTGCAACTTGCACCGTCGTCCTCTCCATCACATGTATCATCTCCAACATCTCCCCCGCTATCACCTACTTCCTCCTTCCTCAACCCGCTCATCTCTCTCGTACTTTCGATAACAAATACCCACCTTGTCCTATTGAATAATACCGAGGCGCTTTTCATACTTCTTGATTGTGGATATATACGAGCAGCGGTACTGGCACTGAGTGGTCAGTTGGCGAGGTGGATGGTGGAAAGGATTCTGTTGGGAGCTCTGGGTTTGTGATTGATAATTGATACGGTTATTGGTTATGAAGAGAGGTTGGCTTGGCTTAGTATCTACAAACTTTTTTAGTAATATGTATTTACCGGTTGTATGTATATATTTTGGATTAGAATAGGGCGTTTTGGGTTTGGAAAGGGTTTTTTTCGTCTTTTGCTTTCCGGTTTGAGGGTCTCGGAGATGGACGAAGAGTTGTACACTAGCAGCTACTTTTCTTACTGACTTTATTTATATCTCGCCATTGGCTAACCCCCTAATTTTTGGACATTAATTGAATAGAAACCACCGTATATCTTTACCATTCAGTTCCTTTTTTTTTCCCCCTTTAATTAATTTAATTAATTTTTGTTTCGAGAATGATAAACATCTAGGACATACAGTACAATGCACGCCGATAACCCAAAAACGAAAAGTTTGGCCCGTTAAACCAGCTAGAGAAAAATACGAAAAAGAAAAGATAGATCCACGAAGAAAAACACCAATGAGTCGTGAGAGCAACAACAATATAAAACTATAAACAGAGGAACCGACAGCTTCCACAATCCTCGTTCTCTTTCTTCCCTCCCTCAGTGCGATACCCTATCAGGGCGTAAATCACTTCTCTTCGGTGCAATTAATGGATGTAATTGGGCGAGGAACGTTATTGCTACATGAAGAGGAATAGTTAGATTGTGTACCGCGATTGTAATTGGAGACGACGAATGTGCAGTATCGGTGTGGATTTAGCAGTGCAGATGCATGGATGATGTATTTACGTACCCCACATTAGATAGCAGGCTGTGAACGCGAGTATTAACGAGCTGCGCCATATCCTGTGATAGCCGTCAGCCTTATCTCTTCAGTGCACAGAAAGTTTGTCCGATACGGTGCTTATGGGACATTTGACAAGGGGATGGGTCAGGAAGTGGAGTGGGATCTGTGGTATCTCCGCCAGTAATGTCAATGTCGGGGTCGTCTCGTTCCATTCATGTACTTCAACAGCGCATGCGGGGCTTGGTGTTGACTCAAAGCTTCCGCCCTTTGGTCGAACCGAAGAAGCCGTCAATTCTCATTTGACGAAAATTCGGAAAAGATTCGCTGGACCATTCATTCCTCGGACATTCTGAACAAGCCACAGGTGTCCCGCTCCTGCCTGAGCCCATCCCATCCCAACATGCCCCAGGTCCATTGGCGTAGACCGTAAGGGCAGTGTAAATTCGCAAAGGGAATAGCGCGGTAACAAGGGGACATGTATGCACTAACGTTCTATCCTCTCCTTTCGGACTGAATATCCAGGCCATCGAGTTTGCAAGGACGACGAAGACGAGTCCGACAATTATGCTCCATCTGTATCATTCCAAATACCGGTGGGCGTTGTCGGCTAGTCAGTGGATAGAGAAGTAACCAGGAACGCGAAAAGAACTACTGTACCCGTTTGCCATGTTCTATATATGTGAGCGTTGCAAATATGTATCAAATCTCCAAATAAACAACTGCAGAGCTGTTGGAACTGTGGACTGAGATGGGAAGTTAGGTGGCAAGTGGATCTTTCATGAAGGAATTATGGGACGGTGGGGGGGAACAGTGGAGGCTTAGAAGGCTCCGGAGCCTGCGGGAGGAGGGTTTGACGGGAAGTCCTAGTTGAACACGGTGTGGCTCAAGCTATATGCCCTGAATGGATGGATGTTGAAGCTGCAGCTCGGCGGGTGTTGTTATTTAGGACGGAGTATGATTATATAAGCGGCTTAGCGTCATAGTTTATTCTGACGCCCTCTGGATGTTTTATCTACGACGAGTAGTGCTTCGTGCTTACCCGTTCACTGAAAGATATCTACGCAGTATATACTGCTTGGGCAATGTGGAGACCTTATTGCCGCTGCCGTCCAGCATATATTTTCTTGCTAATTTTCTCATCGGACATGTAATGCGGCTCAAATTCAGGGAATATCGCTTGCCCCTCTTGTCTGACCAGCGAATACGACGTTGCGGCCATGGAATGCTAGATCTCAACATTCTCTACGGATCCGTTGTAATTTAGGAATCTGCCAACTTCAGCGAGAATGGAAGAATGATTCCTATGGCCATGCTTGGCTTAAAAGATTCACCTCTCCAGCAGCTCATGCCGGAAATGAATTGGATGCACCCAAGTTCATGCCTTCTTTCACATCATATTTACTTTTCCCCCCATAGACTCACCTCTGGGCAATGTGTCCAGCAATTAGGGGCAATAAGGTTTTCCGAGAGCAAATCGATCGTTGCAGCGACGACTCGTCGTGTTTAAAATTTCTGTTCACTTGAGCAATATTCCCTGTCAATGCCCCTATTTCAACTCAACTATCTCTGAAGTTTACTCAACGCCGTTGGGCAAGTGGCTGACATCCACAAAACGGTCCAAACCCTTTTCGAAAAAAGTCGTCATGCAGTATTTGCTCTTTTCTAGGCAGTGGACTTTTACGCGCCAGGGGCAGCGACGGCGCCAAAATTTGCTTGCATTGTTCCAGGAAGAATATATGATTAATACCCTAATATCAGATTCTGACGCCGGACAAGAGGTTCCGTGATTGGCGCATTTTTCACCCTCATCCGTGTTGGGAAGATATGTCACATCTGCTATGGCTGCTTCGCTCCATGAATGGGCGTATGTCACGCGGAGATCTATCTGCAAAGATTAGAGTTCCGGCACGCTTGGCTATGGAGAGATCCGGATATGCAGGAGTGCCGGGAGATCTCTATAAATGAAGCCTCGCGGGCCAACGATCGGGATCGGCATCGTTTTTGATCGACAACATTAATTTACTGTTATGCGAATAACGAAAAACCGTTATAACGTCCATCCATGTACCGTGATAAGCGCGTGTGCTACCAGATCTAAATATCTGGAGGAAGTACCAAGGCCGACATTGGACACCATTCCTGTCCTTGGTTCCTATATTTATTGATTGTCATGCTCTTACAAACAGACGAAAGTCAGCAGGAGACGGAGAAAGGACGATGTGAAGGTAATTGTACTAAAGCATGGAGATGCAAATTGTATTGAGAGCGAAACAATGAGAAACTCTTTTTGTAGAGGAACTGTGATCACCTCTTTCTTTACCTAGCCCCATTTTAATCTCAAATTCTGGATTCCCTCTGAGAAAACATAGATTTTCGAGAGATGAATTCCTAATTTTGAGTCAGTAATCCGATCTTATTGTAAAATTTGGTGTTATTCAGATGCAGCAATACCACTCAAATTCGCGCTTTTCGCGAACCTTAGCTCATTGAAAATATTGAATAATAGCTTCTTGTCTTTTTATCACCTGCTTAAACTTCAGCTCACATGTAGGAGGGCATCACAGCACTCAAGAGGGGTACCTAATTTTGAGTCTCCATGCGGATCTCATGGTAGGAATTGATGTGACTCTGCTTCGTAGTGGCTGTTTTTTTCTTTTCTTTTTGCGCTTGATCTTCACGCTCCTATCTTTTGGACCAGCTATCTTCAGGGTATCCTGTAACATAAAGGAGGTATCTAGAGCTCAGAAGGGTGGTGCGGAAACTGAGACTTGAAATAGTATATATAGTGGTCTATGGTTCTCTGCTGGCATCGCAAGAGTGAGATGGACTGTTCAGTAAACGATCATCTTTGGCACAAATAATACCCTGCAAAGACATTCATTATTACTTTTTGATCAAAATGCTGGGGTCCGCTCTCGTTTGGCTAGGCTTCGCGCTCTGTGCGACATCAGGCTCTGCGATGCCTTTGGATGAGAAGGTTGTAATCTCTTTTATTTTCCTACTCTGCTCGTTTCTGCAGCTAACGTTTCGGGGGGCGGAAAGACTCCAAGAGCTGCAGTACTGCATTCTTGGGACCCAAGGGACTCCGTGGACGATACGCCATCGGATTTGAAGCGCGTTGTTGAACAGCGTTACCTTTCCCGCATGCCCAAAATGGTCATCCCTTTGGCGATAATGAAATACTTCACTGTGGAGAGGATGGCCAAAAATGAGACAACGGGACCAGGGTTATACTTCAAATACTGGGGATTAGATATCACTTATCCTAGAATCACCTCCTGTCAGCCTGTGCTCTCTGATGTGATAGGTGTGGAGAAGACAATCGTCTGTGGCAATGGACAAGGCTGCAAGGTATCGAGAACTGTGACCCTCGTGGATACCTACACGAATAGCGTAGGATGGAAGATTGGTGGGTCAGTTGGCGCAGATATTGGAGCCGGGGAAGGGTTCACCATCAAAGTCTCAGGGACCTACGAGAGAAATTATCAGGAAACCTGGGCGAGAGCCGACGGGACAACAACAACATACGAGTTTACTTTGAAAGAGAACACTAGTTGCACACCAAGTATGGTGCATGTCGATCTGCTGTGCGACATCGAGGAGGCAACGTATAAATTCGACGCACGGTTTAAAAGCGATAAGAGCGAGGGTGACATTTTGGTCTTGGAAAATGATTTGAACAAAGCTGACCGGCTTCAGCATTGTACTGTCCTAGACCTGGTCGCCGACGGCGTGAAAGATGATCCTGAAAATGGCATGGTATGGGCACCATTGTGGCCAAAGGATCACGACAGAGGCTTCCTCTTTATGGGGTCTGTTGTGACGCTGAATAAGTATCGTTTGCTTTCCGACGACCACGAAATCCGCTCCAACGAAATTGTAATCAAATCGAACCCTCGCAAAGGGAACCCTTTTCCAAACAGAGTATTCATATGCCCTCCCGATCAGCCCCTCCGCAAAACAGGCGAGGCTCGTGTACCCCTGAAGCAGCTTGGAAATGAACTCCTTGGTGCGATTGGATGCGTTTAACTCTTGAAGCAACGAAACGACCAATCTCCCTTTGTATCAAAGTTTTCCTGTTCGATTTCGAGAACACCTCGACAAAGTGGTATATAGCTTGATTTGTTTTGCCAGTGACACATCAGGCGATTTTTTTATGCCATTTCTGGTTGTTGGATATTTAGCAACTGTGATAATGAGTTACGTTGGCACCAAGGTTGGGAGGAAGTGGTTTTCAGGAAGTAGTGTACCTTAATACAGTGCAGTAAAGTCTAAATTTGAGATTCAGATCGTCATAGGAACAGTGGATATTCAGTGTAGGACAGGCAAGCAACTCTATGCTTCAAATCTGCGACATCATTCGCTCAGGCCCTGAGACTCTCATCACCAAGTAGATATCACAGTAGATATGGCAGTGGTTAATACACATCTGTGATAAAAGAAAATGTGCCTAGCAATTTCTCTGCGTTTTCAGGGAGACTAGGCATGGTTCGACAGTGGATAATATAGGACAAAATAAAACCCTTTACAAGGAGGAAGTTGACAGTGGGTAAATTTACAAAGAGCAATACTAATAAAAGATATCCAAATGCGAGGATAAATAGTTTAACATGCCTGATAGCCTTACGGGACAGATGTCAAAGAAAACGCGAAAATAGGCACCTAAAGGGTTAAAATTTAGGCGAAGTAGCATAAAAATAATATAAATATATAAGCGGACCAGGAGGCAGAGGCGGGAAAGGGGATACATAAAAACGGATATACATAGGTGTGAAGACACTCATAAAGTGGAAAACGGCAAAAGGAATAACCACACAAAACCAGTATGAAACTGCACGTAGGCGGGAGAAAAATATAATACGAAGCGGCAAACGAATAAAGGAAGGGTACAGATTCCGAAATCCTAATTCGATGGGCAAGAGAGCCCTTAATGTTATGAGAAACTGGCTGGTACGAGAGGGATTTCAAACTGGAGAGAAATTGTAACTGATACCCCGTGTTTGTACAAGATTGCCAGAGTCCTCTCTTTCGTATGCATATTGGTTTGGAAATTCTAACCTAATATAGTCGAAGTACGAATTGAATTTTGAAGCGGAAATTTTATGACGGATGAGATCGGGAGCTATCCGAGGACTTGTTCCTTACTTCGGAGGCTTACGCTCCTTCTCGGCTTTTGCGGTAGCTAGCCTGTTAGTTGGGTTGAAGGGCAATTAGTGGAATGCGTTCTGCAAGCACAGCAGGGTAAGCGATTAATATTAAGGGAGGGACAAGGAGATAAAATAGAAGGAAGATGGTCTTTAACCACGAACCTCTTGCTCGACTTGCAACCCATCAACAACTGGGGCAAGCTCGCTGAGGATCTCGTAAGATTTCTTGTGGTACTCCAACTGAGCCGCGATAAGATCTGCCAAATTCCGGAGAGGTTCAGGCGTATCCAAAACCTGGAATTCTTTGTTAGTAAAATATACCAAAGAACGTGCACAAGTAGTAGAAAGGGAGCGAAAAATCTAACATTTTTCATAACTCCAACAGCCTCCTCAGTCTGGCCTACAAACTCATCTTCCGCCTGCTCAATCTCAGCCCGATCTTCCTCACTGAGGCTGTCCAAATCTCCCCTCGACACTCCCTTCCTAGCCTTGATCGAATCGAGCATTAACCTCGCATTTTCGACGTTCTTGCGAGCTTTGGTCGCGAACATCAGGTTGGTGTTCAACGTGGTGTTCCAGCCGGCGAGGAACCGGCTCTGGATCTGAGCATCCTGGGCAAGCCGTGCCTCTCCAACTCGTTCAGCGGCAAGAGCGTATTTCTCCAAGCCGATGGCGAGGGGATCCTCTGAGCCATTGGGGGTGGTCTGCGCGATTAACTGAGAACCAGCCAGGGAAGCGCGCGCGATGGCATGGCTGAAAGTCTTTGGCTGGGGCTTGGCAGATGGAGGAGCCGTGAGGGCCGCCTGTGCTTCAGCGGGAGATGTAGCGTGGGAAAGAAGCTGGACTTTCTCACTGATGGTACGGCCAAGGTCGTTGAATGACTCGCGAATGTTGGGAGGGTAGTCATAAGGCTCATTAGAGTATTGAGAACTAGAGGTTGTTGGAGAAAATATGCAACCATTAGACGGATTCTCCTCTGAGAAAGGGCTACAAATCGTCGAATTGACGATTCATGTTTGGATGGCACTTACGTAACCTGCAAGAGCTTCTGATGAACCAGCTTTAGAGCGTCCACACGCTTCTCGAGCTCGATATAATCATCGGGAAGTTGTGTCTAAGAACAGTATTGAGGGTTAACTAGAACATCCATCACGCCAAAGAAGGAAAACCAGAACCAGTCTACAGATTGCTGGAATGTCAAAAGATGTTGTACCTTCTCATCAGCTTGGCCAAGTTGTTCCTTCACATATTGTTGCGTCCTGGCTGCGAAAGGGGTAAATGATGCACTATGTAGGATGCGGGCAAATGCGCCGATGAATTAGAAATGCGACTTTCCAAACAATATAAAACGCTCACTGGTCGCGGAAAGGGGGCACATGTTTTTGGATTGGAACTAGATGCCCCCCAAGTCAGGAGAAGAATAAGGGCAGTACCTAATGTTCTTCCCGAAAGCCTGTACTTTGTCCATGGTTAGGGAAGGAAGGGGATTGCCCTCGAGAATAGTCAAAAATCTAGGATATTCGGGAAGACTGAGGTGATTCTTTCTGTGAAGCGGAATATTTATCTCATGAGCGTTCGATGTTCGAATGTGATACAGACATCAGGCTTCCGACGCTCATCTGGACGTCGGAGAAATTATCCGTTTTGGGATATGACATTTCTGGCCCTAAGTCAAGTGGGTCTGGCCGCTTCAGAACATTGCCGGAGCGGAAAAGTCAGTGATTCACTGATATTAAATTTAATGGCTGCTATCCAACGGTCATAGTGGTTATATTTGCAACCCTAACACATACACAAAAGACAAACCAAAAAAAGAAAGGAAAGGGAAAGGGGAAAAAACGGAAAGAGGGTAAACCTGGAGGAGAAAAGAAAAGGAAAGCCGCCAATGTAAGGTAAATCCGTTCGTTATAAACTATTAAGTGTGTTACATTGAGAGAAAATATGAGAATTACATTACACCAGATCGATGGAACGGGAGACCAAAACCATATACAAAGCATGTTGGCGAAGAAATAAAGGAAAGACAGAGTTCGTGCTCCTGTGCGCCGTTGGTAGGTGCATTACCACCAGGTTCGGCATTATCAGGATAATAAAGCGATTAGTTTCGAATAAGATATACGGGATTGATTTGCAGTCCACCATTCAAGTCAATGTTGCCATCATCGCTCTGATCAGTAGAGGGCTTGGAGCTAAATCCACTGTTAATATCCAAAACATTTATGTGCATGAAATAGAGGGAGGGGGAGGGGGATAGAAAGGTGAGAACACACCTTTAGGCTCCCGTCGCACCTCGATAGTTTCCTCAACATCCAGAGCTCTTCTCTCTCGCTCTGATAACCGGATGTTCGTTTGAGTATCTCTCCCTAACCGTCGACGATCAGGAACGATCAGCGCGACATCAGCACGAGGTGCAATGACGTCCTCCAGCACGACATCTCTAGGTTCGATGATTCGGATTGGTGAGGATCGTCGGCGGCGGTGGTGGCGTACTGGAGGGGCCTCTGGTCGTGAGACCGATGGCCGGCGCGATCGTGATAGTTCGATTACCCTTGTTGCAGGCCGCCTGGAGACTGACCGCCGTCTTTCTACGGCGAGGCTATCGGATGGAAAGCCAACGGTCAGTGTATCTGTAATTTCCGTTGTTGCTGTATCAAAGGCTATCGTTAGCTGGAAGCCATGGGAAACGGACAAAGAGCGGCTGCTAAGTTGGGATGATCCGTAGTAGGTTGAGGGAAACGAGAGGAACAAGAGAATTTTTGTGCACCTACTGGCTGTTCGTCTGATCTCTCTACTCCGGGTTACCAAATCTTCTATGTGGGCCTCTTGCAATGCCTGGAAAATGATGTAGGCATCGTCCTAAATAATATTGCCAGTTAGTATTCATGTTATCAAATAAACGAGAATACAAAAGTGAGTATGAGAAGAGTGGCTCCTTACCACTTCCTCATATTCATATCCGAGATCAATAATGGCCCGAGGGTGCACTAAGCGTTTGGGCATACGGGTTTTGCCTCGACGTGGGGCTGTTGATGGCCGAATCTCCCTCACTTCCACTCCCTGGCGATGGGCGACGCTCCGTCCGCGGGGTCGTGGGGTCATACTCCTGTCCCGCACCTGTACACGCCGAAATTCTTCGTCGCCATAATAGTCCGGTTCCGCAACCCTGATCTCCTCGAAGTCAATCCTTTCATGAATGGAAGGTGAGCGCCTCCGTCTTGGAGCAGGGATTGGGGTCACTGGCGGGCCATAGTCTTCGCGATCGTATTTGTCGTAAGTTCGTCGAGTAGCCGCCCTGTCAAAAGTATCAAGTGATGATTGGCGACGGAGCAGCTGCGGGCGTACTGGGGGGCTTCGTTCTCGTTCTTCCCTCTCCCGGAATGGAACTATAGCACCTGAAGAAGAGACGAGGTGTTCATCGTTGTACGTTCGGCCGGTCCTCCTGGCAGGCGGGCCGAAACGTTCATGCGCAGCCTGGAGTATGTCGTCTATGTCACGTCTCCGTCTTTCAGTAGGGGGAGGCCGATCAACGACTTGTGTAGTGCGTCTGTTTCGAGCCTGCGGTGCCTGTCGTTCCTCACGCTCTCTGAAAATGCGGCTTGCATCCCATCTTCCTCCCTCTCCGTTCCCACCAGCGCTGCTCGCGCTTGCAGAGGGCGAATCGCCGCGGCGGGTCATTGAAAAAAGTTATGTAGTATCCCTTGTTATTTGAATTCTACCGTGGAAATCGAGGCGGGGAAGGACCAGTGGTTTGGCAGCGGGGAACAAAGTTACTTTTGGCGCTGAACCGTGGTTGGAATAGCGAGGGGTTCTTCGACTAGGGAGCTGATGACGGCTCGGAGATTTGTAAATTCAGAAGTAACAAGGTGATGTCTGTTCAGTCGTGATAAAAACTATGGATGCAGTTGTAGAAATTCAAGTAAGTGCTAACTCGTATTTAGCCGAACATACGATCTTGAAATATGGGGTTGTGGTTGACGCCTGAATTATTTATCTGATGACTCTCTTGGTGGCAATTTCAGCCTTCACCATCTTCAGCTTGGCTGGCCTCGTGCTGCATTTATATATTCTCGATCTTGTCTATAAAAACAACAAAACTTATAAAATAAAAAAAAGCAAATGCGAAACAAGTTGATCTTGTTTCGACTGACCCCGCCATCCTGTCTCTTTGCTAGCCATATCTTGGCCAGTCGCCTTGTTTCAAGCCGTCTTCCCCGTCAACCAAGTTCTGTCAACGCCCTGGCTGCCCAGCTGCTTCCATTTGACAATAAATCGCTGCTGGCCCACCAGGTATTCCCCTGTGGCCCTGTTGTCTGAATTTGAACAGCCAGGACCAACTCACCAGCCAGTATGCTGTTCTGCTAGGTCCATTCGGACTCCCTGTCTGCCTTTTTGGAACTCACGTCATCATTAGCCGCCCTCATCTTCGAGCTATTTTGTGCTTTCAATGTTTGTCGTCCTTGCTGTACCCCACAGATTCATCTGCTGTGTGCATACATGCTGTGCTGGCCGAACAAAGGGTATTATCCGCCGATTAGCCCTGTTGCGCCCGACCGGCGCACGACCGATTCGTTCAATGGATAATGAAACACTGCACCACCGTTTCCTTCTATTTGGCTATAATACCTAACCACATTCTTTCGCGCATAGCGTCTGGTGCTTTGGTGCCATTCCCCTTCCATTTGATATGTGGTTCGCCAGGAAATGTCCAACATCTTTGCGCAAGAGTGCGTGGTGCAGAACAGAGTGATATGGCTCGTTTGCCTCGTCAACAAAGGACTGGCTGTTATGGAGGCATGATTGTTATCTTATCCAGTCTTTGCAGTGCATCCAGCTGCTTTGCCCATATCGTCAGCGCATCTATTTTGTCTTCCTGCAGTAGCCCCAGAATGTTTTCCTACTCGACGTGGTCCTGAATGCACCATTTTAAACAGCACAGCAGTAGCGCAGGCTTTATTTCAATCGCGGGCAGTTTGTGGAGGATATTCCAACCACCTGTGGCTCTTATTGCATGCTTCGGAACGCTATCATCTCTTTCCGGAAACCCGAGCAACCAGCCCAACTGTTTCCCATCCGTTATGGGACACCAGCTCTTTGCTTTCCCCCCAGTTAAGATGTTAGTGGGTGGCAAGGAGTGCGAATAATCCAGTTCTTTCACGACAGTCTCTGTGTGGGTGGAGTGAACTGACATAAACTAATGGAAAAAGAAAACATAGATACTATCAGCAGGACGTGCTTTGATTTCTATATTATTGGATTCTGTTCGCACTTCACCTTTCATTCTATGATTTTACCCATGGGGTATTCTTCCCCATGACCTGTCATGTGGTTGAAGGCAATGTGTGGGAAAGGATACCTAACCAACAACAAGGTCCCGGGCAACGGCTTGAGGATATCAAATTGGGTACTAACCAATTTGACCCGCTTTTAGCATGTCTAGATGGCATCACCGCTCTTTGTCTTCTATCGTCGTTGGTGATGCCCCTTGTTGGCACCTTCCTGCTTAATCCTTTACTTCCAGCGATCCGAGAAGCTTGAGTACCCGTGGGAATTCGCCGAGATCTCATAAACCTCTATCTGCGTGTCCGGAACACTTGAAGTATATGATGATGCCGGTTTGACATCACATATGCAAGAGCAGATTCATATCACTCGACGCTACAGATTAAATACTTCTATTTCAAATCCGTCAAACACACTACATCATCTGTCCAGTTTACATTTTCTGGGTTTAACCAACTAACCCTCGCAGAGAATCCTATTAGCCCAAAAGGTTGATGATCGCTATATAAACCTCCGGATGCTCCTATAGAACATTCCAACACCCTCCGGGCACCCTATCAAATATCGTTGTCGGCATTTCTAGGGCCCACGAGTAGTCAAGGGCTTGCCATTCATGCTCGGTTCGGATATTGCATCGGGGATGCCCAATTCCCAGCTAGAAACCAGTCTGCCCATCGCGTGACCCATTCTTTGTTGTCATCTAGATCTGAGAAATGAATTTCGAATCGCAGCGCCCGGCTACTCCGGTTTAAAGAACCTGCTCCGGGTTAGATCTATGCCCTACGTCTACCTTCCCAGATTTGATGTTTATTTTAACATTTCTATACCCAACAGGGTCCAACCGCTGAAGTTGCATATGAGGAGATGGCAACATCCTCTCCTGTCGTTTTCACCACCTGAGTCACTTTTTCGCGTATGAACCAGTTTTTATGGTGGATATAAAGTTCCAATTTAAGCAGAGCACGTAGAATGCCTCAAATAATTCGCATAGTTACCTCCGTTCTTTTTTTGAAGCGTCCATGGCAGTAATTAGAACGCTTTCGACGAATCCCATTACTACTCCGGCGACCTAAATCTATATTGTTGCCAATATGTCTTACACTTAGCCGACTAGCTCGACAAAATTGCCGAGTAAAGATTCCGTTCCCCGTTGATGATAACTTGTGAACAAGATTTATGATTTCGAACCATCATCATGGTGCAACCTGAGAAACCTGCGGTCGGTTAAAAATTTTGCAGCTCAATCATCCGTCAATAGAACTGTGCTTGAAACTGAGAGAAATTGAACGATTGTCATGATGAAAATATATGAATGTTCCATGTTCTCAAGAAATCGTGGAATTCGCAGCCTGCAATGAGGGACTGCTTAGTGAAAAGCCCCAGCTGCCATATTTAATTATTAATAGGAGATTGATACATTCAATAACTACCGATATGCTCGTGACATGACTAATGTTTATTTCTAATATACTCAGCACTGTCAACATCTAGGGGTGAGGAATAGAATTCAGGCATTTGTTTTGTAAATTAGAATTGGGGTTTTCATTATCATGAGCGGAATATGAGGGGTAACTCGTCGACGGAATGACATCACACGGAAATTTTCAGCTGAGATTTATAACCCATGTAGTGCTTACCAGCGGCCTTCGAGACAAGTCGCCGACGATTTCACACGCTGACAACCTCGAGTATAAAGCAGCAACATGGTCTGTGTCTTTAACGTAAAGCAGGCCTTGTGTTATCCATGCTAAGTGAACATCTTGGAAACAGGAGAGACATACATAGATTCATTGAGCAGCAAATCCGTTCAATTATCAAAAACACAAAAGTAGCGTAACGTATACTCCTAGAAATAACGGAAAATGGCAGAGCAAGTAGCCTGGATTGGACTGGGGAACATGGGACGGGTATGTCGAGCTATTCCCGACAAAATGACCTCAGATCAACTAACAAAGGTCTTTAAATTTAGGGGATGATAAAAAATCTCGTTGCCAAATACCCATTCCAAACCCCTCTGATAATCTACAACAGAACACAGTCTCGCGCAACTGAGCTAGCTCCCACGCTGTCTAAGCCAGTCACCGTCGTGCCGACAATCACAGAAGCCGTCGCACCTTCAAGCATCATCTTCATCTGTCTCTCAGACGACAACGCTGTCACTGAAGCACTTCAAACAGCCATAAGCACTTGCGACATAGCCGGAAAGCTATTCGTAGACTGCTCGACGGTACACCCGGATACTTCACGGAGTGAGGCAAAATTGGTGGAGTTGCATGGGGGCTCTTTCGTGGCATGTCCTGTTTTTGGAACCGCCCCCGTCGCTGACGCCGGACAGCTGGTATGCGTGCTGGCTGGGAAGAGGGATTTGGTGGAAAGGGTTAAGCCATTCTGCGCGGGCGTTATGGGCCGGATAAATTTGGACGTGTCAACTCCACCGACCGGTGCTGCTGGCAATGAGGACGTCGTCGTGGACCCCGGACGCGCAAGCTTGCTTAAAATCATGGGTAACTCTCTGGGGTTGAACCTCGTGGATGCAGTCGCTGAGGCAATGACAGTAGCTGAGAAGTCTGGACTTGGTGTTGACACGCTGCATAACTTCCTCGAGCTGATGTATCCGGGCATGTATGTCGGGTATTCGAACCGCATGCGTTCGGGGGATTACTATAAGCGCGATGAACCGTTATTTGCAGCAGATTTGGCACGGAAGGATGCGAAGCATGCCATGGATGTGGCGCGTAGTGTGGGCGTGAGGATGAGAGGGCTGGAACTGGCGGATGAGTATTTGCAAGGTGTGAAGAAACGTCAGGGAGAGAAGGGAGACCTCGCGGCTATATATGGGGTTGTGAGAGAGGAAGGAGGCTTAAAATTCGAGAATTAGGAAGTAAGACTACTCCATTTAGTTTCACCTTCTGTGGGCAATGGGAGTGTTGGCTGTGGGTATCAAATGACGCTGAGTAAAGGTTTATGGATATTTCTAGTGATACTAAGAAAGAAAAAAAAATGAAAAGCAATTGTGTCATCACAAAATTGAACAGGCAAGAGCTCCGTCCAGTGTGAAAGAACCGTCAGCCAAGCCGCCTATTCTATCCGAAGTGTTTTGTCATGGGGGGGCTTCATGGATACGTTGATATATGAGAATGAAAGGATACCACCCATGGTCCCAGCCATGTTCACCCTCACAAAATCACTGTATGTAGCAGCCGTTCTCGATCGCTAACAAAAGGGTTGCAGTTCGCACGAGAAGCTTTGATCAAAAAAGTCAAATTCGAAGAAAGAGATGTGTAGAGAGGAAACCTCGTGAATAACAAGGGTCGAAGATAAGTACGAATGTGATACCAACCTTCAATCTCAACGTCCTAACGGACTGGATTATTTTCATCATCATTGCAACCTCATCGCTTCCAGAATCATCTGCAAACAGCCGCCCTTCCGTTGGCCTCTGTTGACAAGAACGGAACTTGAGACCAGCCCGTTTTCCTTTTAAGCCAGGCAACGCTGTTGTCTTCTGAAGGATAAACTCGTGTCCCTCTACTGACATTCTCATTTCCTACCTTCAAAGTATGGTAGCTCATCCCACCACCACTTAGCCACTTTCCCCAAAGCCTTACAACACCGCTACCCAGAAGACATATCTGCCGATTCCGTCTCCAAAGCCAAATACCCGTAATAAGCTGCGAGAATAGCTCATTCTCATCAAGGAAAATGAAGCCTCTGATGAACACGTTATCAGATTGTTCCGAGTTAACAGATTCCACCGTCACGTATCCCGAGGCAGGAATCATGTACATGTTGGTGTGAATCCACGGTCCATTCCGACAGAGTGGACGAAAGTGGGTGTGCGAATTTCTCAAGCGGCCCAGATATCCTTTCTCCGAGAACTTCGTCGAGTCGGACTGGCGGCCATGCTAGTCGTTTGTTATGTAAATACGTATACTTTAAACACGGCAGTATAGGTTTGCAAACTGGATGGTAGGATTCGAGGAGAATGTTATCGGGCCCGATAGTCGAGATGAGGGTGTTCAGGCGATAATGGATGAGGATCGCAATGATGTCGTGGATGCGGCGGCAGACAGGGGTTAAAGGGAGAATTAAGCGGATTGGGAAAAGGTCAAGAATTTGTTGAAGGAGCTGGCGATATGATGGTTATTACCGGATTTAGGGCGCTGGCTAACTTGCCAATTCGCAAAATACGTACCTCGTTTGGAAGAGAGAGAATTGTTGCTCTGTGACGAGCTGGGAGCTCGCTTAGTTAGCTCGATAAACATCCATGATACTGGCTACGTCACTATCAAACTGATGTTCATATATCTTTTACTTTCTGCAGTGGATGTGACTTACTAGTCTTGGAATGCTTATCAACTTACACTGAAACTAGTTTTATGAAGTCTTTCCACTTTCCAAGGTTGAACTCGGTCTTCACACTTTTGTCTCAGTTCAGCCAATCAACAACGTCATTGCGCTGTTCGGGGTACCCAGTGCTGCGACAAATCGCGGGCTTGAAATACCTTCACCCTCACTTCATCCGCACCGGCCTGCAATCTACTTGGCTTTTGTTGCGCACTTTCTGAGGAGGAAAACACTAGTAGCTATCTATCAGCACAATGGTAGAATCCGTCCTCGACGACATCTCGCATAGAAGATACAACATCTTACGAGGTTCTTACGTCCTAGTATCCCCTCATCGCACAAAGCGCCCATGGCAGTAAGCTTTGCTCCCAGCACAGGCGAAGTAGATGTTTCTAGTATTGCCTCTAATGTGATTGCCCATAGGGGTCAGCAGGAAGCCCCGTCCAAAACCGAGTTGCCGGTCTACGACCCCGCCTGCTACTTGTGCCCTGGAAATAAGCGGGCGCAAGGTGACCAGAATCCACAATACAAGAACACGTTTATATTTTTGAATGACTACAGTGCGGTCAAGGAGGAGCAGGCTGCGTACCAACAGGAATCAGTCGATGGCGGTACGTGGATCACCCGTCCTTAACCATTTATACGATATGGCTTTGAAAAAGTACACCTCTGGACTACGCATATTAATTCCCTTTGTGCCGGAAATCAGCCGTAGACCTTTCCTCTGTATTTCTCCAAGCCGAGTCGGTGACGGGAAGATGTTACGTCCTTACATTCTCCGCCAGCCACAATCGCACACTTGCAGACCTCTCCCCAGCCGAGATCAAGCCGATTATCGACGCTTGGACGGATCTATACGTCTCACACCTATCGCCCACGTCTCCATTAGCAGCAACGGCTTCTCTCATGCCTATATCGCCAGGGTCACCAATATCTCAAATATCGCTACCAAAACACCAACTCCGCTACATGCAGATATTCGAAAACAAAGGTTCCGCTATGGGTTGTTCTAATCCACACCCACACGGGCAGGTCTGGGCGCTCAGCTGTCTCCCTGAAGAGCTCACAATAGAGCTTGCCCAATTGCAGAAATACCGCCACGAGAATCACGGCAAGCACATGCTCCAAGATTATGCCACCCTTGAGCTACAAAAACAGGAGCGCGTGGTATTCGAAAACGATCTGTTCCTGGTCCTCTGCCCATGGTGGGCGACCTGGCCGTTTGAAACAATGATAGTCAGCAAAAAACATAGGCGCGCCCTTGTTGATCTGACTACAGCGGAAAAATTCTTATTAGCTGAGTCAATTGCAGAAATCACACGACGATATGATAACTTGTTTGAGACGCATTTCCCTTACAGCATGGGTATCCATCAAGCGCCGCTATGCGGTTCCGACGAGGAAATTGATGCGTCCCATTTGCATATACATTTCTATCCTCCGTTGTTGAGAAGTGCGTCTGTGAGGAAGTTCTTAGTTGGGTAAGTGCACCTATCCACGTAGCTATACTGAACAATAAGAAAGAGGGAAATTCCATTTCATGGATGTCTAACCAGGCCTTGTACAGCTACGAAATGCTTGCGGAACCCCAACGGGACATCACACCTGAGCAAGCAGCTGTTCGACTCAGGAGTTGTGCTGGGCCTCTGTATCGCACTAGATTAAATGATCAACCTAAGCATTTTTAAGAATAATTGGGCTATCTATTTGAAAATTGTCCGGTACATAACTATTAGCATCATTCAGGGGTAGTTTATATGGTATAAAGGTGGGATGTAGTTAGATGACCTAAGAAGATATTATCATCAGCTAGTTATATCAGATCCATGAGGCAGACGCCGACACCACATTCCAAGTAGCATTAGCAGCGTTTCACTTTCAATTTGCTCCCAATACTAAGAGACAACCCCGTACTAAACCATTGCCTATAAATAGATCCAAAAAAAAACCCCAAATTGACCTGCACAATCCCGACATTTTGCCTTTCATGAATCCTAGATCCCCCCTCTCCAGGCCACACCCGCGTAAATCAAAACCCAAGCCTACCCCAAGTAGAACCCCCTCTGCATCGCCATCCACACCAGCGTCCCACTCGCGACACACATCGGGCTCACAAACCTACCCCTAAGCTTCGCGCTACCGAAAATCAACAATTCGCTCGCGAAATGCACCAACGCAGTTCCAAAGGTCCACATTGCTAGGTCGTACATATGAGGCTCGTCAATGTGGAAGGCAGCGTACGCGCGGACAACGGAGGAGATGAAGGTCCAGGTGCCAAAAGTGCGCGACTGGAGCCCGTTGGTTGGGCTGTTATTGTATAGTAGGGCCGTGTAGGATGGGCTGACTAGGGCTTGGCAGGTGTTTATACTGGATACGGCGGCGAGCTGTATTATTTATTTTTTAGTTTTTTTTTTTAGTTTTTTGTTAGTTCATCAGATTGGTTATTTGTTTTTAGTTCGTGTTAATTGGGGAGAAACGGGAGGTTGAGAAGTGAAATATGTAACGGACTAGGGGATTTGTTATCGGAACATACAAAAAGGAGCCATTTGGGGAGGAAGCCCTCTTGTTGCGGGAGGTAGGACAGGAGGGACATTTTTATTTTGAGTTGACTGATTGATGGCGGACTTTAGGTTTGAACGCTCGTCTTTATGATGATGATATCTTATAAATTTCCACACAGACACTTTCTTCGCAATGTAATCTTTGCGCTCGCGGATGGATTTTCTGCCCTATTGAAAGCTTGGCGCCTCATCCCTGGGCAGTAATTTTGTCCTATCAGAAAACGCAAGCTTCATCCTGGTGAACATACCTACAAACCCTGCCACGATCTCGCCACGGAGCACCCATCTCGATATTCTCCTATCTTTCCCTGGCTGAGAAGCTCCGCAAGTGGCGCAATGGGTTTGGCATGCTGCTCTATGGACCGCCTTTTGCAGTTCCGCTTCGAACCGGCCCCTGGTTGGCAGTCGAATGTGGCTCTATTCCTACTGTCGATCGGAGGATTATTCACCGCATGCAAACTGTTTAGCTTTTGCCGTGCGCTTCTCAGTATTTTCGTTCTACCAGGGCAGAAGGTATGGCCTTCCCAAGCCTCTACGTATATTTTACTCCTTACTTTTATTTGAGCCTTTTCGGTTAATATTCCTGTTGTGCCGAATGTAGCTCTCCAAATTCGGACCAAAAGGTAGCTGGGCTTTGGTTACTGGTGCCTCGGATGGAATTGGTAAAGAATACTCTCTCCAGCTCGCCCGTGCTGGTTACAATATCCTCCTCGTCTCGCGTACGACTTCAAAACTAGCCGCGGTCGCCGATGAAATCAAAAGCAAGTCACCCACGGTACAGACCAAAATCTTCGCAATGGACTTCTTCAAAAACAACGATGGTGACTACGAAAACCTCAAGCTTCTGTTACAGGATCTTGATATCTCAATCCTCGTCAATAACGTCGGCCGCAGCCATAGCATCCCCACACCATTTGTCCTCACCCCGCTGGAAGAATTGGAAAATATCATTATGATCAACTGCATTGGTACCCTACGCATCACCCAGCTCGTCGCACCAGGAATGATGCAGCGCAAGCGCGGGTTGATCTTGACCATGGCATCCTTTGCTGGCATGATTCCTACCCCACTGCTGGCTACTTACTGCGGGAGCAAGGCATTCCTGCAATACTGGTCAATTGCCCTAGGTGCCGAACTGCAACCGTACGGGGTGCAGGTTGAACTTGTCCAGAGTCATCTGGTGACTTCTGCCATGTCTAAAATCCGCCGGCCCACCGTTACGGTCCCCATTCCGCGCGACCTCGTCCGAGCTGTGCTGAGTAAAATTGGTCGCGGGGGCGGCTTATCGGCATACGCTTATACCTCTGTGCCCTACTGGAGTCATGGCCTGATGGCGTACGCGCTAACGCAAGTTCTCGGACACATGGGAAAGTTCGTTTTGGGCTATAATAAGGCCCTCCATGAGTCTATCAGGAAACGTGCGCTGCGGAAGGCGGAGAGGGAGAAAAACAAGAAATCTACTTGATTTACACCTCCAATAGCTCTATACTCTTCCTTACGTACTCGAATCCATTTTGGATGGTGTATCTGATCTGGCGGATAGATTTGTCCGGAATGACACGTCTCGGATCTGTGTGCGGGATAGCTGGTAGCTGGACATTATAACCATAACTAATTACTGGAAAAGGTTTAAAACGGGAATTGATACTTTTCTCAAGGAAAGGGAGCTTTAATATATTGATAGATGTGCTGCAACCGATCTCTCTGGCCGCTGAAATGGGAACCGAGCTTTCTCTCTTATTATAGGTTGTGTTCGACTCACCCAATATTCGCATCAGGTGCATGTACATCTTCTTAAAGTAGTTGATTCACTCTCAAACTGCTACTGAATATCAACATGGTAACCAACAAGCGCGCGTTTCCACCCTAACTTTGAGCCAATAAACCTTACCCAATACAACATTATCACAATTTGTAGTTTGAAACTTCTTGTTTCGCGAAGCAAGAAATTAGCCGTACGTGGGATATACATAATGCTCAGTTTGGAGACCTACTTTAGGAAACCTCCTCCTCCGATTACAGCCAGTTAGGATAGGAATAGGTATAGGAATGCCATTAAAGAATTTGCTATCCCAACAACCTAAGGACTAAATTCCTACCCGGAAATGCCTTTGGCCCACATCTCCCACTTCTCATAAACGAGGCTTGGTTAACGATTCAGCAGGTATTGGGCACGGTAGCTAGCCTTAGCAAGCTCTAACTTAATCTATGAACACAACTTGTATGCGTGATTGTATGCGTGATATTACTGTCTTCTTATGTCGAGTGTAAGAGCTGAGGAAATTATTTATTATACTAGTAGCTTCAACCTTTGTTTCGGAAGGTCAGGTCAAGGAATGGACTACTTTGTTGCTATCGAACACAACGTGGCAAGCCTGAACATAAAATCGTCAATCCACTATAAAAAAATCCAGTCAAGGCATGCCGTTTATAACCACTGGACGGACATAACCCCACACCCCATAAATATCTAGGATAAGTGACCCTTTTGTGTTTAAAGGGCGGCTTTCCGCCAAGGTAGGGGATGTGCGGGTTTCGGAAAGTTAGTGTGGGGGACGGGGTTTAGAGGGGTTAATAATACCAACAATACCTTTTATAGAAATTGAGAAGATGTGCGTATCAACTCTCTCTCCGAATTAAAATGACGCAAGTGCCGAGCCCGCAAACGGTAGAATATGCCTGGGACAAAAGTAACTGTGTTTCGACTCCACCGGGTTCAGCAACACAACTCCATCCTTTCCTTTGTCTGATGTGAAAAACGGTTGACCCAATGCCCATTGGGCTGTTCACAACCGCAATCCATCTAAAATTGTGTTTCAACCAATACGAGGATTTCTAAGATTGACTATTCAATGGATGGCATGCATCACAGAAAGAGTGATGTTGTATTGAAAAAGAATTATGCATAAATTGTATATGCATCGTGAAGCATTCATACTGTCCCAACCCCTCTTTGTAAAGCAAAATGTTTCTGATAGGCGGGGCAACAAGAAGCAACTTCAAAATTCAACAATTCCAAGCAAGCAAAATAGCGGAAACAAAAAAAAAAAAAAAAAAAAAAAAAAAAAAAAAAATATTGACGTCAGTATTGATACTCGTCTCAACTGCCGCATCCGGTTGATCATATCAACAGTACATCCACACGTACTGGTCATTATAATCTTGGTTGTTACACACTTTCCAATGAGTGGGAAATGGTGTGGTGTAGGTCGCTAAGTGCCAAAGGGCTACTAATGCCTCCAGGGTCGCTTTGAAATTGACACATGGATGTCTCTAAACAGCATCATATGCATCGTCCAGGCAATATACCGTTGACGTAAGAAAATAATCTATCTGGCCAAAATGTTGCAGTGATATCCCCCACTATTTTAGTCTCACACTTACCACTGTGCCAAACAAATCAGATCGAAAATCGCGTCCAAGCAGCCTCGGCGTATTTCCGTCAGGTCGAATGAATGTTCAAATGTCGCGATGTGGTTACCACATAGTTGAGACATGGAGAATTTCCCCGAGCTGAGAGTAGCGTGGTAGCATCGGCCGAGCATATCACACTAACCCTACCAACCCTCAGCGAACAAAAGACCATTTGTTGCTGATCAGGCTCAGCGAACGTGCAAATAAGCGGCTCTGTTCTTGGAGGCTTTAGGTCCCAAATGACGAGCTTAGAAGGCTATTAACTATAGCTCGACCACGTATTGGTTGTTTGGGGGAGCCATTCGCTGAAGAGGAATGACATCAGTTTGAGAAGCAAAATCAAAGGCTTGCTCATGAAATGACTAATTAAATGGAGTTGAATGATTGACCAGACAACACCTCAATCCCACGACGGACTTTAACCGCAAGATTATCCCAAAGGGGATCGTGAGAAGCGCAATGCATAAGCTTAACCCGATAGCTGAATCAACAATATGAGAGCAAAATCTCCGAAATGACGGCGAAACGGTTCTCATTTATGCATGGGCAGAATATTCGAACGCTGCGCTGAAGACAAGGATATTGTGTGGAAAAGGGAAGAGAATCTAAACCGGCAAGAAAAGGCCGACTTTGAGGGTATTTGCTTGGACAAGCTCAGTCCGTTTTGAAAAAGAATGAACTTTGACTGTCTTCTCCTTTTCTCGTAGTGTAGATATCAATTGAATAGCATTGAGATCAATAACTCAATTCTCAGCAATTGAAATTTGAGTGTTTATGGTTGTACTTTCTTGTTTCATTTCCTTGGCATTATCGAACTGATAGAACACTTGACTTTTCTACCTTCATTCTGCCCATCAAAAAGCAGCCTGTCCCTTTTAATTGCAGTCAAGAAAAGAGAGGCACATCTTGACGAAAGAGAGGACGCCACGTCAATTGTGGGTCGGGGTGTGGAATAGTGTTGATAAATAGATAGATACACGGGGAAATAAGTACTCACAGGATGGCACCATCGAAGGGTAAGTGGGACTGGGCTGAAATGGACCCGACAAACTGGGCGGACATTTAAGACCACGCCGGATAGATAATTTCTTGCAGCAGATGACTGCATAAATATTCAATTCGAGTTTTGACTTTCAAGTTAGTTTGTTCTGCATTTCGCACACCGCCTTCTTTTTTTGCATAGAATTTCATTCAAGCTCTCATCTCGCGAACTGCAAAAACAACCACATGACGTTCTCCTCTTGAACGCCCAAGTTCAAAACAGGATAATAGAGTTCAATGGCTAACTGTCACCGCAACAAAGGGGCTAACAGGAACGAGGGCATGATTATTGTCTAGCCTGGACAAGTAAAGGATACCACCATGTTCACCACACGGGCACGCCAATGGCAGGTCCAGATTGATTATTCGGACATGCGTTCGTGTTCGACTTCTGCCCATGTTGCCAACCTCAGAGAACAGGTTAATTTGCCAACTGTTCTGTCTCGCAAGCATCCCTTGTCATCCGTTCAGTTGACGATGAACCAGCTTCCATATTGATCGCCACTTTCCAAAACATGGCTAATAGTCTAGGGACGTCCGAGGATGGTAATGCATCGGAATTGTGTATCCGACTTCAATTTTTTGTTCGGACTGGTTTGGGGCGTAGGGTATGGCATCACCTATCGGGTCCGTTGTTGACGGACACGGGACGGGAGCAGGCGAGGTCCCAAGTCCATGTCACTGGGAAGAGGATAGAAGACGTCTAGAATTCCGTACCCAGGTTTGCGGCCGAAAATGGAGGTTCCGATGACGTGTTGTCACACCTGACTATGCGGGTTAAAGGTTCAATGGCTACGGCTAACCCCTGTCCAACCTTAGGTCACACTTGAAGTAGAATTTCTACCGACGAAAAACCTTTACGACACGGGACGAATATTAGGCTTTCCTGTATATCAAGAGTGGTCTAATAGCCCCAGTGAGATTGCTGATTCGCGATCACCAACCCCCAAGGCAATACCCGGGAGGCATAGAAAGTGAGAACCGCCAGCTGTCATATCGTTAACCATGTGACTTTAGATTCGCCAATCATCCACTGTCATAATTGGGTGCATCCAAGAAATGATTCTGCACGCTTTCCCGTGGTATGAAGTGCCGACTTACTAGTAAGGGTCAGGCTAAGAAGGCTCCCTCCTCTCCAGGGTGTGAGTTAACTCCACCTAGTTAACCATGCATACCACTTTGCCCCATTTGTAAGGGCGTAATTAACCATTGTCGCTTTATTTTTATGGAGCCCTAAGAGAACGAATTCGGCTAATTGTAAAACGAGAATTGTCGGCGGTGATGGTATTGGGCGGGAAATAGACGGAAGTCGGGAAGGACTGTACATGGCCAGTAGATGCAAAAAGCAGTTGAGATCAGGATATTTCCGATGGTCAAATCCCTTGGTTTTTCTCCCAAGTTTAATGCAGGACAAGGGTACGCACAATGAATAAGACTGCCAACAGACCTACAATGCCATGGTCTGCATCACCGGCATTGGCAAGAACCGTAGAGGAGAGCCGGCTTGATCCTCGGGCGTATATCTAAGCTCGATCCGTTTCGGCATATAACAGTGTACGTGCGACGAAAGGGAGACGTTCCACATCAGTTTTCGATGTACTCAAACTTCAATTTTTCGAATATTTGTTGGTACCACTCGAGCATTAAGAAAATAGCATTCCAGCGTCAACCTTTGCTTTTCCCTCCAGCCCCAGATACTCATAATAGATCGGAAATATATTCCGGATTCAGACTAAGACCATGTACCAACATCCGGGTCTGTGATAGTGATAACAGCACATTAACTGACGCCAGATTGTGTCCCAGGAACCCAGAATCTGGAACCACGGAATTGGACGAATCTTTCCTTGAACTGACCACGTACCAAGGGAGAGAATTTCAAAATTACTCCTTGGAAAATAGCATTTATTTTGGGCCTGTTGACGATGTATGCGCGTAGTATCAACTGGCCCAACTATTGTTTTAGGTCATTGCTGACATGATCTAGGATGAAATAGAGAGGCTCGACCTACAACATCGAATTCTCAGCAAAGTTTTCGATAACCGATTGATCTTTCCTCCAGTGCACTCATTAAGGCGAGTTCTCGATTGCGGCTATGGGAACGGGGCTTGGGCTGTCGAAGTTGCCGAACAATATCCGTCTTGTGAAGTAAGCGCTGCTGTTGCCCTCAAAGTGACCTATGCTAACACCGCTTGAAGGTTATCGGAGTAGATATATCTCCACATATGAAGCCGGATGACACTCCTGAGAACCTGTGGCTGCAGGTCAGTTTAACACAAATATTTCCGGAGGCCTCGTTTTGGCTTGGTTAATGTGGAATTTCTCCCGCACTTCGAATCATATAATAGACACTGAGCACTCAGGGCCCAAAGCGGCGGGCATCCCAGCAGACACTTTCATACTACACCAATTCTTGGATGATATTTTGATTGGCTAACTTCCAGTGTAACCAGGTTGATGACCTGAATCGAACGTTCACATTTCCACCAAACCATTTCGACCTTGTTCACTCGAGGCTTATCGCTTCTGGATTGCATCGACAGAGATGGCCGAGATATATTAGGGATATCAAAAGGTAAGTAGCTACCTTACGAGCATTTCAATATATAAACAAAAAGATGCAAAACAGTTTGAAATGGGTGTTGCGCTGAGCAGAGCCGGCTGACAGATCAAATCATTCCCATTATTAGAACCCTGAGGCCTGGTGGCTGGGTACAGATGGCCGAAATGTATTTCAATGTCCAATCAGATAACGGTACAATCACGAATGATCACGCCTTGAGGCAGTGGAGTTCGAGATACGCTCGAAGCATCGAGGACGTTAAAGATCCTAGGGTTGCAATGAATTTGGGAAACCTCTTAACATCTGCAGGATTTGTCAATGTTGAAACGAAATTGATCAATATCCCATTAGCTGCATGGTCAAACGGTAAGCGTGTCCAAGACCCGTTCGTGGAGCCAATATTCGTTGACACTCCTCAGATCCCAGGATGCGCGAGATAGGAAGTTTAAATAGACTCAATGTCTATCGTCTTTTTGGATCGTTGGCATTGTATCCGCTTATGAAGCGATTGCATATGTCTCGAGAAGAATTTGAGGTACTTGTAGCACAGGCTCGCATCGAGGTAGATAACCTCTCACTTAAAGCATACTTCCCGCTGTAAGTGTTCGAATTTTCTCGTATTTTTGCCTTGTCTGGTGTTCATCCATCTGACTGATGAGGTAGATACGTTTCCATCGGCCAAAAGCCGTAATCAGTAGGTACAGCTACCATCTGGATTGCTCACTATAGCGTAATCCAGATCAAACTACCTAGGCGAAATTTGTTTGGTGTTGCCAGCCATGGCAATCTGGAGGCCATTGTTTGTTGTTTGGTATGTGCATACGTCTGTTGACTGGACAGGATGCTAAGGGTCCCCAAGCCATGCAGCCAAAAGAGTCTTCAAGTCTCTTACATGCTGCGCATGGATGTGATTTGAATTTCATCAGCATGTTTATGTCGCACAAATATTGGTATTGTTCAAAGTACAAAGAACAGGAGAGGGATATACCCAATCAATTCCCTCCGTTATTAAAATCGTTGCAAATTTTACTTTTTCCCAAACTGATAATGCCATATTTCGCACCAAATTGCATTTTTTTTACTTGAGATATTCCCAAAACTGGCAGGATAGTTTTGAGACATTCTTCCTTTCCGCCAAGATTCAACGTGGGACTCATAGCAAGCATCCGCGCCACCGGCCGTCCGTTGATATATCATGTAATGGGGCGACTGTCTTCACCAGAAAAGGAGAATATTCGAGAAGTTGACGGAAAAGCTACCGTTTTGAAGTGTCTGAAGCTATCTCTCCAGCGTGAACCTTACGTTAATAAACAGCAAGATACGACAACCTAGCCCAAGGTAGAAGATACTCTTTCAATCCGTTGCAACAAGCATTTGGGGAAGACGACGGATAGCAAAAAGACCAAGCGGGTTGGCAGGTCCAGGATTTGGGGACGATTAGGAGCCTAAAGGGCCTGTGTCATCATCAGTTATACGACACTACGTCCCAGAACTATAATTGGAAGGAGGGGGTGTTCACAGGTTTTTAATGGGTTCAGGTCAGAAATAGGTGATTGAAGAGCTCATTCACAGCGATAGGAGGGTGGTAGAACTTCATCAAGAAGGTTTGTCGGAGGAGCCAATAGAAATCATGGAGACGTCAATAAGGTTACTTCTTCATGGCCGAGGCGATAATCAACACCGACCTCAAAAGTTGAAGGTTTTCGAGGGCGAGCTGATGGGGGTGAAGTTAGAGGTGGCAGAGATGGTGAAAGTTAGATCAGGTTCCCAGGGGCCGTGGCAGTTGCGTGCCCCTTTGAAGGTGTGACAGAACATTTCCTCCAACTGGACGTCCATATGATCAGACAACTAGGAGAGAGCAGGAACAGGTGCTCACGGGCAGCCAGTTCTCTGACCATGGTCAGTGGAATTAATTGTTCTTCTTCACAGCCAGCAACCCATATAGGGAATGTTAAGTGAAATTTACACCACTCCCAGTTGTAACTGGGGTCCGCGAATCTTGCCCCTCAATTGAATCCAATGAAATTGCAGTCCATGTCCTTGTTGGGACCAGCCGCGTACAGCCCTGTCTTCCAGCAGTAATGTCCTGTTCTTGGTTCAGTCCCGTTGTTTCTCATGAGGCCTGGTTGGTTCAACCAAAATAAGATCCTTGTGCTTTGTTCTGAGCAGATAGCCTAGGCCGTATGCTAACAGTGCTCAGCAATGACAGGCAGAAGAGCAATGACAGCGGTGAACTTGTGGTGCGCAAATAATATTCAGTCGTTTGTTTGCAGTCAGTTATCGAGAAGGGCCCAAGCGCGCCATTTTATTCCAGCAGAGTACCGAACCCCAGATATCAGCAAGTCAAGTGCAATTCTTGAAATCTGGAGAAGATCCTCAATAACATGGGAAAGACAAAAACCTTATAAGCACTATTTTATGTCAGTACAGATTACTGGGGCGGAGCCGCTGGAGATGGAAAGGCACTAGGACAGGCGATCATTATCCAATGCGGCGAATTCACTACGATGTTTTATCTTTGAGATTCAGATTTTTAAAGAGATGAGATACTTGAGAGGGTATTTTTCTTTGAGATCTTGACAAAGAAGATCCAATTTGGCAGCGAAATAATTTGTCAGAAACAATGGAACTAGTGGCCTGTTTTGGATTGGAAACAAGATCACCTCTGTTGAAGTAGCTTGGAACTAGTGAACCGAGGATCAGGGAAGGACGGGAAATGGGGAGCGATGGCGTCGCGCGGTGACTTTTGGCCCTGGATAGCTTACCCATTCACACGGCAGAGCACAATTGACTGGTATCGCCCTCATCAGTCCTACTCACATTGCTGGGACTCTCCTAATATGAGGTTTCCTGCTTGCCCTGACTCTCAGTTCCTTGCACTGAACCCCGGAGAAAAGCTTCGCCAGTACCATGGTTTAGGGCAGTTGTATTGGAATAGTGACACACAAAAGAACCAAATTGGTTTAATAGCGTATCTATATGCTTGCTAATGGTGGTATATCACTCCGCAGACACAGGACTATACATTCAATCTTCCTGTTGAGATTTTTATCTTTTCTGTCCTGGTGTTGTTTACCTCGACGTATGGGATGCAAAATTAGCGGGCGCTTGGGCGCTTTGTAAGCGCCCAGGCTAGAACTAGACCCCAGAGTCGGGTTACCGTTTTACTATTTCGGTTTAGCCTCGACTCCACCTGCAGCCACTCCCAAAAGGAGGAAAAAAAAACCTCACCAGTTTGCGGCGACAATTATCACTGGGCTTCATGCAACTTCAAACAAACAGCTGCCGCTACATATAACATAGGCTGCAGCCAAAAATGCCCTCCACATATAAGAAAGACAAACCCTGGGATACTGACGATATCGACAAATGGAAGGTTAGCGATCTTACCTGTACCTCAAAGCTCACAAATATTGAGATGACAGACATGGCTGATATATCTTCCTTTTAGATCGAGGAATTCAAACCAGAACATAATGCCGGCGGCACGTTCACGGAGGAGTCATCCTTCGTCAGCTTATTCCCAAAATACAGAGAAGCATATCTAAAAGAAACATGGCCTATGATAACCAAAGCACTGGAGAAGCATGGTATCGCGTGTACCCTGGATTTAGTTGAAGGAAGCATGACCGTGAAGACTACTCGTAAAACCTTCGATCCAGCTTCAATTTTGAATGCGCGGGATTTGATTAAGCTCCTTGCGCGAAGTGTGCCAGCACCACAAGTATGCACACGCTGTTACCCCCTGGATCAAGGAAGCTTTGATTTGCCATCCTTACAACAACTGACGGTTTCGATTCAAAATATTTAGGCTTTAAAAATCCTCCAAGACGATGTAGCTTGCGATATCATTAAAATCCGCAATCTCGTACGCAACAAAGAGCGGTTCGTAAAACGGCGACAACGTATCCTCGGACCCTCCGGTTCCACCCTAAAAGCTCTCGAACTGCTAACAAACACCTACATCCTCGTCCAAGGAAATACAGTGTCCGCCATGGGGCCATACAAAGGCCTTAAGGAAATAAGAAGAGTGGTGGAGGACTGCATGAACAACATTCATCCTATCTACCATATCAAGGAGATGATGATCAAAAAGGAGCTCGCGAAAGATCCTAAACTTGCAAATGAAAGCTGGGATCGCTTTTTGCCTCATTTCAAGAAGCGGACACTAAGCAAGAGGAGGAAGCCGTTCAAGGTCACAGATAAAAGCAAGAAGGTGTACACACCGTTCCCGCCCCCCCAGGAGAAGAGCAAAGTTGATCTGCAGATTGAGAGCGGTGAATACTTCCTGAGTAAGCAGGCACGAGAGCGTGCTAAAAAGGAGGAAATTATAGAGCGCCAAAAGGAGAAGAGAGAAGAGAAGAAGAAGGAGCTGGAGAAAGATTTTGTTCCGCCCAAGGAGGTGGACGAGGTTGAGAGGAAGAAAAAGAAACGGAAACGCCATGATGGAGATGTAGGAGAAGGGAACGGAGATAAATCGTCCGAAAAGAAGGAGAAGAAGTCGAAGAAAATAAAGCGGATCGAGGGAGAGGAATAATCATCTTCTAGTTTTGTTTGCTTGTTTATGTTCAATCATATCTGGCGCAATGGTTGGAACCCCTCTTCTACTATCATCTCCTCCAGCACATTACTAAATATTGTAAGCATCCTCATGAGCTTCTTGTTTGTTACTTTATTTCCCCTATCTCTACGAATTATGTAAGGGAAGATACCCATTTAATTTGCCATCTAGATGACATATCTATATTATGCAGATGTCTACTATACAGCCTCCCAACTTCGAAATCAACTGGGGTAACGCTTCGGGACACTCAAGCTACAGTTCCTCACAATTTCGCCGTGCCCCACTGTATATCACTCCAAGCCAGTGCATCTAGCCTCTGATACCCTTTCGCAGGATTAAGCCAGTACAGCGTATCATGCACGAGTTCCCTCCTTAGATCTTCCTCTTCATCACCTGATCTTTTTTCGGGTGTAGGAACAGTGTTGGGATTCCAGCTTAATTTCTCCATAACTGATTTGATCTGTTTGAAAGTGACACCCGTTACGATGCTGGTCAAATTGGTCATGTTAACGAATTACAGCTTTTGTACTCCCTCCGTACGGCAATAACGAGAGAACGAGCGACTTACCTATTGGTCATACGTACAAGACGCGGCAGGGCGTAGTATGGGAGCCCGCTTTTGACAAGAGCAGAGCGGAGGGAGTTGATAAACTCAGTTTCTGACGCTTCAGTGCGTAAGTATAGCGCAATGACAGCTGCCCCAACTTTGCCCTCATAACTATGAATCTCAAAAATTAGCATTAGCTTTTCAACCCACGAAAGCCCAATGAATGAAAGAAAGCCGTCCATGTTCGTACCTATCAAGCTTTACTCCAAACACTGCAGCGTCCATCACATTAGGCATCATGCAGATTTGGCTCCTTACCACCCCAGTACTCACATTCTGGCCTTGCCACCGAAACCTATCATCAATTCTCTCTTGAAATTTCACCCACCCAGATTCCTCACGCATTACCAGATCACCCATCCGCTGAAACAAGTCTCCTTTTCGGAACACATCCCTCAACAGTTTCTCTTCAGTCGCAGCATCATCATTCAGATAGGTCGTTAGTAGGCTCAAATCCGAGACGCGTCCAATCACCTCTCCTTCTTCACCCAGGTCTGCCTTGATACAAAACCCCGTATTCGGATCCCGAACAGGCATCTGCATCTCCGGATCATATTTGACAACAAAAGTCACATCCTCGAAGTATCGCTTGAGAGGCCCTGCAAAACCTACCTTGCCTTTGCCAGCTGCCGAACGGCCATCATTTTCAAATTTAGCTACAGCTTCGGTTGCACGATAAGCTTCGCGTATCTCCCGGACCCCGAAGCGTTCCTTGAATTTATCCCAAACGTCCTCGCGGAGGCCGTTGCCGAAGGCATGTGTGACGGAGTGAGATCGATCGTACGGAGAGGGAGGGGCAGCGAGGAGGAAACGGCAGAGCTCGCCCACATAGAGAATGCGGTTTGCTCTGCACTCTTTGACATCTTCCCAGAAAGTCGTCGCAGAGAACTTTCGAGCTAAGCAGAAAGTCCCCGAGGACCCCAGGGTGTAACATAGGCCCGCTAAGAAAGCGGTGCTGTGGAACAGGGGAAGTGAGGAATATGTCCGCAATGGGTAATATTTCGAAGGGTCCCTCATATCTCCGGTGAAAGGGGTAGAAGTAGCCCACAACATGTCATTTCGAATTACACAAGCTTTCGGTTCGCCCGTCGTTCCTAAACCTCGAGTTAACAATGCGGATTTGTGCAATTAGCTACCACTGCCTATGTCAGGGCTAAGTCTAACCAGATGTGCATATGAGAACAGCCATATCCGTGAGGCTACGTTTGGCCGGCACGAGATTAACATGGCTAGCATTCTGGAGGTCATTTAAACCAATCAATTCGACCTTAGGTGGAATCGGCGTTTCTGCGGATACAGCAAAAGATGATAAAGCAAGGCATATGTGTGGGAGATCAACTTTGGCATGCTGAGACAGATCAGGAGTAGACAGTATGAATCTTGGGTGGGATAAGTCCAGCGCGCATACAAATGTGTCGTCTATTGGGATATACTCGAGTTAACATTCAAAGATACGTCAAAGAGACACCAACGAAGAAATCTGTGTCAATGAATGTACTGTACTACTGTTTTTTGCGTACTCACCTCTATGATTCGTATTGATTAAGTCTACCACCACACCTAACTTCGCGAGGGCAAGAATAGCTACGACCATTTCAGGAGAGTTCGTCATGAACACCCCTACCACATCACCGATCCTGATGCCGCGAGCATGCAGCAGCCCTGCGAATTGGTCGACCTCTGATAAAAAACAACAGCTGTTAGATCACCATGCTTTCAGTTTGTGCTGATGATGGTTCATTTGGGGTTCCATGGCCCCTTTTTTCGGTGAGAACGACGCAAAGGGAATACAAACAACTTAGAGAGCTTTAACAGGACTCAAGATGTAACCATAGGTTCGGGAAAGTCAACTTGCCCATTTTCAACTGGCCGTATGACATCGTTTTGCCCTCAAACCAAATGGCCTCGTCTTCATCGCTGTTCCCGGACTGTTGGAGGATCGCATACATCGAATGTGTTCCTTTAGCACAAGCAATTCTCTGTTGTTTCCGGCGGGCGATGTCTCGTTTGTACCGTATGTCTCTAAGATCACAACCGATGGCGAACCTGGCGTTCAGGTAGCTAGCAGCCACAGCGAGGGCAGCAAGGGAGGCAATGGAATGAAGGATAACAGCATCCATTGCTCTATTTACCAATAATTGAATATCGAGTTAACGAATTTACTCGTTTACGCCTGCGAGGCCCGGAATTTGAGCCTTGGGTCCGAATGCATGGAAAAAAATATTCTTCCTTTGTTCAAAAGAGAAAAGAAGAAAGCAGAAAGTAATATATTATTCATGTTGAAAGCATGCGTTTCGGCGCAAAGTTATTAAGTATGAAGTGTCTCAAGTATTAACCAAGCAAGAGAAACCGAAAGGAGATGCAAACCAGAGAAACCCTCCTGTGGTAGTTCGCTTCCTTGCGAGAGCGTGTCATCGTTGATGGCACGGGATGCGGTTTGACGACGTAGATATGAGTATATCCATGGATAATGAAAGCAAGACCATCGCAACGCTTGCAGGTCGCGCGGGGCTGCCAGCATCGCTACTACGCGCGACTGTAACGAGCTTCCATGGACACGGAAAGTTTCAGACGCAATCCCAAGTTTATTTTGAGCCACCTTGAGTGGGCTCTTTCTGGTTTCTCGCGAGAGAGCCCCACCGGTAACGGCGTCTCGCGAACAAATAACAAATTGGCGGGGTCCGCTGAACCAGCCTGCCTCTGGAGCTTTGCATAGCCAGCATCTGCTGTTTGGTCCTGGCCCTGGCCTGAAGCGTTGGTGAGGATATCCACAGGTCAAAGCCGAGGTGCTGGTGCGAAAGCCATGTCTGCCGAAGTGGGGTGGATGGGTAACAAAGTATTGTGTATAATGATCAGAATGATTGTGATTTCTCCCGTTTGTTTAAAACGCCGGTATATGATGATATTCATCAATTGACCATTGCCTGCTTTGTTTCGAACAACTTCTACAATGGCGTCTGCACAGCAGAGGCTCTCTTCGGTTCAAGGCCATCTCCAAGCTGGAGATTCGCGGGCAAGGAAGGCGCTTCTGGCAAAGAATCCCGATGACATTGTAAGACCACCGTTCGGATAGCTGACATTTCTCTCGTTCGAACGCTGACAGGATATGAAATGCGTAGGTTATCACTCTTGCTATTCGGACCCCTCTCACCAAAGCTCGCAAGGGAGCTCTCAAGGATACACACCTTGATGACCTTATGATTGCCTTGCTAACTGTAAGCTGAATAAATAAGTTCCTTGATCGACATGAAACAAAAGTGAGATTAAAAAATGGAGAAATCCAGCTCACCATATCTCTTCTCAGGCTGTTCGTGAGAGATCTAACCTCGACCCATCCCTTGTTGAAGATGTTTGTGTCGGAAATGTGTCTGCTCCTTCTGCCGCATACGCTTCCCGCTCCGCCGTCCTGGTCGCTGGGTATCCCGTAACTACCTCTGTGTCAGTTGCCAACCGCTTCTGTTCCTCCGGGTTGCTCGCCATCCAGCAGATCGCCAACCAAATTCAAGCCGGAGCAATCGATATCGGCATCGGCGTTGGCGCAGAGAGCATGAGCACAACACCGAGCAATGGCGCCGCAGCCGTCTCAGAAGCCGTGCTCAATCACCCCATTGCGTCTCAAAACCAGATGCCAATGGGTCATACGTCTGAGAACGTCGCAGGCCAATTCAACATCAGCAGAGAGAAGATGGACGATTTCGCTGCGCGCTCGCACCAACGAGCTGAATTGGCGCAGAAGAGTGGGTGGGTGGTCGACGAGATCGCGCCCATCAGAGTCAAGGTGAAGGATCCCAAGACAGGCCAGGTCAGGGAAGTTGTCGCGGATAGGGATGATGGTATCCGTTACGGAACCACTGCCGAAAGCCTGGCGAAGGTCCGCCCGGCCTTCCCGCAGTGGAAGCCCGGCCGTACGACTGGTGGTAATGCATCGCAAATCACCGACGGCGCTGCGGCGGTGTTGATGATGAAGCGATCTCGTGCGCTGGAGCTGGAGCAACCCATCATTGGCAAATTCTGCGGTGCAACGGTTGCCGGTCTGGAGCCGCGGATCATGGGTATCGGCCCGACACTCGCGATCCCGAAGATGATGAAGAAGCTCAACCTGCAGAAGGAGGATGTAGATGTCTTTGAGATCAATGAGGCTTTCGCCTCGATGGTATGTCAAAATACCCTGGACAAGTTTTACCAGCTATGGACTTCGCCACAAACATATATATTCTTTATTATTTTATTGCATTTTATTCTAACCACTCTACATAGGGAGTCTACTGTGTCGATAAACTCGGTCTTGATATTGAAAAAGTAAACCCTCGCGGTGGTGCGATGTGCGTATAATCCCATCCTATCCTGCGCACTATTAGACTCTAGCTAAAGATTCATTTGTTAAAATCATCAGTGCCATCGGTCATCCCCTAGGCTGTACTGGCGCTCGTCAAGTAGTGACAGCCCTCTCAGAGCTTCGGAGACAGAATAAGCGCCTCGCGGTGACGTCTATGTGTGTTGGAACTGTAAGTGTGCTTGGGCCCCTTCTTCCCCCGTGGACGATTTCCACCTTGGAACTGCCATGAAACGTAAGGAATGGCTCTAACCATGTATTTCATTTCATTTAGGGCATGGGGATGGCTGGTGTCTTCGTCTCAGAGCATTGAAAAGGAGTGCGGTAGGACGTATATATGGCTGGTTGTTTGCTTGTCCTTTAGGATTTACTTGAAGTGTAGCGGCATTTCACTTACGTCCTATATATACATATGAGGAGTACATGCATGTCAAGATAAATTCCATTTCAGAGAGTGATTTTATAATACAGAGTTCGAAGTTGAGCCTGGAGTTGAGCCCAACAACAAAACGAGACTGTATACCACATTGTTTAGATTGCATTCGTTAGAGTAATGAAATGTACAGTACATATAGGAAAGCAACAAGCCGTGGAGGTTCCTGCAGCCTTAATGCCATGAGGGGCCAACTTCAAGATATCTATTCTTTTCACTTTTCGCCACTGTTCCTTCACCATTTGCGTTCGTTTCGGCAAGTTCGTCCAATTGGGACATTGGCCATAATTGATCTTTTTCTCAATATCTTTGTTTCAAACATTCCACCGACCTTGGTCGCTAATGTCAGCTACGATCCTGAGATGTGTGAGCCTACAAAACCCTGGGCCCATTGCTTTTGCGTATGGGCTTCATGGAGTGCATGGTTACCTCGTCCTAGCAATATATCCGATTGCAATCATTTATGCCACAAACAATATGCCTGATTGACACAGGTAGCACCGCATCCTAAAGGGGACTAAGACTAATCATGGCGGTGGTTCCATGTATACCAATTATCCACAGATTCGGCGTGTCGATTCCCCGCGACAGAGTTCCAGAATTCAGTGGACCGGTTGGATTAGAGAGCGGGCTTCATATAGTTAGACAAGTTGCCCATTCCCAAACTGGAGCAATACTATCCATAAATATATCGTAGTATGGCTTGATCGAAGCGTCAAGCATGAAAAATGATGAATGGGAAAATATAGGTTCCCAGCGGTTCTGGGGCTGAATCAATCTTCTTTGCAGATCGTGCTCAAAGAATGGGCCAGTTTGAGCAAAACTACGCTTTCAGTAGCAGCGAAATAGTTCAAGCTATTATACACACGCGCAGGCAGTTAATTATCAGTTTCCATCAGGGGAGAGTAGCTAAATCGAGAGTATGTAGCTATGACCTACCTGTCCATCAATATCCTCAGGTGTCGATTGAAATGATCTTCATATCTTTTTAAAGTATCCTCAAGTTTGCCTAGGCGCGTGGCATCATACGCCTTAGTGGCATCGGAGCCGGGGATGCTCGGTTTGGAGCTAGGCCCTGACAGATCTGGATCCGCAGAGACAAGACTGCGTGAGAGCGACGATGCTGTCCAGGAAGCGAACATAGTACAGCAGATCATGAGTTTGGAATGGATCTAGACAGATCGTTCATTTAAGTAACCTGATGATAATTGTAATGAAAAACAGGAAGGGGGGTAAAGAAGAAATATTTACCTTGAGCAGTTTTCCCTGAGTTAACATGCACTCTTTCAAACAAGTGTCTAAGAAATCAACGTGGTCTTGCATCAATTCATCAACAGTCCGATTGACCTGCTTTGTCCCATTTATCATAACCTCAGTCCCATCAGCATCATCGCCATTCACCCTGTCCATGAGATTCTGCCAGTTGGGTTCGATTACTTCGGCTGTGCAGAAGTAAAGCAACTGCTGCACGAATATGAGCATTCTAGCGCGTAATGTCCAAGCCCTTCGCTTCCATAGCTCGAGTTTTCGGTCCGATGATCTATGTCGCCAGCTCTGCATTTTCATGTGATCTTGCCAGGAGGCTCCGAGTAATGTTTCTAGATGGCGAAGGGAGAGGATGTACCTGAAAATGAGCTGATAACGGAGGACGGTTTTGCGGCTAATAACAAGTGAGAGAGGGAATGGCACCATGTAGTCGAGTTCTAGGGCATCAAACCCGATAATATCTTTTTCTTCCTCTGTAACTTGTGGAGCAGGGGTTTGATATTTTTCAAGCCCGCCATCTGGGTTATCCTGATCAATACCAGATACACTTACCACGCGCATGAGCCATTTAGTTAATCCTATGTAATTCATGCGAACCTTCACATCTTCCTTAAATGGATCTTGGGCAGCAATACTACCAGGTTGCCGAAGAACGAGGTCAAGCAAAGACTGCAACTTGCCTTCATTGACATTCTTTGCCGGTTTACGGAGCTCCGATGCCCCTAACTCCAAAAAGTAAGAGAAGAAATCAGAACGGTCAAGGAAGAAGTAATGCTTCAAAGAGCGGAATCGGGTCGTCAAAGAATTTTTTGTTAGGAGAAGGTTGAGTAAGGAGGCATTTGCATATGCGTACGCCGAATTTACGTTATCAAGAAATCGTGGATCGTCAAAAGTCAGAGGAACATCTCGAATCTCTTTACTGATATCAACCCCCCCACATTCGCGAACAACATTGAGATACTTGCCAGCAAGCAGAACCTTATCCCTGACTGTGTCCAGCTGGGGGGGAACTTCGCTGTCACGGATGGTATATCGCTTCTCCCAATATTCATCGGTATAATCCTCCTCGAGTTTGTCACGCTTGATGCCTTTCTGCTCTTTGACGAGGAATTCCGCGTGAGGATCGTTGATGGCTCCCTGGTGCAGCCACTCGTTTAGCATGGTCATATATGGGCGGCTAGCCTCGCGCAACAGAGTCTGAAGCAATGTTCCCGTCGTTGGATCGCCAGAGAAAGTCGCAAGTCGCTGAGTTAATACTCCTAAAACATTACCGCCTTTGCAGAGCTTTTTGCTGGACATGCTCCCGGGAGCTAGTTCACCCCCTTCCCTCAATTGTTCAAGGATATTTTCCACATCATCAAAATCATCAACTGACTCGTCAGATTCCTGGACCAGAAGTGAATTTTTCTTCAGTAGCTCTTGTCCAAGTGCATAGAGCTGAGCCATACTCTGGCTGGTCGGCATGACGTGGAGGTGGAGAACATGTAATGTAAAATTACTATTATTGAGAAGTTGGTTTTCTAACTGGGCGATTAGAATAAGATAGTCCTTTAGCAACTTGCGTATTGCAGCACAAAGGGCATGGTTGACGGCACCAAATTCCGCCCTGCTTTGAACTTCTACAAAGGCCTCCATGGCGCTGTAGTGGGTTGCCATTTTCAGCATGGAAAGAGTAAGATCCTTCAAGCTAGGTTCAAGGCCTGGTTCTATTTGAAAAGATGGTCCAATTAAGCGATCTGTTTCCTCAGACGGATTATAGGAGTTGACAAAGTGGATATATTCGCCCTCGTATCCCATGAAAACAAATAGTAGGTCCTCAAGAATTGAGGCCTCCTGCGCCTCCATATTTAGTTCCCGGAGCGGTGGTGGGCGTAGTGCCTGCGGAGCCAGCGACGAGAGGGGAGGCACAGATACACGGCATGCAAGGGGAGCGGTCGAATGCGGAACTAAATTTGCTTGCGGCTCCCAAGGCGCTGTATCATAGAGACCAAAAAAGTTCATCAGTCTCAATCACATAACAAGACAATTAGTTCACATAGATATTAACTGACCCTCTGGTTGTTCTTTTTCTATTTCCTTCTCCTTCATCCTTGACCTAGCAACGGGGTTTGGAACCTCATTTTGACTGGGCTTCTTCGCTTTTGGTTTCTCCCAATCGCTCTTTGGCACTGATGCTGAACTTGGAGGCTGTTTCTTGGACCTGACTTGGACCCTTTCCCTCGTTGTAACCTGCGTTCTCTCTGTGCGCACTTCGCTTGAATTATATTCTCTGCTCATCCGACTCGCCCCTACCCCTGGCGTACCTTCTCGCGAAGTAGGCATTTTTCCATCCGCCGGCGTGGATTGCCCATATCGCGTAGATTTCCCATTAACGCGAGCAGAAGAAACGCGTGACCGAGACCCATTTGTATGGCTAGCTGATCGTTCATGGAAAGACGTCGAAGGTTTTATGGTTGAGGGAGAAGATGAAGTCATAATTATCGCCTGTCATTGGAGCTACCAATCCCACCGATGGATAAATGAAATGCCCGTCTTGTTGTCTCCCCGCTGGTGAGCAGTTTGATATTGGTGAACCTTTGGAAGTCGACATGTCCCTTTTAGGGCTAGCGTGGGATTGTTCAGGCACTTGCGGCTTTGCGTAGCCATTAGCTAAGCCAAACTTGGAGCTCTGTTTGACAACCAAACGAGCCGCAACCGGGATAGACAGACCCTACAGCTATACAGACACTCTCTTGCTGATACATTGAATTTCTATCTCTTATCTGCTGGTTGCATTTTCTTGCATTTCCTCCCGTTCGAATCATCTGCTCACTATGTTCATTGCACGGTCTGAGTATGGTAAGCTCAAAGACACCCTACCGCTTTTATGCTACGGTTATTCATTTAACTAACACATGACAGACCGTGGCATCAAGTAAGGCTGCCTGATGGATTTCGTTTGAAATTGCTCATGAAAAGCGCGATTCTTACTTATATACCTTTATCTACAGTACCTTCTCCCCGGAAGGACGTCTATTCCAAGTCGAATACTCGCTCGAAGCTATAAAGTTGGGATCAACAGCAATCGGAGTACGTTTAGAGTTCTTGGATTTCATTTATATTCGCCGGCTTCACCCTATCTGACATAACCCCCTCCCCTCTCTTAACGGAAAATACACAGGTCGCAACCTCAGAAGGTGTCGTCCTTGGTGTCGAAAAGCGGGTAACATCAACACTCCTCGAGACGTCATCTGTGGAGAAGATTGTCGAGATAGACCGGCATATTGGATGCGCAATGTCCGGTTTGCAGGCCGATGCCCGGTCAATGGTTGAACATGCTCGTGTCGAGAGTCAAAATCACGCCTTTAACTATTCAGAACCGTTGAAGGTTGAAAGTTGCACGCAGGCTATATGCGACCTGGCGCTTAGATTCGGCGAGGGTGCTGATGGTGAGGAGAGCGTGATGAGTAGACCGTTTGGTGTTGCGCTGCTGATTGCGGGTTATGATGAGAGTGGGCCACAACTGTATGGCAATTAATTGACTTTTAAGAAGCGATATGTGTACTAACATAATATCTCCGTATGTAGATATCATGCTGAACCATCCGGGACTTTCTACCGATACGATGCCAAAGCCATCGGCTCTGGAAGTGAAGGCGCGCAAGCGGAACTTCAAACTGAATATCACAGTTCCCTTACCTTGGCAGAAGCCGAGACCCTTGTTCTAAAGACATTGAAGCAGGTGATGGAGGAGAAGCTGGATGCTAAAAATGTGCAGTTGGCTAGTGTGACTAAGGATATGGGATTCCGAATTTACGGGGAAGAAGAAATGGGACGTGTTGTGTCGACTTTGGGAGGAAATTAACATGAAATTCTATGATGTTTGGCGATTACGACGACAGGTTGCCCTCGATGTTCGAAAAATACAAGACCTCTGTTAGTTCCCAGTTAGGCTACCTGAACTAGAGCCGATGAGACTCAAAGAGAAACGTAACTTATAACATAATGGCAGATAATTAGAATTCTATCTGGTCTTATATACACACGGTTTAAGCACCTTACTTTCTTCTTCAGGTGTCATCCCGTTGCCTTCGCCATTTTCAATAAATTTTTTCTTCCCAAACCTTGCATCATTCACATTGACAGCCCATTTGCCCTTTGTGGGCTGTCCATGTTTGACAAATTCCATCTTGACAAACATTTTGTTCGATTTATCCACCGACTCCTGTTTAAGCACAAACCCACGAGTCCTCAGAACTTCCACAAACGCAGAAATATCCGTCTCATCCCTTGTGTTATTGACCTGATCCTCCGCAAAAATATCCTCGTCATCAGCCGACTCCCCCTCAAATTTATCGTTTACTTTACTATTCATTTTCTTCTTATCCTTCTTCCCAGCCCCAGCAGCAGCCCCTACTCCACTTGACCTCTGTCCAATCTTGTTCCTCCGAGCAACTTTGCCGAATCGGCTTTTGACCTCACTAACCCAACACTCACCCTTTCCATCCGCCCTCAGCACCCGCCACGCTTCCTCAACAAATGACACCCAATTCGTCCCCATCAAGCTAAGGCAGAAAATAGCCACATCGACCGTCCCATTTCCAACCGGCAGCGCCGCAATATCCGCTTTCGTAATCAACGGGTCGGCCACATGGAGATCAAAGCTGAGCAACTTGAGCTTGAGAGCCTTGGCTGACGGTGTTAGGACCCGTGCAAATTTCGCATCGCCACAGCCCATGTCTGCTATCGTACAGAACCCGTTGGGCCGTCGCGGTAAGGGTCCAAGAGCAGCAGCTCTCCGCTCATTTTTATCTAGCTTTCTATTGTGAGGGCCCTTTTGATTAGGTAGGCGGACGTCGCTACGGGTGGTCACGGTGCTGATGTAGCCGTCGACGGGGTTGGAGGGCCAGGACTCTTGAACTTGTCGTGTAAATCCTGCGTGGTATTCTGCAAAGAGCTCTGGGTTGGAGGTGAAGAGCTCCATGGCTTGGCTGGACGGCGTGGTGTAGAGGGTTTGGTTGAGGTGACGGAATCGGGCAGAGAGGAGCTTGTGGCGCATGGATTTCTGGAGAGGTGTGAGGGACGTGGATGTCGGGGGAGCAGGAGGTAAGGGGTCGACTTCCGCTGGAGCTTGTGAATCGGCACCATTCATCTGTCGAGCATTATTATCTGCTTTGCGCTTCTGCTTCTTGTTTTTCTTGGACGGGCCACTTGAATTTCCTTTCATCACAAGTGCGGAGGTAGAGTCATCTTTCGATTTGACCCTGTCAGGGCCCTTATCCTTCAATCCCTCAACTGCTCCGTCCTCTGCCGGTTTTTCTAACTGTCTCCTTTTTTTCAGTGCTTTCATCTGTGCGCGGCTCTGTTCGCTTGAACTTGGTGCTTCCCCTTCAATTACCCTCCGCCACATTTCATCCACATTCGCCTTGGTGACTTCCTGGCCATTGAGACTCTTTCCCTGCTTTCTTTTTCGCTTCTTCGATTCGGCATTCGGCTCTGTAGAAGCCTGCGGCTGGGCAGGTGTGAGCACTGGTTTGGCTTTATATTCCGTTTGTAGCTTCAATTCCGTATTCGAAACGGACCATCCCGGGACCGCGAACATGGCGGCGTCCGGGTTATAACCCGACCACAAATACTACCCGTAGCCCAGTGGGAAACATACCAATTCCGGTGGGAGCGGTTTTCGGCTACAAATATTGAGAATGTGCAACCTTGGCGCTGACTCATCAAAGGATGTGCTGCTGCAGTAGCTCGGTTTCTTTCTCGATCTATGGTTCCTACCGAGTATCTGCTGCCGAATTATAGACATCTCCTATATTATATCTAATTACCTGAGTCTTGCGTGTCTCTCTTTATTTACGGCACATACATGTCGAGGTCTACAGTCTGGGACACTGGAACCAATCAGCCATGCGGTCTTACATGAGCATAATCCGATAATGAATGTAAAAATAAAACAACTTTACTAGTTAATTAAATATGACTATTCTTTTAATATTCTCATATCGGATGCATATGTATGAGGGGTTATGAAGGTTCAATAGAGATGGCATCCGCAGTTCCCTTCGTAAGCCATTCTGACAATAATGAAGCAAAAAACAAATCAGTCAGTATTTGGCTTCCCAGGTTTCTGGCCAAAAACAACGTAGCTACACTCGCGAGTTGTAAATACAGGAGTCAGCCATGAGACTAGTTCAAGCCAAAAGCCATCAATTTTTGGAGGGGGAATGACAAAAGGAAAACAAAAGGTAACAGAGCTGCGGTAATACGTACAAGTGGAATATGGGATGAATCTTCGGGTTCCTTGCATCCTGCTTCGTCTTCGCAATCAATATGTCGACTTCTGTCTTTGACCAATTTTGGAAACGGGTCAATGCAGCCACAGCACTCGCTTCCAGAGATTCTTCGAACTGGAGGAGGTTGTAGGCACCGATTGTTTTCTAAGGCAAGGGGAGAAGTTAGTAGCCGGTTAAGATATTCTACACCTAGGACCCATGAGTCCATCGAGATATTTGTTGTGATTGAGAATAGGAAAAGGAGCGGGGAGGAGGCGAAATAGGGAAAGCAAACATAGCGTTTGTCCTTCGCCCACGTTCCGAGTGGGACGATGTGCTTGTGAACCTGAATGTTAACGAATCCGGCATCCTTCATCCATTTCTCGAGATATCTTCCCGGTCGAGTGCTGTAACCAGCGCTCTCAAAGGCAGGAAGGGTGTTGAGGAAATACTGCTCGATACTGGTGTCTTTTGTTGAATCGTCCGCAGATTGCACCATCGCATCCCAGTCTTGGAACTCGGCCCATCCGCCAGGTTTGAGGCAGCTGTGGAAATATAATTCTCAGCATTGAATAATCCTAAACGTGACATGGTAAAGGTATTTAATCATACGCAAATGACTGCTCTAGCAAACGTGGCATGTTTTTTAAAGTACCGGTAAGGTATCGAGCGTGGATAAAGTCGAATGGATCGTTCTCATAACCCCATTCGTCTTCGACATCATCGATTATGAACTTAACATTCGGAGGAACCCTGCACTTGTTAGAATGCAATCGAGACACCAAAAACTAGAGAGCGAAATTGGACAAAGCGAGACCAACAGTCTGGGTTGAATAGGACTGAGGTCGTTTCCGATAATCTTAAGAAGAAACAGATTTTAGTAAGGTACTAGCTTCCCATATAGCAAGCAAGCTGCAAAACTGCTGGAGGATATGCTTTACCTCGGCAGATGGAAACAAATCGGCTTAGAAATTTAGATGGTTAGCCTTGAGCCCAGATTGCAAATAGCATTAAAATGTATATATAGATATATGAGCGCATACCAAATTCAATTGCCCAGATGCCAGTCCCGGTACAGAGATCAATGACTCTACCTGGGGAATCTCCGATAGGGGAGAAGAACAACCTATCCTTCATAACGACCCGAATGAGGGCATGATGCATGTCGAGTCTGTCATTTTCCCGCTCATCATTGGGGAAGAGATATCCTAACGAGGTATTAGATGCATGACATTCGATTCGCAATTAAATGAGGATTCTCCAAGAAATTTACGAAAGAACTACTCACGTCCTTCTTTATAGGCATGATACCTTCTACCTACAAATGCACATATGCACAAGAAGAATAAGTACGATACTATTTCAGGTTTGGTCTCTCAGGTCTATACCGTTTTCCCTGTGGTCTCTGTCAATACAAACAATTTGATCATTATGGCTAGAGATTGAAGAGCATTGCGGGCCAACAAACCTTTGGTAGTTAGTTACACTTGATGTCACTGATGCAGTATACACAGACCTGTTGTCATGTTTTGTCAGTTTCTGCGGTACATCTTGTCAAGCAAAATTGAGAAGTAAATGGGCACACAATTCATCTCCATAGGTAGAATCCGAGTCATTGATCTGTTTCCCAGCTGGTTAACACCACTCCAGGCAAAGGCAGGGATCAAGGGATGTCCATACAGCCGGGTCAACCACCACGTTCTCCTCGTCTCGATCTTCCGGTGGGGCGGGAACGGCGTGGGTAGCCTCTACTTCTGCCATCTCTTAGTTCGGCTTACTCTGTACTGTGACACAAATTGGTCCAGCGGTTCTGAAAATCTGGTTTGACCGCCTTGATGAAGGGAAGAGCGGCGGGATTTGAAGGAAGATGATGGAAGTTCGGGATATGACCCGCACACAGTGGAGCACTGACAGTGGGAAAATGGGGATGGACTGAGAAAGGCCAGGCCAGCTCTTATCCGCTTGGCAGCGCTTGCTCGCCGAGTTGAAGGATTTCCACGCCAATGCGGCCCTGTGAAGTCCTTCAGCCTGCTTGTGGGAGCTCATCCTTTAGGGGCCACTATGAAAGATAGCGTGGTCGTCAACCTAATCCAATGGCCAAGATTTTCAAAGGTCATCCTTTTTCTTGTGCTGACATTGGACAGACGAGAGCTTAGCGGTATTAACCAGCCAGTTAAAAGCTGTCCTGGTTCGTACTAAAATCTTATCACAGGTGGCTGTTTTGGCTTTTTCATTGTTCATGGGACTTCGCTTAAGTTCATTGCCCAAGCTTGGACTCTCGAATTTACTTTTGGGGCGCCTTTTCGAGTTGCAAAACACAACAGAAAAACTTTCCTTCCATATGACACAATATCTCCATGGAGATTTTATTTCGATCGAGGGGAAATGGAAAGATGTCTGGAGTCAGAATCCTCCTCATGGAAGGAGGTGTACGCAGGAAAGCACAGTCCCAAACACAGAAGATAGCTCGAAGATGATTACATTGGTTTCGCCGCCGGCTTCTGTCGACTCAGGAGTCAGAACTCAGGACTGAGCGCAGAGAACCCTGTTGATCAGACACTAGCGTTATACACTCGTGTTATAGCAGCGTACACTCATTGCAATCAGGGTGCAATAATTTCAGTCCGTTTCTTAGGGGCGCAAGGGTTTTCCCTGTTAGGTGTGGAGGAAGTCGTCCACCAAGTTGAACCACAGCGCCGGTGTCCATCTCCACATATTTTCAAGGAACCTCATTATCGACCAAATTACCTTCGGGATCCAGGTACTGCCCCAGCTCGCCATGGTCAAGTGTGGCTGTCTCCTGGATTTCGATGGAATTGCCTTTTACGATGCGTATCACAGAAATATTTCATCATCTGGTTCAAACTCATTCTCCCCTCGAACGCCACAATGGCTTCCTGGAAGAGGATTTGGAAGCTTGCCCCGCAGAATAAAAACATGCAACCGTTATTTGATTATGCGTTGGTGTGTGCCATCTAGCATGTGAATGTCTCTGTGCAGCGGTTGGTTGCCCACACATCCCTTGGTGGTGGCTGTTGCAATATTCCAGAAACAGTAATTCAATCGATATCTCTGTCCTTGCTCCGCAAGTCTATCAACTCTTCAAGCGATCAAATGGTTATCTTAGCTTAAGTGAAGTCGGACGGATATTCTTGGCGTTCAAGGAACAGTCCAAGATGGGGAGGGAAGATACACCAAACCAATTGTTGATTCTTTATTTTTTATTTATTTATCGTTTACGCCTATATCTTTTTTCTGCTAAATAGGAGAGCTGAAATGGTTATCAATATCATGCTTAACTCGTGGCTCTTGTTGCACGCAACAATCTCCAGACCTGGTCTCCACTGATCACCACCGACGGGAACCAGGAGGAAGCTCCCTTATCAACCCCTGATGCCCCGCCTCATAATGGTTGATTCTACAACCAGTTGGTGGAAGCTAACAATCGGCACCGGGATGTTTAGGCCATCCATCGAGAACACTAGCGTAACTGGACGCCGGACTGATTGCTAAAACCTTCAAACTTCGCTTTCGCCTGCTAGTCTCCTAAAGCCCCTTGTGCCATTTCTGGAGCTAACTTTGCTTCCGCTGGAAGAATCCCCGCAGGAATAATTGTCCTCCGGAGAGCAGACCGGTGCCGAGTGCATACCACACTTTGGACTGGCGGGATGGCCCGGCATCGGCATAGGGGAAAGGGGTTGGTAAATGTCTCCATCATGGATGCTGTGCATAGGAGGTCTGATTGTCAACTTCAAGTTTTCTTTTCTTGGCAACTTCGATCTATGGTCCTATGGCGCGCAGAAGCGACTCGAATCTTTCGTGCTTCCTGGCACTCTTATATAGCCCGGCTTGGCACGAATGCTTTCCGCTCTTGGGCTGTCTTGGATCGCTACTGGCAGGATCGTTACTGGCAGGCTCGCTGACGGGCGCTGACCATGGAGCTGACAGCCTGCAGCATGCCGCTTCTTCATATGCCTCACCTCAACCATGAATACGTGCTCCTTTTAACTCCCATGAGGTTTTAAGGTTTAACCGATCGCTTGACGAACGCCATCTACCCCAGATTTTTCTTTCAGTTTCACATTTCAACAGCCTCCACGACACTTCTCACAGCCCTCCAAATGGTCGAACAAGCACTAATTGCCGTCAATTTATACACTCCCTGTCCCTCCTCCCGTCAACAAACACTTCGTAAAAATGCATGGACCAATTCACTATCAAGTTGGCTATTTGATAACTCCTCCAATTCCCTCGATACATCGATAGATGGCTGTGTTATTCGGAGCCGACAGGATATAATCCCACATACATTGCGGTTTCGGACCTCTGCGCGCAGCTGAAACATCCAGCATGTCTGGCATGGAGCTGCAGCGCCGCAATGCACCGGGGCCACAAGTCATCCATCCTATACCGGACGCGAATCGGAGAGGAATGATCGCCCTCTTCACGCTCAGTCTATTTTCGGTCATAACCACAGGTGCCTTGGTGGCATGGCTTACCTATCGCCTCATCTTTTGGCGACGGTACTACACGAGATATCCGGGGAGAAACCAATTCATTGTCCTGATATACAACCTTTTAATCGCGGATCTACATCAAGCATTGGCCAACATGGTCTCTCCTTACTGGCTCATCAAGGACATGGTATCAACTTATTCTCCGGCATGTTTTGCTCAGGGTTGGTTGATCAATGTTGGAAATATCGCCAGTGGCATGTTTGTCCTTGCCATCGCTGTCCATACTTTCGTAAACGTGGTCACAAGAAAAACTCTGGGACACGGCGTGTTTGTGGGATCTGTCATTGGGGTCTGGATATTTTCTATAGTTGTCACTCTCATTGGTCCAGCCCTTCGCGGGATACACATTTATGCACCGACTGGTGCTTGGGTAAGATTTCCTTCCCATCGTTTGTTTTTGTCGGGTCCTGATTTGCTAACAGTTCCATCTAGTGCTGGATTGATAACCAGTATGGAGAGGAGCGTCTGTATTTACATTACTTCTGGATTTTTGTTGCCGAAATCGGTATCATCATCATCTACCCAACTCTATTCTTCATTGTCCGCCGACGCTTAAAATCGTCGAAGGATCTCAGGGTAAACGGCACGAAACGGCCCAAATTCAATAGGGTGCTAAAAGTTATGTTCTTGTATCCAATCGCCTATATTGTCATCTCCCTTCCGATCGCCGCTGGTCGAATGAGTCTAATGAACGGACGGAGCCCAGGAATGACATATTTCTATGCTACGGGGACTTTATTGATGTGCTCGGGCTGGGTTGACTCCATATTATATTTCATTACACGACGCCACCTGCTAGAAGGAGACATCCAAACCGAGAGTGCATCTAATGGCAGCCAAATACACGATCGCAGCTACGATATTCCGCCCACCATAGGAGGAGGAACAGCACGAAGCATTGGCAGACAAAAGCCGGGGACCACTGTTCTTAAGCATACACAAACTTTACAAACGATTTCCAGCTCCACAGACAATATCATCGACGCGGTCGAACTCCCAGAACTAGGCGGATTGGACCAAATGACAGCAGTCAAAAACTCAAGCGAATCTACCAGGGTCCCATCCTCCTCATCGTCATCGCACCGCCAGCCCGCGAATTCCTACCCTAACGTTCCAAGCACTAGCACGAATGGCCCATTGGCACAGCCTGATACCACGAGGAATGAGCCAACACAATTTCAAATGCATTGGGCTCGGTAGGGGGGAATTTATCCTTGGGGAGGGGGTCATCATTTCCAACCCGAATGGAGACCCCCTTTGTATTTCCGTTTCCTTTTATCTGCATATATATAACTATAAAGAAAAGAAATATGGATTTAATTAATGTATCCACGTACAGCAACTTTACATACGGATCAAGCAGTATACAAAAGGTTTTTTTTACGCTTTTTCTCCCTTTCTGCTGGTGCTGGGTGGATCCTCTTATATACAGTTCCAGTCTCTTCCAAGATTTTCTTTTTCTTTATTTTTTTTAAGACTCGATAAAACACATGGTCATCTCTGCAAAGAGCGCCTATAATGTATGTTTCGTATTGGGTATTAGATAGTTCCGCAAGGCCTATGTCATCAACCTATTATGCATCCCGAGGCTTCGTCCCAAAACAATGTCTCTGTGGTCCCCGCATTTCTCTCCACGTCAATGGGTCTTTCCAATAAAAACTACAGAGTCCACAATAGCAATTAATTGCCTTGCGATGGAGCACGATCGATATCATTTCCAGTGTTCAAACTCCGTGTTCCGGGCCCAGAATATGAGGGTTGGCCAAACTCCTTCGTTTACACGATGACAGACCAGACTCAGTTCCTATCTCCAGAGTGAGACGTGTGTAACACCAAGGACCTTCGGTATCTCGACATGACTTACCATAAAGGTGGATTACATATCTGACATCAATCCTCCAATCCTGAAGAGGAAGCATGCACACCTTTCCAACCAAATGATATCGCGAAAATCACACCCCTATATAAATAAAGACGAATATCATTGCGGTCAACTAGGGGTTATGTTGGAGAATCTTCGAGCTATTCTTCTCTGGGAAAAGAAAAGCACTGCATCCCTGCAAATCCCCAAGTGTGGAGATTTGTCTCCAGCATACGCCGTAGAACTAACCCGAGTATCGACTAAGCCCGATTACCAGCGGAATCTAGCTTTTTCTCGAGGCGCAGGGACTTTAGTTTTACGTAGTATGAAAATCAACCCGCCAGTCATACAACAATTGTTGCCCCTCCACTGAACCCACTCTCGTTGGCTTTCAACTTCTTTCTATTAAGTGAGCTATATGGCAGCTTCAGACCCCTGGCGGCTAAGTTCCTGAGCCGAGCCCTCACCGTATGACGCCCCATGAATTTTTGATGTCTCTTCTTAACATCGGGTCTATCCGGTGTCAATCTTTGCGACTTTTTTGCCACTTTCAACATATTCATTGCAAATAATAAGTGGGCCTTAGTTTGTTCAAGAGCTGAGTATGAGCGCTTAGCAGGGGCTTTTTTGATATACCCTCCAGGCCACTACGTGTTTGGGATGAAGAACTTGGGTTATCAATACTCTTCAAATTGTTCATTGTTTGATTTCTTTCTTCGTTCAAAATTTCTTCAACTGGCAAGATTAACAGACCTGCAATTTGGTTTTTGGGATTACCAAGTTAAAATCAATATCCAATCTGAATTGCAGTTTGGATTTAGCGAAAACAGAGCGATCCTGCTCTGCACGTTTGGACCTACACCTAGTCCAAATCTCGGTATTGTCTCCATCACACCGATGCCAAAGAAAATTTCTTACGACGAACTGCGGAGGTGGCCTTTGCCAATAGTGCATAGCAGTTTTGCGGTTTCAAAATTGGGATAGCCGGTTATGCGCTGTGGACAGCCCCTGCAAGCTATTCTTCCTTTGTTCTGCGTACAGTACATGTCCAGTACATCTGCATACAAGGAAGGCTTTATTGGAAACACTGCTCAGTTTCCATATGACAATCCTATCCCGCGGATTTAACGGAGGATTCTATTATTACATACATCACCGCCTTTCAAAATCCAGGACATGAATCAGATGGACATCATGCCAATGCAGCTTGTTAAGCGCAATTTCGGGTCTGGGCCGAAAGCAGGCTAGTCGACATTTTCGAATCCCGAACCGTTCTGCTGGCGGATATCAATAATACCCTTTGGTTTTTCCTTTTGCTTCCTTTTTGATAACCTTCTACTGTATAAGTTCCTCCAATACTTCACTATATCAACCTTCATGACTAAATATAGAACCTCAGGAACTTATTCCTAAACAATGGATTTATATGAGGAACCTGCGAGCTATCTCCTATTAAGAACAAGCACAGAAAGTGAAAGGTTTGCTCCCCCATTCCTTGAATTGCCGGCCATATAAGCTGATAGATTTCAGGCTTGATAATCAACATAAAGCTTTCCAGGCACATTTGGGTTTTCTGCTGCACCCCGAAATTCCCCGGCATGACCATATGCGTATAGCGGATATTGGAACGGGGACAGGGCATGATAAATTCCCAGTATAGTCTCCAGGGTTCGAAGTGGGGAGTGCTGATCTATCGCTGGTATTATATAGTGCCTGGTTACGAGACCTAGCGAAAGAACTCCCGAAAACATGCAGGCTTGATGGATTTGACATCTCGCTGGAACAACTCCCGGATAGTGCACGCTTCCCGTCAGATATAAACTACCATGTTCAGGATATCTTGGCACCATTTCCCGTCGAGTTCCTACGGCAGTACGACGTTGTTCACGTCCGGCTCTTGGTCATGGGTCTGAAGGCCGATGAATGGGAGCGTGCAATTCGCAACCTTGGGAACATTCTCCGTGAGATTCCACCGTAAATTGTCCCGATGTAGTCTTCCTTGAAACTAATTAAAACATTCAGGGCCAGGAGGGTACTTACAATGGACAGATATTGCACCGTTTGCCTCTTCTATCGTGCCTGGTACGCCCGGTTGTAACGTGGACGATGCAAAGAGATACTTGGAGAAATTCATAGAAGTCATTAGCAATTATGGGAAATCTGGCAAGTGAGTCATCCGCGGTCTGAAGGTACATTGATATCTCCGCATTTCGCACGCTGATATAATGCTTTTTCAACCCTTCGAATCGAAATAGGAGCGTCACGGAGCTGTACTCTCATTTCAAAAAATGCGGCCTCAAAGATTGCACCGAGGACATTTTGTTCCTTGATGAACCCGAATATAAAGCCGTGTTGAACGTAAATTATGTGAAGGTTATCTCACATGTCCTGCAAGCAGCCTCCTCCGAGGCTGGTCCAAGCAGCGATGCACTTCCGATGGACCAAATTGTTCGGCTGGAGAGATTGGCCATGAAGAACGTCCAAGAGACCAATTCCTCGTTTCTGTACAAATTATACGTTGTCACCGGGAGACGTGGGTAGAAAGCGAAGGCTATCGCGGAATCTTTAACTTCCTTGATAAAAAAAAGAAAGATGTATTGTCGAGAATTGAACTGTAATCAACCCATTGGACGGTTCATTTTATTCTTTCAACTCCTCCCTCCTCACTCACTCAGACACATACACACACTTTCTCTCCGTCTCTCTGTGTGCTGTTTATGATGTGCATCCTTTGTGCTGGGTGTCTAATGTTGACTGCCTTGCCAAGCTGTGGGGCCGGCAGGCTGTGGAGTCGCGGGTCAGGGATCACTGATCAATCAGCCGCTTATCGCTTACTACTGCATACGCACCTGTTCTTCCTTCGTACACAGCCCGAACATCCCTTCGGTTGGAATCTTGACACGGCACTAAGGCGCACAGTCTGGGATCAGCTTTGCTCTTCTTCAATCAAATCCCAAAGATTCACAAGACTGCTCTGTGGTGATCATTTTTACGATCTGTATGATACGGTGTGATGGCCATCCATAGCCGGAGCATTTCCATAGCCAATCGGTATCCAGTCCACGATGCGATGCAACATCAGCAAGTGTCAGCATGGATATATCCGATCTAGCTGCGCTTGGACATCAGCAGAAATGTTGTCGCATACAAAGTACGCGTGAAAGACAAGATAAACATCCTCATCATCGATATATCTGTTTTTCTGTCAATCAAATAGCGACCGCCCTTGTCGTCCTTATTCTCTCCCACATCAACCTGCAAACTTCCGGAGGACGCTCCTCTTTAGCTGGAGCGACATGGTCTCGTGAACTCAACCGGGGGCCATGAACTCAACCAGGCCAGGAAATGAATTTTAATTTCAAGATCCACCGGCCGTGCGTTAATCTCACGTTTAATTGGTGGCATGATCTCCGCTCAGCGCTCGGTGTATACGCAGTGGGAACAGCGTGTCAAGCTGGTGCTGGCCCCAGTACGGCAAAACTGGGTCGCTCTCCAGACGTATTCTCGTTTCTTTCTGGCCTAACGGACGGTAGAAGGCTGTGGGGTTTGAGGACCAGGTCCGGGTCCCCCTTCTGACTTCAGATAATACACGCACGATACGAGCATTCTTGCATCTGGAATGCTTTACTTGTGCCTAGCTAGCCCTGCAAGTATTCAAAGGGCTTATTAAAAGGGATCCAGCCGCCCTAGGGTTATTGTTATTTGGGGGCCTTGCATCAAACGGTGAGAGCGGCTAGTATTTTCTGATTTCTTTTCCCCCGCGCCGTTACTACAAGTACTGGCTGACCCGCTCCTTCAGCTTTTTTCAAGAGAAGTGTCTTTTTTTCCCCATGACTTCGTCTATATAGTTTCATTTGTTTTCGCTCAGCTTAGTTGAGACGATGTTTCTGTCTTTACCTTTGTTGTTTATAGCGCTTAACTACTTGCTCCAAGCGGTCTCCGCTGGGCAGTGTCGGCCACGTTATGTTCATGTCCGGCATTTCGAACTCGAGCTCACCTGGGGAAATGCATCTCCTGATGGAGTGGAACGAGAAGTGATTCTCGTCAATAACCAATTCCCCGGGCCTCAACTCAATATCGCCGAGGGAGATGAGGTTGAAATCGTCGTTAAAAACAGTCTTCCTTTTGAAACATCCATCCATTTCCACGGCATATCCCAGCATGGAACCCCGTGGTCAGACGGAGTGCCCGATGTTTCCCAGAGGGCTATTCAACCAGGAAAAACTTTCATCTACCGTTGGAACGCAGTCGATTATGGCACTTACTGGTACCACGGCCATGCCAACGGCCAGTTGTCGGATGGTCTATTTGGCGCGATTGTGATTAGTCCAAAAGATGACCGACCTGCACCCTTCCACAAAATTTCCGATTCGGAAGAAGAAGTTGAGAGGATGAGGAAAGCTATGTTGAACCCAAAGACGATATTTGTGTCCGATTGGCATCATATGACGTCTAAGGAATATCTCCAGGTCTCTCTGGATTCAGGGATCGACAACTTCTGCACTGATAGCGTTTTGATCAATGGGAAGGGATCGGTTATATGCAAGACACAAGACGAATTGAATAAGCTGACCAGACCGGATCAAAGAAATCTTCTGAAAGACGAGAATCTAACGGACAAAGGGTTTGTTTCTCACAACCAACTTGTTTCGCATATTGGAAATACTGACTTTTATTAAAGTTGTCTTCCTTTTTATATCCCTGCCGTCGTGGGTGATTTCCCTATTGATCGCAGTAAAGTCCCCAAAGATCTCTACTATAATTGCAAGCCGCATGAAGGACCACGTGAAATCATTACCGTCGATCCAGATGACGAGTGGATAAGCCTCAATTTTATAAGCTCATCAACAATTGCCCGGTTCATGGTAAGCGTCGATGAGCATAAAATGTGGATATACGCTTATGACGGATTTTACATCGATCCCATTCTTGTTGATGGCGCCCCTGTCCCCAATGGTAGTAGAGTTTCAGCGCTGGTGAAGCTCAACAAACCGCGTAAAGACTACACGATACGCGTTGCCAATGTCGAAAGTAACCAGCTCTTTAGCGGATTTGCAACCCTTCGATATGCAGGCCAACAGGAGGGCGCTCCCAGCGAGCCAAGTAAACCCACCATCGGCTACAATGGGGTTAACCTGACAACAGATTTCGTGGCTTTCGACGAAACCAAATTCACTCCGTTTCCCCCATCCAAACCTGCTGCAAAGGCTGACACAACTTACAAATTCAATATCGGATTTGCCGGCGCGGCCTTTCGATGGTCTATCAGCGGGAAAGCTTCCCTGAACACCTCTAGAGACATCGAACCAGTTCTCTTCGATTCTCACGGGCCATTGGCAACGAATAAAGGTCTGACATTCCCAACCAAGAATGGTACGTGGGTGGATCTAGTTCTAGTGACCGGCGGAAATTTCAATCCTCCGCACCCCATACACAAGCATTCGCACAAAATGTACGTGATCGGTAGGGGGCAAGGACCCTTCCATTGGGAAACTGTTGACGATGCCATCAAAGAGGTTCCTCAGTTCTTCAACTTGGAAACGCCACCATTGGCCGATGGCTTTACATCACCCCCTGGATCAGCTCAAGATCCGTCCTGGGTGGTTGTTCGGTATCAAGTGACGAACCCAGGAGCTTTCCTTCTACACTGCCATATCCAGACGCATTTGTCAGGAGGGATGGGGGTTATTCTTCTGGATGGATACGATAAGCTACCCGAGGTGCCGGTCGAGTATTTAACTGCAGAGTTTTAACCGGAAGGACTCCTTAGGGGACGAAGCGCTTGATGGACATCGAGTTTTTTGCTTTGCATACAAGCAACTTCATTTCATTTGTATATATAATAACTATGCACCATTTTGTTGTATCTAATACCACGCATGACACTTCGCAGCTTACTTGAGGCAATGTCAATGTGGTGGAATTCGTTCCATCTGGGCTCAGGATGAAGGACTGAGCACAAAAGCAAATGAGAATACCCGCAAACGTGAGAAGCATATATGTTCGGAAGACCATCTAATTTTTTTTATTTGGAGATTTATCTGCTCAGAACTGAGACGGGTTTACTTCCAATTTCCACCAAGCCTGCGTATAAAAACAACATGTGAAAAAAAAAAAAAAATTTTTTTTTATACGAAAATGGTTTTTCCCATTCCTGGATAACTGTTTCTAGGCGCATTCTGTTCAGATGCACCTTTCTTTTCATTTAGGAATTCCATCTGATAATCTGTTTCCGTATCCCGGAAGACCCCCCATCGCACGGACAAAATATCGCCTCATTCTTTCTCTCTAGTTGCCCATTTACCTTCTATCAGGAGAAACATGGGCAGCTTCAATGTGACCCGCCATCATCCGGGAGCTTATCTAAGGCTAATTGGACCAAGAAACGCAGTTTGTGCAACCCTGCACTGTATAAACCAACTCATTTCCCAAGTGATGATTACCATTTCTATTCTCATTGAATGCTCGGAACTAGCGCGGACCTCGCTGCGCCGAAAATGTAACGTTCTGCCCTTGGGAATGATGGTGACTTTTCCCCCTCTATCAGGGGGGATCTCACCTAATCTACCACCACCCATGCACAATGGACGTGCATACTAGTTTCCTTTTTCCACGGATCTCGCCTCTCTTCTGGTTTTGGGTTTGCAGGGGCTGTTGTTTACCGGAGGTCATATATATGGCTATGTTTTTAAAGCGCGCTTTCAGGATAAATATCTATGTTCACAAATTGGTATGCATCACCTAGGCAGTCTCTGGCCTATTTAGTCAAGACTACTACCACTTACAATTCCACATGGTGGCTATCATTTTACACAACCTCACTGGCCACATTTGCGGGTTGAAAGTAATGCATGAGCGATGGATCCCTTCATTGCCAGATGTGAAGTGTGCATGGCTATCTGATTGAGGGCATGGTGGTAGGGGAGTGGCTGGGCCTTGATATCATTGGCTGGCTTACGATCAACAATACCCAGGAACATAGTTTGGAATAGAAGTTGTGTGGAGCTCTAGAAGGAGGTACTGTCCACAAATCTCATGTTACCGCTGCTGGGAGGCCAGAGTTTGCGAGACTAGCCCAGTCATTTGCGCAACATGGAATTTCCTATGGTGATTGGTGATCTGCTTCCACGAAATATAAGCGGTGATGACTTTGCATTTCGTGTTGGATTTCAGCCCTGAAGAGTTATGGCCCGACGACTTGTATACAATCCGTGAAAGAGAGGATCCTCTGCTCTGCAAACAACTGGAAAAGTTAATACCACGTTCGCTTCGACTTCAGGAGGTAAACCTCTTCTCCTGGATTCATATGATCTTGAACTTATGCAAATTGGTTGAGGGGAAATCAGGGCATGACAATTTGTACACCGCATAGTGAGAAGGACGCATTTGGTCGACCCCATGTGTAGCTGGTTGAATGATAGCTCAGGAACTTCGACTTCTGATGGCTGCAAGTCCCCAATCAACAACAAATGGAAGTCTAGTAGAGTCTTGAAAGGGCTAAAGCAGCAATCGGACGAAGAATACAGCCACCAAATATCAAGCCACCAGTTGACCCGGGCCGATGTTAAAGCGGCCACAGTTCTTGAATCATAAGTTCTCACTGCGCTTCGAGCTCAAGCTGGGATTCTTTTGACCGACAACTCCAGACTGTTGAGATAGAGTCTCGTGGTATTTGCTCCATGATGACGCGCGGCCATTACGTACAAAAAGGCACCTGGCTTTCGTACTGGAATGGAGGTGCTGTCAGTGAGAAAGCTCATTTGTGGCTGTCCTTTGTCAAGTTGGCCAAGGCATTGGATTCTAACCACGAAATTCTTTGAAATAGAAACACGAACGGTTCACCGATCGAAGGGCCGCGCGGTAGTATTGGGCCGAAAAGAGTTAGAAAGTGGCGGAGAATGACGCGTGTGATTGATGGCAAGGTTGTTAGGTTCTCCATAGAGAAAGGCTTCCCTTGCATTTAAGCATTGCAAAGACGAAGATTCACTTAAACCAAAGGCGAAGAAAGGATTCCGGTCAAATATATTGTTTGCCGATCTGCGGAGTAGTCACGAGAGTGAACTTTCGAGGGAGTAGTGTGGTACAACGATTCAATCCAGAACCATCAGGTTGGACGTTGTCAGGCAGGGTAGCAAGATGGGTTTGAAACATTGCGCAACGGTTTGCCGATAATGAAAGAGAGTCAGGTTTGTCAGGTTTATCAGTTTGCTAAATACCCTTTTTAGCCACTCGAATCCAAAGTTGTTCGATGGAGGGTCGAAATATCGAGCCCTGATCAGAAACTCTCGTACAACTATGTAAAAAAATGAAGAGGAAAGCGGGGTGATTCAAGAATGTTAACTGGGCGCCAGTGCTTGACTCGAAAAGAAAGGACGGTTAGGCAATAACACCTTGACACATGCTTTGCTCGGGGTTAGTAACAAGTGAGAGGGAAAGTAAGATGAATGAGGTGTTGGGTTGGTTAGTTAAGAAAAGCAGCTTACATACAGGACAATGAGGCAATCCAGCTGGCCGCACAAAGGCAAAGAATTATGATAGAGTTCGGCACATCGACGGGTCGGGATTTGCTTCTCCCTGTTTTCATTTCCACCCCGCGAGTCCAGCCCTGTTTCCACGACCTATATGTCCTCTAAGCATCCTCAAGAATTTGATTTTGATCCTTTCTCAAAAGGGACACAGGCATGAGCCACATGACGCCCATTACACGGTGTACGCCTCAGGGGATTGGGCGTGGCAGCTGCCACTCCTATTGAGAAAATCCCCCGCGGGAACAACCAATCCATGGAAAGGCAAACGGGGGGTTGCAGGGGCGAAAAGTCAGTCAGCGTACTACTGAGTAGGCTGAATCCACCTGCTTGGAGCTGGAACCTCTTGCGCAGACACGATTCAGCTTCATGCAGGATAACGGTGCATGATGTATGTATCCTTTGACCTGCTGTTGCAGGAAGAAAATGGCCATAACTAGTATCATAGTAATTTGACCACCACAATTCCCACGGATGAGGAGAACTGTTAATTCAAGTGGCTAATGCAGGTCTGACGCACTTAGCGAATAATCAACAGAAGAGGTAAGAATGAAGAAGGATGGAAAAAAAAAAAAAAAAGGCATAAAACTATAAAGAGGTAATCAAAGAGGGGATGGGGTGGGGGAGGGAATTGGGCGCCCGGGAGTTGATTGATTTTGATCGTTGTGCATATGCAGGAGCTTGGTTGCTCCGATTCACGGTCTGTAGCGTCCGACATGCCATCTCTACTGCGTACTCCAATGGTTATTCCGGCGGGTTATTAGGTTGCCTTTGTCACTTTTTCGTACAACATGCCACGTTTGCGGCTCCTTCTTGCTTGTACCAGCGTTGATTGAAAGATACTATTGCGGATGTATGCAGTAATGCTGCAACAGCAAGGACTTTGCATACTTACATGACACAGGCTGGTCTGGGAGTTTCAACCGCGCTATTGGAAATTGAGGACGCAGCAGATGGGAAAGCCAATTGGCCAGATGCCATGCCAAGCTCACTGGCGCTCCACTGAGGGACAGTAGTCAAAAGGCAAGCATTTGTCTATTCACCACATGGTGAGACATCCATGGCCCAGTGGGAGGAGATGTTTTCAAGGATTTGACCATGTAGAGACCCAGAATGGTGGAATTGGGCCCGCGCCTCGGCATTGTTATTTTGGTACGGAGTATTTTGGTTCGTGTGCGAAGGTTCGTCTCATCATGGGGTCAACCAGATTGTAGATTTGTCTCCTAACAGCAGAATCCCAATGTACCGTGACTCCGTGAGCAAGAAGGGAGGTTGGATTTTGTGGTGCGTCGATCGATCTGGATCGCCAGCCAAGCAATAGCTGCCCGTTTCCCCGCGATAATTCACACTGGGTACGGCGTTTAGTTCGCTGATATATCGAGAAATGGGGATACCAGTCAGCTCAGTCATTTGCCTTCCCCCTTTGGGGTGGGAACCACATGGGGACGTGTTGGTCAAATCTGTAAACGTCAACGCTCGGCGGTCTCCCTGGATATTGCTCTACGCTGCGTGCTTTCTTCATCCTGCGTTTTCTTTTTCTTTTTCTTTTCTTTTTCTTTTTCTTTTTCTTTTTTTTTTTTTTTTCATTTGGCCAGGGTGTATGCGGAGAAGAGCTCTATTAATAGTTGGCTCAAATGGTCCATTCAATTGACCATTTGCCCATGTCCCGGATTCAATCAACTGCGCACCTCCAGGCTCCCGGCCCGTCATGAAGTCACGGTTTACTTAGGCTCAAAGTGCTCTCGAAAAGGCCCAGCGCCGCCAGGGGACTCAGCGAACTCAGAGAACTCAGCGAACTCGGCGGACTCGGCGGACTCGGCGGACTCTGCGGACTCAAAACTCAACAGGGAAAAGCAAGCACGGGCTCCAAGGGAGAAGGGAGAACTCAGTTTAGTGAGTGGAGACTCCGAGCTGATCAGCGAGTGGCTGCCACTGTGTGCCGGCGCCTGGGCAACTGTGGGGCAGCTGGCCGACTATGGAGGTTGCTCCTTGGCGTCGGGCTGTCAATGTCGAGGCCATCGCAACATCCATCGCGGGCTCGTGAAGCGTCAACCGCCCGGTTCCTGTTGCTCACAACGCCTCCAGAACGGCGAAGTCCCCGACGGTGAAAAAGGGGGATGCCCACGGAGTCAACAGGCGTAGCCAACTCAGACCCCTATTTATAAATCCTGGGCCGTTAGCAGCCCTGTTATCGTGCCCTCGTCCAGGATGAAGACTGAGGAATCCCGGGTCCAAGCTGCGCTCTTGCCCTACGCCTCCCTCTGCCTTGATCGCTAGTAGGTTTTCAATTCGAGGCTTGACTTTGTGCTGCTTTCTCATTCCCATTCCCGTTATCGATATAGCTGCCATCTCTTCTTATCGAGTCGCCATGGAAATGTGATTGGTAGAGTGGCTGCATGTCCAGGCTGGATTACTCTGCAAAACCCTCAGCTTTCTTCTGGTCTTTCCCCAGATCTCCAGCATTTAATTGCTGATAAACACAACATTTTTCGTCTTCTTCGTGATTCCGGCCTGCGCTTCTTTGATCTATGACTTCACTACACTGATTTCTTCATGGGTTTGTTCGATTATCCTTAGGCTCTCTGCCGCCTGTTACTACCATCTGTGCTGAGTCTTGTGGTGTTTATCTCGATCATCCATCGAGTTCTCTGTATGGGTATCAATCCAACATAGCAATCCTGTTCTACTATTAATTGTCCTCTTGTTCTCTCACAATATTCAGTATTTAATTTTTTTCAGATCATTTTGCTTTTGGATCAGATCAGGATAGACTAGCCGCCATGGAAGGAAGCAGGCCCCCTTCACCGAAACAGCCAAATCTTCCACCTACAAGCCCGGCTCTCCCTTCAGAGCCAACACCGAAGAACATCCCTCAACCAAAGGCTAAAGGCCCAAGAAGACGCACCAAAACAGGTTGTCTGAGTAAGTTCGGTTTGGGACAATGTCATCAAGGGAATAGACACCAAGACACAAGCTTACTGACCCACCCTAGCATGCAGGAAACGTCGTATCAAATGCGGAGAGGAAAAGCCCACATGCAATAATTGTAAAAAGTCGAAAAGAGACTGTGAGGGATATGCCCAGCGTGTGATTTTCAGGAACCCCGTTGGGCCCATGTCCCACATGGGACACGGCCCAATGCCCCCAAACTATCCCCATCCGAGGCCCGGTGCAGATCCTCTACCGTTCATCCGTCGTCCTATAGGTTCAACCGCATTGCCAGAGGAAGTTTCTGCAGCTCGACAGTCTTTCATTCCGCTCGCACCTCGTCCGGATGAGTACAATACTGGTGTTGTATATGATGAATCGCAGTTTGCGTCGAACCTAGAGTACCAACCTGGGCATGCGCATCCTGCCGAGCAAAGCGGCCTGAGTCTACAGGACTACTATGCTCAGTCATATAATTTTGAAAGCGTAGAACAAACTGCCTCACCTCATTCAAAGCAAGCACAGCAAGTTAACCTGAATCCCGAACCTTCCCCTCAACAGTTCCTTCAAGACAACCTCTTGGACCAGCGCAGCCAACCTCCGATTAGCCCCAAGCATACATCGCACTATCAACCTCAAATACAAACCCAATCAGGATCTCCCGTGAGTTTTTGCTGCGATTGTCAACCTAATAACATGCGTCTAATATTATGTTAGCGCGAGCAGTCAAATATATTCGCCTCCCCTCAAGAGGCGTACTGTATGGCATATCTTTTGATCCCTTCATCACGATTTGCATATTTATCTAACAGCACATCTGCAGACAATCCACAATACAATACACATACACTCGAAGCACAATCGTCTGCTAATAATTATGCGCCAAGCGACTTATACCATGATGCTGGTCAACCAGCGAACTTCTATTACGAAGAGGAAATTGACGATTATTACGATGTCGAAACCGATGAAGAAATGCAAATTCAAACTCCTCATAATTATCCTCAGCCATACGAACCACCACCACCACCCACCACGCAGCAGCAGCTAATTCATCCGCTCCGCTCCACGACTGCTTTCTTAAACGATGAGTCTTCTCTGATGACATATATACCATCCCCTTTGGCATCCCCCCTTATGGATCCAGAGGTGACAAGAATATTTTGTCATTTTATCACTGCTGTTGCACCAGTGCTATCCATATTTGAAAGGCATCCAGTGAACCCGACAGTACTTTTATCTGCGTCACCAGTCCCAGCCTCCCAACAGAGCCTATGGACGTATACCGTGCCTACGCTTGCACTGAGGAATCAAGGTTTGCTTCAGGCAATTTTGGCTCTAAGTACTCATCACATCGCGAAGATACAAGGGTTATCTCTCACGGCATCATTCCGTCATTACCACTACGCCATACGTCGTGTTTCCAAGGCCGTCAAACTTCCGTCTCGCCGCACACAGACGGCCACACTTGCCGCAACGCTGCTTCTCGGCTTTTATGAAGTCATGGGTGCTGAGCACTCGAAATGGAATAGCCATGTGGCTGGGGCTTCACATCTCATCCAGGAATGCGATTTCGCAAGAATGACAAGAGACATCAGATCAATGAGAGCAAGGCATAAGGAGGAGCATATACGGCTTTCGCAATCGATGCCATGGTTGGGGATGGGCACCTCGTATTTAAGCAGCCGCTTCGAAAACGATTTGTTCGCGGACAAGGAAGCTGATACTAACGATGTCCTTATTAGTAAAATAATGGGTCGATCCGTTAGCTACAATGATTTCGGGGATGTCGTCACCGAGTCCGAAAGCAATCTAACGGCGGGCGATATAGATGACTACAGGATTCGGAGTGACCTGTATTGGTTTTATGCTAAACAGGATGTGTATCAAAGTATGATCAGTGGGAATCAGTTATTGTATGTTCAGCTCAACCACGTTGTACAAAACCCCCTCCCCCTCCCCCTCCCCCTCCCCCTCCCCCTCCCCAAACCCCCCAAACCCCCCAAAAAATAAAAAAATATAAAAAATATATATAAATTAAAAAGAAAGAAATTATAATATTCACACCTTCTTTTTGTTCACAGCCTACCATTTAATCGATGGGGATCATGCCCACCTAGATCAGGAGTGGGAAAACTTGATGCTGTTTATGGATCCAACGATCACCTCTTACTGTTGCTTGCGCGAACGACGGACTTCGTCACAAGAGATCGCGCCAGAAAAATGCAGGTAAGAAAGCAAAACGGCGAGCAATGGCACCCACCATCAGGATTCTTCCCGCCTGGCATGGGTCGGAGTGGGCCGCCCAGTTCGCAACATGGTCTGGGCACTGGGATGCCCGCACCCCCCGGACCACCGCAAGTGCCGCCAATGGCCGCTGCTGGCATAGCACCTCCAGGCAAACAGAGGGGAAACAGTCCTCCTATGTATGGAATGGTCCCAAACACAGGACCTACCCGCCTCCCATCCGGGTTTGCCGAAACACCCCATCAATCTCCATCCTCGAAATCAGATAGCGAGAACGACGATCTCGAAACGAGAACGGCAAGAGCAGAAGCCGAATGGAAAGAAATCGTCGCAGCCTACGATGCTTTTGAAAAAGCACTAGGACCAGGATATAACCCCCTATCAGCCGACAGCGCCCCGCCGATTGCCACGCCTTTCGGCCCTGCCCTCCAATACCGTACGCATACCATCGCCTGTGTCTGGTCTCTATTTTACACTGGCCGCATCATCCTCGAAAGAGCACATCCGAGCATGCCACCAGAGGCCATGGTGGCCGCGGGTATCTGCGCATTCCGCACAGGCCAGTTCGCAAATAGCATTGGCCGTATCGTTGCTGGGATCTACTACCCGCAACAATTTGATGAAAACACAGCAAGCCTCATCCCATCGCTCTCTGCAGTGCTTACAGAACTCATGATCCCTCTGTTCTTTGCAGGCGTACAATATACCGACGCCGCCCAACGTGGGTGGACGATTGCCAAACTACGCAACATTGCGCGGTTGACAGGCGGCAGTTCGGCAACAGCGGTTGCGTCCGGATGCGAGACAGCATGGGTAAAGGCTTTCGAAGCTGGAGGCGGGGCCCCGTACCAACGTACAATGAACCGTATGGCTCATATCGATAGAGGACAGGGAGAAGTGTCGCTTATGCCCAGTGACCAGAGGAAGTTTGTCACAGTTAATCGGTCTGCGTCGTTGACGTGGGCTATGGGGGTGTTGAGCTTACAGGGCGATTATTCGAGGCCTGATGAAAAGGAGAACGCGGGTCTGTGAGGAGTTTGCATGAATGGGGTGTAGAGGGTGGGGGTTGGTTACCCAGAATACAGTGTCCAAATACGCATATTTTATGATGCTCGTTATTGCTCCGGATGTTGGCAGTGGTGCAGAAATGATGTGCATACAGTCCAATTCTCGGATCTTGTTAAGAGGTACTTTACTTCTTGAGCTTTGATGACACTCATTTATAATGATCGTATCGTTTAGGACGTAGAAACGTACAGCTCTAACAGAATAATAGAATTTAAGCCTTTATAAATTTCATTTTTCGTGCAAGCATTTTTTCAAAACTCAAATTCTCTCCTTGCCGCGCAAATCTTTCCTTTTCTTTTTCTTCTTTTCTCCCACCAAGATTTCTGGCGCAACTACGAGTCTCCGATCGCCAGGGTGTGGCCGATCGACTACGGTCCCTGCGCCAGGTTGCTCCACAAATCTGAAGTGGCCGTGACATGCTAGCAAGCTACGCTTGTTGATCCCCCACAGATGACAGATGACAGGCCCAACACGGTGCCGATGATGACGTATGTATGTACGGCCTATGGTGCCCTCGAAGGCTCTCTGGATACTTATTAGTGGAGCAATTCTGTGGTATTTTTAGCAGGACTCTGCCCCTAGAGATGCGGCGATGGTTATCACTTCCTTCTCCTCTCTTCCCAAGAAACAATGTGATCCAGTATGTATCCATGAAGGCAGGAGTTTTTCTCTTCTTGCAGTGCAATTCAGGTGTTTCCGATCGAACTTGGTTTGTGTGTTGGTTTGACTTCCCCCTGGTCCTTTCGGTGCACGATACAGTACACTGCCTATGTTTCTCTACATTTTCAATTATTTACAGTACCTTTATTCCCCCTCCCTCAATTAATTGGTGGGTACATACATGTAAGACGACGAGGAGACATCGTCTGGGATTCGCATCCTTCCGAAATATCTATCGCACGTAATCAAGCAGCAGCAGTAGCCATGAGCAAACCGAGCACCATCTTTCTATTCCTGCGCATTTCCGCCTCTCTCATCTCTATCACCGGCGCCATTGGTCTCGGATGGGCAACTGGGGTCTTATCTTCACCGGATACAGGCCCGTTCGCCGAAACAATCGGGATATGTTCCGTACGTTAGAGTCTCCCCCTTTCCACCACAATCCATCCCGTATATACCAAGGCGCCACAGACAGCTGATCGATATTACAAAACCAACAATAAAAAAAACAATCAATATAGTTTTCCATCTCAGCATTATGGTCCTTGATAGCACTCAGCTTAAGCTTCTTTGTCGGAAATGACCGCATCCACCCGGCCGTCGGCGTCACGCTTGATTTACTCCTGGGGCTGTTTGCGATCGTGGGAGGAATTTATGTGTCCATCTCGCCGTTCTCCGATGCGGATTGGATCAATTGCAGTAGGGGCCGGTGGACCTCCATCTGCGGGAACCCTGCGGAGAGGAGTTCTGTCATCTGGCGATTTCTTGCGGCCGCGTTTTGCTCCACGAACGGGTGAGTAAAACCATAATCGAACGTGCTCTCGTCTCGTTGCATCCTTTTTTTGTTCCTTGTTTAGGGAGAAACGGAAATGGTAAGAAAGGGAAAAATATAGATATATATATTTACGCCAAGCATAAACATGCTGTGTGGAATCGGATCTAACAAGGCCAATTTATTGTTTGCCATTGACAAAAGGCTCATCCACGTTACTTTCCTCGTCTCCGCGTGTCGGTCATGCCATCATCAGCGCCGGAAGGCTGAAAAGAGGCTTTCTGACGATGTTGAGTTTAAGACATAGATAACAAACATCCCCTTCATCGTCTCGAGGCACATATGCCTTCAAACGAAGGCTCGCTGTTCCGGTGATGGCACTTAAGGAATCTCTGCCCTAACCGCTTCCCCCGGTCATCCAAACTTGATAGATATTTGGAGCACTCCTACAGTATTCGTTTAATGTTCCTTCATCGAAGAAACGAGCAAGAAGAAGAGACTGTTGGATCAATATTCCTATATTTTTCTTCCTTATGTCGAATGGAAGCAGGAACTTGAAGTTGAATACCCGCTATAAGTTATTAGGTTACTTTTCATCGATAAGGTAACTACAGGATGGACAAAAAAAATTCAAAACCTATGAGTGCAAGAGATGATGGATCATCCGTAGATAGGATAGAGAGCAGATATGTCAAAAGAAAAGAAAAGAAAGACAAGAACGCTTAAGTTTCGTCCCCTATTGAATTCAAACCTATTTTAGCTTTTACTCCTCAAAAAGAAATTCACTCCATTCATTAACCAACTAACTATGAACCGCCGAGGTCTGATCAAGTTAAAGCTTTGGGGCCGGAGCAAAGTGTCCATAACTATACATATCAAACTCTCTGGAAGATTTACGGATTATATACGGGTGCTGACATTTAACTATGTAACTCTGATTCATGAAGGACATAAAATCCTTAATAAAGGCAGCTAAAACATTGTTTGTCTTAAAAAGGACACCGGATAAAAAATGGAAAAGCTATGTGTATCCGTATATTTCTAACTATGCGAAACTGTAATGGAATAGCATGAGGGGGGAAGGAACCCGAGGGGGGTTGGTAATTCATAAAACGGGTGATGCGAGAAAAAAAGGAGCACGTTTCCATCACGTTCTAACTATGATCAAATGGACATTTCCGTGGCCTGAGTGACATCGTGTCTAAGGAGTTGTTGACGTGTATGAGGTGAATATGGGAGAACGCTAGGGGTTGCTTCAATTTAAATAACAATCGAGGGCGATGAATCTTATGGGGTCTTTTAAATAAGATAACCGATGGCTCCTTCAACATCCCCACCAGCAGCTTCGAGGGCCTGCACTGCTTCTTCCCGTGTGAACCCCAAATCCGTTATCTTGGATATTAACTCTGCGGGCCATGGCGAGGCAGGCACAGGAGAGCTGGAGGAAGGTTGAGCGGGAGGTTGAAGGTCATGGCTATTGGAGGACGACAACGGGTTAGAAGGGGAAGGGTGGATGTTGATTCTTGGTGTGGAGGACGACGGGGAGGGTGAATTTGCTGGCCTGAACTGGGACGGCGAGGCGGACGATGAAGGTTGGCCAGCTGGTTGGGCAACTGCGCCTGATCTGGCACCGACAATTGCGCCATCCCGACCATGCACCAGAGGCTCGCCCTCAAGCTCATCGTGCTTAGGGATTTCTGCTTCGCTAAGGAAAGGCACGGTTTGGCCTGCGATTCTTAGGACGTTATCTTGCAGGTCAATGCAGGCTTGATGTCGCTTGAGCATGTCGAGCCCTATGAGAAGATCTATATGTTTGCCATCCATAACAGCGAATGAGCAGGAAAGGAATATATCCCCGATCTTGATCTGCGCAGAGTGCACGCGCCCCAAGATATCAGCAGTCCCAACGCCTTTCGCGACACCACCGTAGCGACGATCAATTAAACGCATGATATGGCACGCAGATGCACACTCTGGTGACATTATTGTGACCTGGGCGCCGGAGTCGACAAAGGCCTTAACTCGGTGGCCATTCACTTCGACAGGAACATACAGCATGCTTACTCGTCCAAAAGCTAGAACAAAAATGTTAGCAAGTGAAGTTCACGTTAAGAGGGAGGAGGAGGAGGAGGAATACAAAAGCGAGTATTACAACTCACCTTCTGGTGTATGCTCCATCGCTGCTTGTAAATTTTCCATAACCGCATTTTGGCGAATAATTTCCTCAATCTCCTTCTGCGCATCTACATTAAAGGGATCGGAATTTAACATGGCAATCCTCGCTTCCCTCGCAGCTAATGCCTCTGCCTCTTGCCGCTGCTGCATAAGCAACACTTCACGGAACCGCTGGGCATTTTCTGCTACTTCCGCTAACGCAGGGTTTTGTCTTCTCACCCCCTCCAACACTCTCGGGTCTCCAAGCATATGGAGTCGTAACGTCTCAGGATCTGGCATTTCTGCCTGCCTCCTGGCCAGTGCATCCTGTATAGCTGGGTTCGCACCTGCTTGGCGCCGGACATTGTTTTGCCCTTGTTGCTGCTGCTGCGGGCTTGGTGTCTGGGTCTGGATTTGCATGGCAAGCATGTCCCCCTCCCGAATTGTGGCTTGAGATAAAGTTTGGGAATCGCTGGTGAGGAGCTTGTTATTGAAGAAAAGACGTAATGCAGATGAAGGTATGTTTATATCGCTTTGGATGACAACTTTTAGGTCTGCGACGGTCATGTCATCGCCAACATCAAGGGAGATGAGATCGGACTCGACATGTGTGTCCGATGCGACAACTGAAACTGAGATTCTCCTGGTAGATGTTAGTCACAACAAGAACAACAGCTAAAAATTCCACTCCTGTTATCCATGTAGGGAATCTCACATAGTTTAGTTAGGGAGGCCTGTCTGGCCTGGGGTTTGACAAAGATGCACAACACAAGCAAAGCTGCTGCGTTGGGGATGCTTGAGCGGAGCCGGTGATAAATATGGTGTGGCAGCAATGAGTCAAATTGATCAGGTAGAAAACGAAACAGATATCTAAATAACCGGGTTTTGTGAGGTAAAGCGAACCCGTTTCAGAGAGCCTGAGCGAGAATGGCGGGATTATAATGGGGTGGGCAAGATTGCGGCGGGGACGGCGCAGAGGAGACCGCAAACGGAACTGATGCAGATACAGAACGTGGGGCAAAGGAAGAGCAGCACCAACAGCGGGTAACTAATGGCCAGAAGAGACACGACGCAGCAATCAACGTTGAGAGCAACTGGAGAAGGCTTGAAGCAAGGAAGATGAGGAGAAGCTATCTATATATAAGAAAAGTTCGGTGAAGGGACATCAGCCAGATTAGTAACTACTAACCATAGTTACCATTCTCTTCCCGTGGCTGACAACGAAGTTACTGAAGATAACGGGTTAACCCAGGGAAGGCTGCTCTCAATTCTGCGATGAAGTTGCAACTCCCGAGCCTGAGTAGCCTCTCAAGCCGCGTTAGCAAGACTTAGGGAGGAAAAAGAATAAAAAAAAAAAAACAAAAAATAAAAAAAAAGAGGCTGCAGAATGACGCAGTGTTCCCCTTTGATCCCCAAACTTCCTCCATCAACCGCAGACCATGAGATCCTCTTTTGGCATCCTGCATCGACCCCTCCGAATGGGCAGCGCGCGATACATACGCCACCTGTTACGCACCGGTGTCAACAGCCGCCAAACAAGTTTTCTGAATGCCGGCGGAAGTCGATTGCGCGCAAGTTCAAGAGGATCTAATGGATTTGCTGGCGCTTCTCATGCAGGGTGAAACGATGCCATCCAGCTTCGCGCCAGGGTAGAGTGTGTCGTATGAGCATTTCTGGTTCTACAGAGCACATCGACGGAGTGAACTATTGATATGGCTTTGATGAAAGTAATTTTCCCCGCCAAAAATCAGCTACTGCTTATGATCCCAATATTTAAGCTATTGTTGTTTGTGACCTGTCGAGTTCCAGTTGCATCCGCTTTGTCAAGACGGCTGCTGCAGAAGCCGATTTAAGCAATTTCATGTTTAGTGGAGCCCAAAAGGGGGAAGGGGATGCCATTTAACTAACACGCTGCTAATTACTTTCAGCCGGCTCGTCTGGTTTTGATGTCTCTATTTCCAGCAGAGCAGAATCCAGCACGGATATTATAATCTAGCGTTTGCCCATGAACTAAGATATGATTCTCGATGCCAGACAAGCTACTGGTTGCGCGCTGCAAACGCCGACATGACACGGCTTCGTTGAGTGGCGGGGTGTGTATGCACTCCACACTGACAGTTGCCCGGATCCAGCCAATATATGATTGTGTTTGGCTTTCTCTCTACTTCTATTTGTACCAATGAAACTTGCGATCCATTTCCTTCTTCGCCTGAAATCGATCCCGGGGGGCTACTATATGGCGATCATGCGACGTTGATCAGATGAGTTTGGTTACGGCTGCAGATGTGGTTCGATCGTGGGAAACTAACCAGCCAATTAATAACAGTGTATATTTCAATTGGCTGTGTTCAAACATGATTTTTGGGGGTGAGCGCGAGAGTAGATTCAGGGCTTGGTGGGCTGTCTGATCATGAAGTTTGTTTCCATATGGAAAATTCGAAGGAAATGGATTCCATCTTCCTGGAAGGAAAAAAGTAGTGGGTATCCATCTGCTTTACTCTGTTCAAACATTGCTAATGAGAATCTGCCTGGTGTGGCCTGTTGAACACTCTACTCCCATGAGTTAACTAGCAGCTGGAGACAGGAAAAGATGAACTGGCACATCCTTAAATTTACAAGAAGCATGTCAACCCATCGGTATCTGATTTTGCCAGAAATCTACAAGAGCCACATAGGTAGTAGCCGAGATTGCTTGAATCCATAACTAATAAACTTATTTGGACATCTACTGTCAATGAAGCATGGCATGGTTCTGAAACAGGCTCCTTGTACGGAGAGGCGATGTATTCGCGTCACATGGATACGTGTGAGCAACTTCCCAACCCACCGGATGTTTGCCGCAAGGTGGGGTACCTGGGAGGTACCCTGACAGCCTTCTTTTGCCGAGCTTTCTCCTCCTCTCCTATCGCGGAATCGATAATTCTGCTTTCTTCAACCTCACCAAAATTCCGGGGCATGTCCAACAAACGTGCGCAGTTACCAGAAAATCCCCTATCACTACTATTCACCTGAGTACTTACCCGCAGGCGGGAAACAATCTTGCAGCTCATTGCATCGCCCACTCGCCGCCTCCTCTTCTTCCCCTCTTCTGCCCCTCTTCTTTCTACACTGCAGTTGAAATCACGACAGCAACAACCTTTCTACCCCCAAATACGAGGATTTTCCGGCTGCTACTCGCTTCAACTTCATAATTCATTCGTTGTTTTGCAGGAGATTTAAAAAGCCATAATCGCTCGGAAAGTAAGTAGGCAACAAGCTACCCCAGTCTGTTGATCTTATCCTTCCAACTTGGCTTGGTTCCCTGCATTCTGCACATTTGCATCATAGCCGTTAGCTTGCGCCCATGTCCTCATGGCAGTGCTTGCCGTGCCTTGGGGGGGGGGGTTTTCCCTCTTTTTTTTCCCCACTAGAATATCCACCACCAGTGGTCCTTTGCCCGGGTTACAGCTTGCTTCGTCTTGTTGAAAAGCTTTTTATAAAATAAAAGTAGCTGACAGCCTTCCAATCACATTATATTTCAGCTAGATATCCTGGACACCCTCTGTCCCTCCCAGATATGGATACGGCTTCTTGAAATATTTAGTAGACTCGGGAATTCTGCGATCGGGAAAGAAGAAAATCTTACATCTGAGGAGCACGGAAAAGAAGAAACCTCAACTCAGAAAACAAGCAAACTCGTCACTCACAAATCTTTCCATTTACTCTTGCGAAAAACATTGTTACTCCAAACAGTCGAATATGGCAGAAAATCCTACAAAGGTTGAAGACCAATCGGTGGCGTCGTCCGTTGGTGGTGACAAGAACGATATCTCCCCTGGATTCTCACCCCCCATTCGCACCACAGATTCTCCAATTACCGTATCGCCCCCCCAATCCAATTCCCGAGTTCCCCCTTTAATCGAAGGGGAAGCAATTGATCAACATCCCGCAATATCGCAGGGAGATCTAGTCATTGCTCATGAATTCGAAACGGAGGACAACGAGGTCAGTGATGAGGAAGATGACGAAAAAGAAGACGGATACGTTGAGGTCAAACATGACGACCTTGTGAGTTGTTTTCGGCAGTCACCACCTACGAAACGAACAGAGCTGGACCAGCTTCATCCATTCATCCAGCTCCTGTCTTTGTCGAATTTGGAGGATTGCTTAGCGGTCGAGGCAGCATTTCCGGAAAATGAGAGATGTTCGCTAGAAAAGGTGAAAATATTCATTTCCATCCAGTTATTTTAATATCACCCATTTGGATCCGTGTGAGGCTAATTTCAAACTCACCTATAATACAACATTGCACAGCTAGCTTACCGTTTGACAACATGTCCCGAGCTCTCCTTAGGCGCTTTCTACCTGCCGCCAAAGGAACCAAGCAAACCAAAACTCCGGCCCCAGTTAATCGCCCACATAATAGCCACAAGAACCCGAGCGCTCTACGTAACCGACGCCTCCATGGGAATCCCTCCAAATTGGCGAGATAAATCATCATCTAGATTACAGAGTTCCAACTGGTCCGAACAACCCGGGCACCAGGACCAAGGTTCCACAATCGCACTGCACTCTCTCGCTGTCCTGCCAGAACATCAGGGGAAACGGCTCGGGTCAACGCTGTTGAAGGCATACGTCCAGCGCATCAGGGATGCCGAGATTGCTAATCGGATTGCTCTCCTGTCTCATGACCACTTGATACCGTTTTATACGAGTCTGGGGTTTAAGAATCGGGGGCTGAGTGATTGCACTTTTGGTGGTGGAGGTTGGTATAACATGGTATGTAATAGCACATATATATTGATCTCTTTAATTATCTCACGCATGGTGCAGCTTTTCCCTATGAGTTTTGGTTGCTAACTAGGGCGGCGTGGTACTTAATAGGTCTTGGAATTTGTGAATGGTAGACGTTTGAGTTAAAAACGAAAGATGGGGAATCTTACAAACGCGAAGGAGAGAAAATGGCGGTTTCTTTCCTCATTGTTTTCTGCAGAGCACATATATCTGGTTCCTACCGGATTTACGCTCTGTTTATATTGGGGGAATCAAAGTGGACGTGGCAGCAGCAAGGGTTGGCCCCGTCATTTATCCAGTATCGCTCCATCACTTGTATCCTCAAGGCAGATCAAGTATTTTGCATTTCTTTTTTCTCATTGCTTCCTTTCCCTTTCATTTTATTTCTATCTCCCATGTTCCTAAACAATATATCTATCTCTTCTTGTCTTGTTGGGTGGCTGTTGTGTCCGTTTTTTTTTTTTAAAGGGACCTACAAGGGATGGCGAGGCTGTCTGTCTTTCTTTTCTTTTTAACATATTTTACGCCTGGGTCTAATGGAATAAAAAGGAGGGAGGTTTCATTTTCACTTTTATATTCTTGTTTTCTTCCTTTGCATTGTTGTATCAACAAACTATACGATGAGGAAAACCGGGGTGAAGTGGAATGAATTTGCGTGGATAATTGGTTGAAGTGTGTTTTGCAGCGTTCATTCCCTATATTTCCTTTTGCATTTTATTTTATTTTTATTTTTATTTTATTTAATGCATGTAGTGTGTCTGCTGTACAGTACGTTTATTAGCTTCCTAGTGGATTTGTTTGCAAGTAACGAGTAAAGAATGTATGAGTTAGTTACAGAATCTTAGCTATTGAAGCAATGCTCTGGGCTGATAAGCTCGATAGGCTAAACCTTCCCAGCACAACCCCCACTGCCTCGGGAAAAACTTCCATTCCAAACCATCTTGCCAACCACAAACATCCTTATTTTTTTTGACTTCAGATTTTCAATTCCGCCGCCCAGAGGCAGCTTGACAGAAATCTTCTTCCTATCCCCAATCCTTTTGCTTCTCCTTTGAGCCGGCATCATGAAGACGACTTGGAAGGAGGTATGTACAGTATTTATATATTTTCCTTTTCTGTGGCGGCTTTTCTTGTTTCAAGAATTCTCGTTTTGTACCTCCGCTTGTCTCGAGAATATTTAATTGCGTTACTGACATGCGCCCTTTACTTTTTTAATATTTTCGCTTTCAAATAGATTCAACCTGTGCCCTCGAGCCAGGAGTTCCTGGATATCGTTCTTTCTCGGACACAGAGACGGCTGCCGACGCAGATTCGCTCCGGGTTCAAGATTAGTCGGATTCGAGGTGGGTTGTTTCCTCTGGTTCTTTCTCTTCTTTTTCGTCCTCTGGGGTGTGGGCCTGGAAAAAAGCAAATGGAACTGGAAATAAGTTAGGACGATATGGAAGCAAAGCTCATGGTGGAGGTTTTTGAACATATTAAATGTACTGACCGATGTTTACAACCCCACAGCGTTCTACACCCGGAAAGTGAAGTTTACGCAGGAGACATTTTGTGAGAAGTTTCAAAATATATTAGATGGCTTCCCAAGATTGCAGGATATTCACCCATTTCGTAAGTTTGTTTTATGATTTTTAAGGTCCCTCGACAAAAAGCGCCAAAACAGGGACTCCCGCTGACCAAAAGCTCTTTCTGTGCACTGCAGACAAGGATTTGATGAACACACTTTACGATGCCGATCATTTCCGCATCGCCCTCGGCCAACTCTCTACGGCCAAACATCTGGTAGAAACCGTTTCCCGCGACTATGTCCGCCTCATCAAATATGCACAGTCACTGTTCCAATGCAAGCAGCTCAAGCGGGCTGCGCTGGGTCGCATGGCGACGATATGCAGACGACTCAAAGATCCGCTTGTCTATCTTGAGCAGGTGCGGCAACATCTAGGCCGTCTTCCCTCGATCGACCCCAACACTAGAACGCTCCTAATTTGCGGATATCCCAACGTTGGCAAATCCAGCTTTCTCAGAAATATCACGAAGGCAGACGTCGACGTGCAGCCGTATGCGTTCACTACTAAGAGCCTGTTTGTCGGCCATTTCGATTACAAATATCTTCGCTTCCAGGCAATTGATACCCCTGGTATCCTAGACCATCCACTTGAAGAGATGAACACCATTGAAATGCAGTCGATTACTGCTATTGCGCATTTGAGATCTGCCATCCTCTATTTCATGGACTTGTCAGAGCAGTGTGGGTACTCAGTTACGGATCAGATTAAGTTATTCAACAGCATAAAGCCTCTGTTTGCGAATAAGATCGTTTTCGTGGTCGTAAATAAGATCGATGTAATGCGGCCAGAAGATCTAGATGCCTCGACGCAAGCAGAGCTTCAGTCGATCCTGAAACCTGGTGATGTCGAAATGCTGCAGGTGTCGTGCACAACTACAGAGGGGGTCACTACAGTGAAAAACGCGGCTTGTGACCGACTCCTTGCGGAGAGAGTGGCGCAGAAGCTGAAGGCCGGCAGCAATAATTCCGGTACTCCATCTGGAAGGCTGGGTGACCTTTTGGCCAGAATCCACGTCGCCCAACCCCTCGGCGGAGTGACCCGCGAAGCCTTCATACCTGAAGTAGTCCACTCCTTGAAGAAATATGATAAGAACGACCCGAATAAACGCCGACTTGCAAGGGATACAGAAGAAGAGAATGGCGGCGCAGGAGTCTTTAATGTGGATCTAAAGGAGAATTACCTACTTGCCAATGACGAGTGGAAACACGATAAAATCCCTGAAGTGTGGAACGGCAAGAACATCTATGACTTTGTGGATCCTGATATTGAATCAAAACTCGCTGCACTGGAAGAGGAGGAGGAAAAACTGGAGGCGGAGGGATATTACGACTCCGACGAGAGCGTCGAAGACGCAGAAGAAGCCGATATCCGCATGAAAGCAGATCTCATTCGCGAGAAACAGCAGCTGATCCGCAACGCGTCCAAGATGCGCAAATCGCTCAAGAACCGCGCATTGATCCCCCGCAGCGCCAAGGCCCGCAAATTGTCTGAAATGCAATCACATCTGGAATCGATCGGATTCGACGCAGCGTCTGCATCTACCCGTGTGCAAGGGCAGACGCAGTCTCAGACACAGTCCCGTGGCCGGGGACCTACCCGAAGCGACATGGAGATTGCAGATGCTATGGATATCGATGGCAATGGCGACGACCGAAACCCCACACGCCAGGAGTTGCTTCAGCGAGCCAAGAGCCGGGCTCGCAGCCAGGCACCGACCAACCGACTCGTGGACGGCATAACTGACATGAAGTCTCGAAGCAAGGCGGATAAGATGGCGAAGTTAGCACAGATCAAGATGAATCGGATGGCGAGACAAGGCGAGGCGGATCGACATACAACCGCTTCTTTGCCGAAACATTTGGTGAGTTGTTTTTATTTTATTTAATTATTATTTTATGTCCCTTTTTTTACCCCCTTCACTGTTCTCATATATGGAGAAATACATGCTAATTGTTCCTTTTCTTTTTCTTTATGTAGTTCTCTGGGAAACGTGGCATGGGCAAGACTCAACGACGCTGAGCTACTGGGTGCTGGCGTTTAACGATGGGATCGAGGGTTCAGAGTCCTGGGTCTATGAAATGGAGTTCACGGAATGTTTTATTTTATTTTATACTTTTTGTTCCTTTTTATTGTCCAACCGTTGTCTGTTCATATCCAACCCATATTGTTTTATGATCTACGCTTTAATAGACTCGGGCGCATTCTTTGATAGCGATCGTCTCATGATTTCCAAATAATACACTTTAGTATAAGAAGATTATACTGCATGGAACTTCGAGCGTGGAAAAATCCCTGCCTGCTCGAAGATCTTGCTCGACATAGGCGCAAAAAGCCGTACATAGCTCAAGATCATCCGTAGACTGGTTTTCCTTTGCCAACGATTTGTTTATCAGTACGTGAAAATGAATATGTCCTTAACTGGAGGCCCTTTGTTCGTTCCTGGGTTTTCGGACGGTCAAGACGGGCCATAGCACCCGCTGTACCGTACGTAAAATGACTGAAAATTCGTCTGCGTTGGGATATCCTGGATCATATCCCCCATACCATGCATCGGCCATGTAGGACAGGTTGCGCTGCTAGCAAGACTTGTTTTATTCTATTCAATCGGCCGTGTCGCTCTTACAATCAAACATTCCAGGTCAGGGGCTGCGCAGCAAGGCAGATACTGCTCAAATTACGAAACAAATGTTCTTAATGATCTTCTGTCGTGCTGAGACAGTTTCTCATTGATGTAATGTCTCAACAATGGTCATACGACTGCTCACGGTGACTGGAGTGCACCACAGGTGAAAACATGGGTGTTCATCGACTGAATCGAGAGGACGGGGAGCAGGAGAAGATTGAGGTTTATCAAATCGAATCCGAGTGTGAAGATTCAAGCTTCATCAAATTCACCATGAATAATATGGGTTATTGATAACTTGAAGCTGCCGTTGCCAATCATTTAGTTATTAAGTTAACTTGGTAAGTATAAAAAGAATCCGGCAAAGAATAATCGAGATATAAATATAGCAGGCATCATGTGACCAACAGCCTCCAACTGGCTGGTTCCAGTCATGGCCGTCGTCATGTGCCGGCTGCAGCTTCTCTCCGCTTCTCCTCTCAACAACTCCTCATCGTGGGCCTCACTCCTCAACACACTTCGCTAGCATTCTAGCTGCTCCTCTCCCTAAGAATACTCACTTCTTAACAATATTATTATACTGTTGGAAACGTTATACCTAAGATACTCCCCTGATCTTTTCACATTAGAAATACCCATACCCTCGCAGCCTTCCCCATCGTCCCCGGCGAGTTCGAGTCCCCCTCCACTACTCCGATTCCGTTCTTCCTCTTCTTCATTCTACAATTGCCATCATGCGTTTGACAACATCCCCAGTTCTTATCCTCCTCTGGTCTTCTTTGGCCGCGGGATTTCCGTCCATGCCGTGGTCTGCAAAGGACCAGGCCCCAATAATGCAAGGCAACAAAATGTCGGTCCCTGGGGATAACCCGTTTAACTACTGTTTCGCTCCCGACCACGATATCTTGACGATCAAGAAAGTTGACTTGGATCCTGCCCATCCTATGCCGTATGTTCTGTTCCGCATATCCTGGCAATACAAATTATAAACACAATATTGACCTATACTAACCATGTCCCTTTTTTTGCTCCAGTGGCAAAACCCTGACGGTTAACGCTTCTGGTACCTTTCATGAAGAGGTTGCCGTTGGCTCCATGGCTCGAATACAGGTGAAATATGGCCTTATTCGGCTGATCAACCAGGAAGTTGATCTATGCGAACAGATTGAAGCTGTGGATATGCACTGCCCTATCAAGAAAGGAGATATGGTTTTTCTGAAGTCGATAGAGTTGCCGAGGGAGATCCCACCGGTATGTAAAACTTAACACTCTAAGCTATAATCTACCAGAACTGCTGTTATATTTAAATTTATATTTTTTGTTGTGTTCTTGCTGATACTAACGGTTTTTGAAAATATGCAGGGAACGTACACTGTCCTCGCCGATGTGTACACGGAGGGAAAGGATCAGATAACATGCATCGAAGCGCAAATTACATTTTAATCTGTAAACAAACGTCGCATCAAAATCATTGTCGATACGGGATGATTGTTTCCCTGTGGCACTATTGTTTTTCGGTATCCTCGCACCAACCCTTCTCAACCCTCGCAACCCATCATCGATTTTAATACCCAATCCGACCTCCCTCCTGCTTTGCTGAAACTCTCGAGTGCTATCTCTCCCCGAACTCACGAATTTATAGAACCACTAAGATCATATCCTGTTTTCTTGCTTCTGAATGCTCTACCTGGTCATGGTGGTTCTCATTTTTTTCCCCTACTAACATTGTACTCTTATTACACACCTACACAATGACCGCCTGGTCACACGCTTTATACGTGATCTTTTAACTATTACTGCCTAACCATTCTCCCCTTTGCGTTCTACAGAGAATGCCTCACTGTCCTTGAAACGATCCATCCGCACTCCTCATGACCTGTCAATGAAACTATTCCCTAGGGGCCTTTACTCGCCCTTGCTTCTACCCCGCTGAAATCGTTCCCGATTTCAGCCCTCTAATTTATTTTCAGGCATTGATGCAATTGCCAAAGTTCTTGGGCTGGATCGATTATTCGGGTATCCGTATCTTTTGTTTCCATTTGCTTTTAGAGGCCGGCTTCTTGTTTTGTGCTTTGCCTTTTTTATTTTTATCCCACTGATCACGAGGTATTTTTGCTTCTTCCGCGTGTCTTTTGCATTCCATTATTGTTTATCACTATCACCCCTTCCATGCAATTAGCCATATTTCGTATCCGCATTATTACATTGGGCGTTCTTTGTAACTTTACTACCAAGCAGCTTCTAGTTATTGCCAACTTCAATTTCGAACTCAAAGTTGCTACGTAAGTGTTCCAACTTTCCGTACATCGTTTCTCTTTTCTTTCTTTCCTCTTTTTCCTTTTCCCTTTCCCCGCCTCCGTCTTCAGAGTGTTTCGTTTATTTATCAAGATGGATGGAAATTGATAGAGTGATCACTGCGCGGCCCATCCAGCAACTTCGAACCATTTTAAAGTGCAGAGAATAATGAGACAAGGGCAACGAGAATAACAAATGTGTTAAGTGACTAATGTCTCGCTTTTTTATGATCATGAACTTTAATTAGTTAGTTGTGCAGGTATAAAAGAAGCAACATCAATGACGTAGTATTATATCTATCACAGTCTACCAACCTAACCAACCAGACAACAAAACTGAACTATTTAAGTTTAGTAAAGTAATATATAGAGTTAAAAGACAAAATTGTAAAACAGTTAGAGAAGGCTAGATCATTTCCCCTGAAAATCTCTCCTCAGCAGGGGGGAGAGTTATGCACTAAAATTGCATATCATGTAGCTTCCAGTCAACCCCCCCCCTCCCTCACCTCCCCCCTTCCCCCTCTTCACCCTTTTCCCGGAACGTTGTACATATCTGGAGAAAAGTAACCCCACCCGGGTTCCAAGACAAGGATTGGACGACCTTCCAACCC